TGGAATAAACGCTTTGCACAGAAGCCTTCGTTTCTATTCAGCCTCAACATTCCACCGCTCAAATGGCAGAAAACGATTAATTTCAAATCTGAGATACCAGGCGCACAGAAATCAGCAGAAGGTCGCTGCCTTTTTTTAATTTCTCGTTTTTTCTTGTTTCTCTTTGTATTTCGTTTTCTCTCTTTTCGCTCTAATTTGTCCCATTTTCTGCCTCCACTTTCCACCGCTCAAATGGCAGAAAACGGTTAATTTAAAATCTGAGATACCAGGCGCACAGAAATCAGCAGAAGGTCGCTGCCTTTTTTTAATTTCTCGTTTTTTCTTGTTTCTCTTTGTATTTTGTTTCTCTCTTTCTTCGCTCTAATTTTTCCCATTTTCTGCCTCCACTTTCCACCGCTCAAATAGCAGAAAACGGTTAAATTCAAATCTGAGATACCAGGCGCACAGAAATCAGCAGAAGGTCGCTGCTTTTTTTAATTTCTCGTTTTTTCTTGTTTCTCTTTGTATTTCGTTTCTCTCTTTTTTCGCTCTAATTTTTCCCATTTTCTGCCTCCACTTTCCACCGCTCAAATAGCAGAAAACGGTTAAATTCAAATCTGAGATACCAGGCGCACAGAAATCAGCAGAAGGTCGCTGCCTTTTTTTAATTTCTCGTTTTTTCTTGTTTCTCTTTGTATTTCGTTTCTCTCTTTCTTCGCTCTAATTTTTCCCATTTTCTGCCTCCACTTTCCACCGCTCAAATGGCAGAAAACGGTTAAATTCAAATCTGAGATACCAGGCGCACAGAAATCAGCAGAAGGTCGCTGCCTTTTTTAATTTCTCGTTTTTTCTTGTTTCTCTTTGTATTTCGTTGCTCTCTCTTTTCGCTCTAATTTTTCCCATTTTCTTCCTCCACTTTCCACCGCTCAAATGGCAGAAAACGGTTAATTTAAAATCTGAGATACCAGGCGCACAGAAATCAGCAGAAGGTCGCTGCCTTTTTTAATTTCTCGTTTTTTCTTATTTCTCTTTGTATTTCGTTGCTCTCTCTTTTCGCTCTAATTTGTCCCATTTTCTGCCTCCACTTTCCACCGCTGAAATGGCAGAAAACGGTTAAATTCAAATCTGAGATACCAGGCGCACAGAAATCAGCAGAAGGTCGCTGCCTTTTTTAATTTCTCGTTTTTTCTTGTTTCTCTTTGTATTTCGTTGCTCTCTCTTTTCGCTCTAATTTTTCTCATTTTCTGCCTCCACTTTCCACCGCTCAAATAGCAGAAAACGGTTAAATTCAAATCTGAGATACCAGGCGCACAGAAATCAGCAGAAGGTCGCTGCCTTTTTTTAATTTCTCGTTTTTTCTTGTTTCTCTTTGTATTTTGTTTCTCTCTTTTCGCTCTAATTTTTCTCATTTTCTGCCTCCACTTTCCACCGCTCAAATAGCAGAAAACGGTTAAATTCAAATCTGAGATACCAGGCGCACAGAAATCAGCAGAAGGTCGCTGCCTTTTTTTAATTTCTCGTTTTTTCTTGTTTCTCTTTGTATTTTGTTTCTCTCTTTCTTCGCTCTAATTTGTCCCATTTTCTGCCTCCACTTTCCACCGCTCAAATGGTAGAAAACGGTTAAATTCAAATCTGAGATACCAGGCGCACAGAAATCAGCAGAAGGCTGATTTTTTTAATTTCTCGTTTATTCTTGTTTCTCTTTGTATTTCGTTGCTCTCTCTTTTCGCTCTAATTTTTCTCATTTTCTGCCTCCACTTTTCACCGCTCAAATAGCAGAAAACGGTTAAATTCAAATCTGAGATACCAGGCGCACAGAAATCAGCAGAAGGTCACGGCTTTTTTTTAATTTCTCGTTTTTTCTTGTTTCTCTTTGTATTTCGTTGCTCTCTCTTTTCGCTCTAATTTTTCCCATTTTCTTCCTCCACTTTCCACCGCTCCAATGGCAGAAAACGGTTAAATTCAAATCTGAGATACCAGGCGCACAGAAATCAGCAGAAGGTCGCTGCCTTTATAGAGAAACGAAATACAAAAACAAGAAAAAACGAGAAATTAAAAAAAGGCAGCGACCTTCTGCTGATTTCTGTGCGCCTGGTATCTCAGATTTGAATTTCCGTTTTCTGCCATTTGACGGTGGAAAGGGAGGCAGAAAATGGGAAAAATTAAAGCGAAAAGAGAGAAAACGAAATACAAAGAGAAACAAGAAAAACGAGAAATTAAAAAAGGGCAGCGACCTTCTGCTGATTTCTGTGCGCCTGATATCTCAGATTTGAATTTAACCGTTTTCTGCCATTTCAGCGGTGGAAGGGAGGCAGAAAATGAGAAAAATTAGAGCGAAGAGGAGAGAAACGAAATACAAAGAGAAACAAGAAAAAACGAGAAATTAAAAAAAGGCAGCGACCTTCTGCTGATTTCTGTGCGCCTGCATCTCAGATTTGAATTTAACCGTTTTCTGCCATTTCAGCGGTGGAAAGTGGAGGCAGAAAATGAGAAAAATTAGAGCGAAGAGAGAGAGAAACGAAATACAAAGAGAAACAAGAAAAAACGAGAAATTAAAAAAAGGCAGCGACCTTCTGCTGATTTCTGTGCGCCTGGTATCTCAGATTTGAATTTAGCCGTTTTCTGCCATTTGAACGGTGGAAAGTGGAGGCAGAAAATGAGAGAAATTAAAGCGAAAAGAGAGAACAACGAAATACAAAGAGAAACAAGAAAAAACGAGAAATTAAAAAAGGCAGCGACCTTCTGCTGATTTCTGTGCGCCTGGTATCTCAGATTTGAATTTAACCGTTTTCTGCCATTTGAGCGGTGGAAAGTGGAGGAAGAAAATGGGAAAAATTAGAGCGAAGAAAGAGAGAAACAAAATACAAAGAGAAACAAGAAAAAACGAGAAATTAAAGGAGCGACCTTCTGCTGATTTCTGTGCGCCTGGTATCTCAGATTTGAATTTAACCGTTTTCTGCCATTTGAGCGGTGGAAGTGGAGGAGAAAATGGGAAAAATTAGAGCGAAGAAAGAGAGAAACGAAATACAAAGAGAAACAAGAAAAAACGAGAAATTAAAAAAGGCAGCTACCTTCTGCTGATTTCTGTGCGCCTGGTATCTCAGATTTGAATTTAACCGTTTTCTGCCATTTGAGCGGTGGAAAGTGGAGGCAGAAAATGGGACAAATTAGAGCGAAAAGAGAGAGCAACGAAATACAAAGAGAAACAAGAAAAAACGAGAAATTAAAAAAGGCAGCGACCTTCTGCTGATTTCTGTGCGCCTGGTATCTCAGATTTGAATTTATCCGTTTTCTGCCATTTGAGCGGTGGAAAGTGGAGGAAGAAAATGGGAAAAATTAGAGCGAAGAAAGAGAGAAACGAAATACAAAGAGAAACAAGAAAAAACGAGAAATTAAAAAAAGGCAGCTACCTTCTGCTGATTTCTGTGCGCCTGGTATCTCAGATTTGAATTTAACCGTTTTCTGCCATTTGAGCGGTGGAAAGTGGAGGCAGAAAATGGGAAAAATTAGAGCGAAAAGAGAGAGCAACGAAATACAAAGAGAAACAAGAAAAAACGAGAAATTAAAAAAGGCAGCGACCTTCTGCTGATTTCTGTGCGCCTGGTATCTCAGATTTGAATTTATCCGTTTTCTGCCATTTGAGCGGTGGAAAGTGGAGGAAGAAAATGAGAAAAATTAGAGCGGAAAAAGAGAGAAACGAAATACAAAGAGAAACAAGAAAAAACGAGAATTTAAAAAAGGCAGCGACCTTCTGCTGATTTCTGTGCGCCTGGTATCTCAGATTTGAATTTAACCGTTTTCTGCCATTGGAGCGGTGGAAAGTGGAGGCAGAAAAAGGGAAAAATTAGGGGAGGAAGAAACGAAATACAAAGAGAAACAAGTAAAAACGAGAAATTAAAAAAGGCAGCGACCTTCTGCTGATTTCTGTGCGCCTGGTATCTCAGATTTGAATTTAACCGTTTTCTGCCATTTGAGCGGTGGAAAGTGGAGGAAGAAAATGAGAAAAATTAGAGCGAAAAGAGAGAGAGCAACGAAATACAAAGAGAAACAAGAAAAAATCTCCGCGAGGAGATATGCAGGCAAACTGTGTCGTTAGGGCCTGCCAGGAGATATTTCGCCCGGGGATATGTCGCTATGCCACCAGGCGAACAGAAATCAGCAGAAGGTTTTTGATTTCTCGGTTTTTCTCTTTGTATTTCGGTCCTCTCTTTATTTCATCTTCCTTTTCTGACTGAATAATTAGCAGGTAAATTATAAGCTACAAAAATAATTAAAATAGAAGAAAACACCCTTAACTTTGTTAGTAGATATATATTTATTTTTTATTTGATTTATTTATCGTTTAATTTCGATTACACGCAATAAGCTAATTTAATAATAAGTATCTTGTATCTTGTGGATTGTGTTTGAGAGAGTTCTACGCATTTTGCTTTTTATTACTGGATCGATTACGCTAAGGATTAAGTACATTTACGGTGTGTATGTGTGTGTCTTGGACGGATTAGTATTACGTTAGGCGAAAAAAAAAAAATATAATATATGTAAGATAGATAAGGATAGGAAGGATAATCGTGAAAAGTATTTTAGTGGTACCCGTTGAAAGGAAAACCATTGGAAGCCCGCATATCATCTTGTGATTCTTCTGATCCTCTGCCGCCTGTCGTGTGTGTCAATTAGGAAAGTGTTGCAGTTGCAAGTGTCGCAGTGTGGATATATGTAGCTGGGATATACACGTATCTGTATCTGCATCTATATCTTCTAGCTCTATTCTGTAGTAATACTTTTATTTCAAAACCTGTGGAAACCCTCTCTTATGGGTTGTGCTACTCGGAATCTGTTCGTTTTTGTGCATGTGGCAGTTGCCCCAAAATATAAATCCATGGTGTGTGTTAGGGCTGGACTCTGTATATACATCATGTATATATATATATATATAAAAAAAAGTCGGGGCAGAACACAATATTCTAATAAAAATATAAAAAGGGCAGCAACATTTCACCTCCTACTTCGCTCTCTCTCTCTCTCTATCTCTCTTTTTCCATTGTGACAATCGAAATGCTTTGGGCAGGGCAGCATATAGGATCTCTTATACGAACTATATCTAAATTGGAATATTTAACCCATGCTCTCTGTCTCTCTCTCTTTCTCATTCGCTGCTGGAGCTGCTGGGCGTTTCAAACATACAAAAGATTCGTTTGATTTGTGCAGTGTTTTAAAATAAAGCATTTCCAGTGCCTAGAAATTCCATTAATGGAAGATCGAGGCTTGAACCTCGAAGCTTGATGATCCTTGAACCTTGAACCTCATCCGCTTTGAACTGACATTTTGTGGGCATTTCTCTGCTGCGAGCTATTTTTAATGTCAGGCAATTGTAATTGGCACGTTTTGTTTGTTTTGTTTGTTAATTATTGTAAGAATATAATCGTCTACGACCTATGGGAATGTGTGGAACCATGGACTGATTGGCTTGCAGCTGAGCTCGAGCAGAAGGGCCCAGACACCCCAACCCACCCAAAATGGATATGTGGACGCGTGCTGCGCCTTCCTGCTGAAGCTACCGAGCTGGGAACCCCTCCATCCGGTACGCTTGTTTTTTTTTTGTTTAGTCGATTGTTAATAGTAGAAGTGACAGTGTGACTACTCGAAGGAAGGGCTCCGGTCTACCACTTGCGCGGCGGCATGGGCAGCTCCTTCTCGGCATGGTAGACACTGCGATGGGGGTCCACATACTCGCTCTGCGACTGGGTCTGGGCCAGGACACGCTGCTCGCCGCTACGTCCCGAGGCTATGGCTAGGGGCTGCAAGAGTAACCAGAGAGTGAGTCAGTAAATGCAATCAAATGCCCTGGGAGTGTACCCACCTGACGTGCTCGACGAGCATGTGGTGTGCCCTCTGGCGAGGAGATCTCAATCTCGAGGTCATCGGGAGCGGTCCAGTGCTCGGTGAACTCGCTGGCGGATCGGGCCAGCGAGGGATGACTGAGCGAGCGATGGAAGGAGCGTCGATCCTCGTCGTCATAGTACTGCATGCGATAGTAGCTGCTCGCATCGCTCACATTGTCCAGCTGGTCCGCCTGCGGGCGGCCAAAGTCCACCGTCACCTCCGACATGGAGCGGAAGTCGTTGTGGTCCGTCTGGTAGGAGGTGCGCGAGCTGCGTCTCGAACGCTGCATATTGAAGGGTCCCACCGGCTGGCCGGCGCCGCCCACATGGAGCGGCAGGCCGGGATCGTTGCGTATGGTGCGCACACTGGAGCCACCATCGCTGTCGTATTCGTAGAGCGTCGGCAGGGAGCTGCGACGGGAGCGCGTGTCCCAGGGCTGCGGTGGCGCCTTCTTGCCGCCACGCCTCGGCAGACGCATCTCCACATCGGTGTCATCGTCGCTGGGCGGGGGCGCCAGTATCCGTATGATGACGTCCCATGTCTGCGGCTCGAACATCCGCTCGTAGCGCGTGTCCTGCCGAATGCGCTCAAAGTCCTCGCGCACCACAGCCTCCGTGAGCATCGAGCGCAGCGTCGACTGTGTGGTGATGATCTCCTTCCACTTGGCCCGGTCGTCGTAGCTGATGTTGTGGTAGCTGGTGCTGCTGCTGTTGATGTTGTGCACAGAGCTGGCGTCATCGCCCGCCGGTCCCGAACCGATCTCGGACATTTCGGGCATTTCGGGCTCCCTCGAGTATGCGTATGAGCACATCCCAATTGGGCACATCCATGTCCTGGGGCGGCACCTCAATCGGCTTCATGTTGCCCACCAGCTCGGGGCTGGTCAGCTTCAGTTTGTTGTCGTGAATCTGAGATGGGGGCTCCGCTGGTGGCAGCGACAGCTCGCTGCGCTCCATTTTGGGCGTCAGAGTCAGCCCCGAGGCGCTGGATATATCCGAGAAGTTCTCCCACAGCTGCTGTTCCCGCTCGCTGGGATAGTTGCGCACCTTCACATCGAATTTGGGATCGACGGGCGGCGCTGGCGGCGGCACCGGTGGCAGCGGTGCCTTCGGCTTGCTCTTGTACTCGGTCACCCTGCGCTTGTGGCTCTCAATGTCCTCGATGGTCTTCTTCTCGGTGACGGTGCGCAGATAGACATCGTCCACCGTGTGCGAGGTGACATGCGGCAGGGGCAGGGGCAGGGGCTGGGGCTGGGGCGACACTGCCACTGGCACTGCGGCCACTGTCATCGAATGGTGTGCATGGGTATGGGGCAGCGGCTCAATGGGCACATACTCATCCTCGTAGTAGTGCATCGAGTCCACGGTCCTGTCGTTTGGCGGCTCCGAGGACAAGTCGGTTATCTCGCTGGGTGCGCGTGTGCCCCCGCCATCGGTGTAGGTGTAGTCGGACCAGGTCTCCGGCCGTCCGTCCACCACCTCGTGATGGGTGCGCGTGTACACCGAGAACTTCGGTTCTGCCGGCGGCGGCAGTGGCAGTGGCATCGACAGCGGCAGCTGTGGGGCTGGATGCAGCTCGGGCACATACGTGAACTGCGACTGCATTGTCTCCACCTGCGGCGGCAGCGAGTCCATGGTCATGATGCTCTCCCGATCCTCGTACGCCTCCATAATGGTCGATAGATTGTTGCGATCGGGCCGCAGCGTTGCCACGCTCTCCGTGTCCGAGGTCACCGGCGAGGGCACTGGCGGCGGTGACTTCTTCACCCGCACCTGCACATCGAACTTGGGCGAGCCCTCCTGCAGCAGGGGTATCGCATGCCGTGTGGTGAGGGCCGCCGTTGTGACCACCGCATTCGCCACGGGCACCTCCTGGGCGGGCGCATAGTGATCGCTGTAAATGCTCGATGTCTCCTGGACAAAGGCCCGATTCTCGAAGCTGCCCGCCGAGCTGAACGGCAGCGATCGCGTGTCAATCTCCTCAATCTCCGAGTGCGACTCGCTGGGATAGTCGGAGGGTATGAGCGCACCCTCGCTGCCCGAGGAGGAGTAGACGGCCTGCAGGGCGGCATGGGCACGGGGTATCTTGACGCCCTCGAAGACGCTTATGTTGCCCACGCTGCTGCCGCTCAGCTTTGTGATCTCGGAGCCACTGCCCATGCTCATGGGCAGGCGTCGCACCACCGGTATGGGTCGGCTGCGCAGGCAATAGTAGGAGACGGCCAGGCCCAGCAGCAGGAGTGTCAGGAACATAATGGCACAGATGATCATCAGTATCTGGATGCTCTTCAGCGGCGGCTGCAGCACAGAGCTGGTGGCAATGGGATTCAGGCTGCGGGAGGGATTGAGGAGTTGCATTCAAGAGTCAGGGTCAAGAGAGTGTCCCAGGATCAAGTCCCGGGACAGAGGCTACTCACATGGGCGCTGGCAGTGCGGGTGGCAGTGAGGGCACTGGCGGCGGATAGCGGCACACAATTGTAATAATCTCGTCCCCATCCATCTCCAGATTGGCATGGAAGCGCACAATAATGTTGTTGGTGAAGACACGTGTGGGATTCTGTGGGAGGGGAGGGCAGAGGATTCTGTAATCAAACGGGGGGAGGGGAACCAGCAAGCCGCGGGGCAAGCCTTACCTGTATGGTGCCACAGCCCTTAAGGGGCAACTCCAGGCGATAGCTGAGCGCTCCCTTGCCACTGACGCGACACGCACTGCTGCGATCATAGTCAGCCTGAATGATGCCATGGAATGGATCGTTAAACTTCATATCAACCTGCAATACAAAATGAGGCAAGGTGGCAGTGTCAGCGTCTGAGTCTGAGTCTGTGTCTGTGGAGGCTTCAAAGGTCAGGCAGGGGCAGGGGCAGGGGAGGGGCTTGGGTTAGGTCGGGGAATTTACCTGCATGGAGCCAGCGGCACAATTGAGCGCTGCTTTGGTGCGATTCAAAAATATCAATGGGCTGATGTCGTCCAGTTTGGTTACCTTGACAAAAAAAAAAACAAAAGAAACAGCAACAGAAATTAATTATTATGAGTATGGCGCCAGTCACCCAGCCACCCAGCCACCCAGCCACCCAACATTCACCTGGATTCCCAGTGTGTGTGTGTAGAGTGGAGTGTGGAGTGAGAGAAAGCGATGCTCTCCTAGAGAGATGCACCACTGATCAGCATATTATGTAAGCTACGCTCGTAGTGCCCTCCATGACTGCGCTTCCGATTTCTGCAAGCACGCCATTATAATACCTAATACGGATGGGATGCTTCAGGGAAACTCCCAGGGCCTCCAGGCCACTCCATTGTCTCTTTTTGTTTGTTTGTTTGTTTGTGTTGTGTTTGTGTTTTCTTTTTTTTTGGGCCAAGAGAGCGTGACAGCAGGAAGACAGCAGGCGGAGGCAACAACACACTAAAAATATGCATGGACCTACCCACCTACATACTCACGCGCACATTGTTAATGCTGCAGTAGGTTGCCAGAACGAACACTCAAGGGAGTCTGTAGGTACTGCACACGTAGCTTGGCTACAGTGGGGTAGAGAGAGCTTCCCTGAGAGCTCTTGGCTTGACTTATAGGACTTTAGGACTTATATTTAATTATGAGCAGATAAATCTATTACCAAATAAAAGCAATGCCATGGAAGAAATTATTGCAGAGAGCTTTTAATGCCTTAAAAGAAATATATAAGCCCATTTAAGCACTGCCTTGAATTTATAATCCTCAAATGTGGCTCCCACATCGAGGCTCATGTTAAAAAAGAAAGACACCTTAATGAACACATTTAATCATGGCTTCAACTTAAGCCTCAGCCAACAGACATAACTCTTTTTCGTGTGTCGTTTCGACTGGGGAAGCTGAAGCTGTTTAGCCTGCGATTAGCCAACAGGGCCCTTCTTACGTATGGATAAACCCTGTTCATGTAGAGGGGTCTTGGGCTTAGACAGAGGCTTACCTTGCCGTCCAGTGTCGCCTCCTCGGGCAGACCGTTTGTGGTGTAGTTGCCGCTATCGCCATGTTGCACGTAATTGGACTGGGCCGCAGCCTGTCCGCTGCAGATAAGCAGCAGGAGAGCCGCCATTAAGCAGCAACGACGATTGCGACAGCGACTGCTGCTGCTGCTGCTGGCCCACAATGGCCCCGGGTCCGAGTTCATTTTGGTAACGTAGAGAGACTGAAGACTGTAGACTGGACACTGCGACTGCAACAAAAGAGACTGCAACAGAAAGAAAAATGCATATACAATTAGCACAAGGCAATGGAAATTGCACTGGCCTGGACATACACCTCATGGCCACACAGCGAAAAAAAGGCAGCCCTGAGCAGCGTATTTTTACACTTGCATTTTAATATTTATAACAATAAATTTGCTCCAAGGATGCAAATTGTAATGTTAAATTATTTGTACCTAAATTGTATCATTAATATGAAAATATTTAATTTAATTATTAAGATACATATGTATATGTATTTATTTTCATTTATTTAGTTATTTATTTTTCCTGAGCTGAACCCTCGTTTAAGTTGGGGCCTCCAGGCTGAATTTGATCTAAATATATTTCATATTTGATCTAAATATATTTCAATATTTAATCTAAATATAAATATTTACTAATATATTTCATATTCCAAATATATTTAATATTTGACAAATTTTCATATTTAAATCAATATGTTATTTTTTTTTTTAGAGTGTTTTATATTTTGATTAAATATTTTAAAAATTTTAAAAAGTTTTAATAAATTTATGCTACAAGTCAAAGGTATAATTTTTAATTTCACATTATTTTAATATGAAAATTAAATGTTTAATTTAAATATGTCTGTGTTTCTTTTTACTATGCCATTTTTTCTCTCAGTGTATGTAAAAGGTAGTACAGTGTGTGGTCAACAGAATTTTAATTGTTCTTAAGATGATGAAAACTTTTTAGCAATATTCGAGTTATATCTTAAATTAAATTTATTAAATGTAAAATTCGTAGACTTAAATTTTTGTAAATAAATATAAGTTAAATGAGAAATAGAATTATGTGGAGTGCTTTGCCAAGTAAATGAAATTTTAGAGATTGGGGGATCACTCAATAAAACAATATAATAATAATAAAATACCAATAACTATATTTCCCTGTTGTTTGTCTTGGCAATTGTTCAATCTCTCGACTGCCGATCGTTTCTTAAAACATCAGTGTTTCCCGCCCTCAAAAGTGTAGGCAGCATTGCTTGATCTGTGCTCAATATCTCTACCCCGTTTCACTTGCCTATGGTGTTTACTGTACTTTGTTTTTGAGCTATGGCTAGGGCTGGGCGATCGTGACGCAGATGGAGACCGCAGAGTAGGCCGCAGTGGCAGTGGCAGTGGCAGTTGCAGCTGCAGCTGTGTGTCGATCGATTCTTCGATGAGAGTGGTGCAGCTGTGCATAACTGTGGGTCGGTGGTTGGCCTGGCCACAATTGAACCCACTGGGAAAAAATGGACGAACAAAATGGGGTCTCTGGTCGCCGATATTTGATTTATCTGCTGGCAAATGGCCCGCACGCAGCTGCTGGCTGTTTTTTTTGCTTGCCCCGAATTTAGATCACCCCAAAAAAACGTTGCAATGGCGTAGCGGATGTGGGATATGTATCTATGTGTGTGCGAGTATCTATGAGCACAGGTATGCCCCGTTAGGTCGTATCTGCGATCATCTCATCGTCATCGTCAGCGTCGCCGCAGCCGCAGCCGCAGCCGCGGCCTGCCCCTGCCTCGCCCAGAGCTGCGGAGCGGCCTTCTGTCAACGACCTTCGTGCCAAATATTTTTGCGTTTCAACAGCAACCACAATGAGATACAAAGATACCCAGATACACGTGTATATGTAGCTACATGTACATATGTTAGAACCAATTTTCCCTTTGAAATCGGCTCGAAGAGCTTTCTCTGCGAGGAGTGGGCCATGCGCTTGGAGCTGGAGCTGGAGTTCAAGCTGTGGAAGCTGTAGATTTCTGGGAGCTCTGATCTATGAAGAGGCAAGCGAACAACAGATGTTCCAATGTCAATGTCAAGAGATTGATGGGTCGCCCAGACCGAAGACCGAAGACTGTAGCTTCAGCTGTAGAGCTCTGCCAGCGGAGGCTTTGGCAAATTTATACAGATACTCGTATGGGATGGGATGGAATGGGATGGGGGCATCCACTTACACTGGCGACGGAGCGATGGATCGATTGGATGCTGCTTATGGTGCTGAGCGTATTGCATAAAGGCAAAGCAATCGTAGTCATACGCAATACGAAAGACTTGGCGAAACGAGGCAGACAGCAAGACAGCGAGACAGACAGCAAGACAGACAGTCAGATATATCGATGTCGATGTTGAAGTCGTTGCTGCGCAGACCAATAAAGCGAGACAACACCTACGACAATTTTGCCATATTTGTCAGGCAAGTTGCCTTGAAGCGGATCTCCTGCCCCCCCCCGCACCCACCGCTGTCCGTTTGACTGCATTTGCCACAAGATACGATACTCAGTCTCGCACAAAAACCAAGTCAAATCGAATCGAATCGAATCGAGTTGAGTTGAGTTGAGGCAAAAAGCCAAGACAGCCAGCAGCAGCAGCAGCAACAAAAAGTAAAGCAAAGCCAGCAGACACAGACACAGACATGGCTCTTTGCTTTTGTGGCTTAAATTCTACTTGATTTGAGTTAACCATTTTTCGCCAAACAAGTTTTTCAGCCAACACACAGAGACAACCACACACACACACACACACACACACACACAGAGATATACGAGGCGAATCTTTGAATGTACGTAGGAGAGCAATTTAGACAGCCAGTCCCAAGCAAAAAGGTAAGACAACCAACAGGGCCGGCCAGGTGGGTAAGCCAAAGAGTGGGGCTAATGACGGAGTGCTGCCTTCTCCTCCACCTCCTGCTTCGCCTCTTGCTTCTCCTTCTTCTTCTCTGTTTGCGACTGCAGAAAGTGCAACTGCCGCAAAGCTATGGGCAGCGAGCGAGCGAGCTAGCGAGAGAAATATGTGAGATTTGTCAAGGTTGTTGTCACGTAGTCCAGTCCAGGACAGGCCAGGCCAGAAACATATGTATATATTTTCGTTATCATTCGCAGCCATGAGTCATGGCTATAAAAGTATCTCTCACAATTTTTGCTTCACATTAGAAGAACTTGTTTTGATCAGCAAGCGATCCAAATGGGACAATATTATAAAGGCATATGGCATAGGTCGCTTGGTCGCTTGGGCTAGTAATACTCCCAAGAAAGTGGCTGAGCAACTTGCTGAATGCTATAAGAAAATAGGCAGCATAAGCTTTAATTCAAAGAGCACTTGAAAGACTGACTTGAAACGAAATTGTGAGTCATGTGAGAAAATTAGATGACAACATTCGCCGAAGGGGTAGAGAAAAAAGTAGAAGCGCGCACTCGTGAATGTCTGGTGGGGCATATGAGTCAATGTAGCATCACTTCTTGGAAGAACAAATCAAATACTGATTTATCAGCAAGTATGGGGCATCTCCACTTCCTTGCACTGAGTTAGTTTGCCCCGCACGAGCGTAACTACTTGACTCCCATGGAACGCTTTCCTTTATGGGCATGGCCATAATACTTCCTTATGGAAACATCAATCAATCGTGCACTGCAGAATGCTCCTTTATATTAAGTGATTTGTGTGTAGCGTTTCGAATACAACTACGTGACACCTTGAGACGTTATGGGCTACCGATCGTGTAGGCTGCTGTCGTAAAGCAAAGACCTCAGCGAAATCTTTTGTCATTTATCTGGTTGGTAATTCAGCTAATGTTTTTTTTTTAGTTTTGTTAGCAGCTTATATTAGCTGTTGTATAAGCCGCTGCTACACTACAGACCTTATGAAATTCTCTGCAGATGCGATCATGCGTTAAGCTTTATACAAAAAGCATATACCCACATACTATATACTCTATTAATGTATGTATACATTTTCCTAAATTATCTCAAGTCACGCAAAATAAATTTAGAAGTTCCAGAGAGTTGGCAATTAATTGGGGATTAGAGTTCTTTCAGGTGTATGGAAATTTCGGATACACACACACAGACAGACAGACGATGCCCAACAATGATGCACATGCACATACATCATACATACATACATACATATGTATGTACAGGTACTTTGGTATGTATTAAAGATACACAGCGGTGCTCAGTGTACACCCATACATCTGTACATAGGTTTTGCTTTGTCGCTCCTCGAATAACGAACAAAACTGGTATTTTTTTAACTTGTTGCTGCTGCTGCTGCTGCTGCTGCCTTGCCCCATTCCACTGCCCACTGCCCTCCCGCCTCCCGCCTACCCCCGATGGCAGCTCTGGTTTAATGATTACGCGACGCGGTCGCTGCCTGCTGCCTGCTGCCTGCTGTTGCTGCTGCTCCAAAGTTGACGGAAAGGCGCCCTGTGTGCCGGAGTACAGCGTCAAGTATGTAACGACGCTGCGCATGCGCCCAGTCTCTTACTCTCTCACTCACTCACTCTCTCTCTCGCTTTTACCCTCTCCCAAAGGCCGCTTGCTTGCCTAATCGGCGGAGGGAGTAAGCCCAAGCCTCATGCGTAAGCCCAAGTTACAGTGAGTGCTAAGCTCAGGCACCACCACCAGCAGCATAAGCAGAAGCAGCAGCAGCAGCGGTGCTGTGGTGGCTTCTATGGCGGCGTTTTGGGCAACATTCCAACAGTGCCGATGCCCACGCATTAACCACAAGTACACCCATGGCACTGGCACTGAGCTGAACTGAGCAGAACTGAACTGAGCAGAACTGAACTGAGCAGAACTGAACTGAGCAGAACTGAACTGAACTGAGGTTTGTGTGTATAAGCTGGATGGGATTATGAACGAGGGCGGAAGCTACAGTTCTGACTAGCAGGGATCACAGTGCAACAATCGCAGGGGAAGTACACACTTTCAATTGCAATTCTTTGGAATTTGTTCAATTTCTATTCTACGAATTTTGCACATTTTTTATATCTTTTTTTTACAATAGAAATTCCTCCAACAAAAATAAGGTAGATATTCCTATCATAATTCTATTCTTTTTTAAAGCTGTTAGCTGTTTATTTGCAGCATATTTTTCTTTGAATCAATTTCTGTTTAAAGCTGCTCATTTTTAATCAGAAGAGTAAGTATCATATTTTTCTTTGAATTCATTTGCATGGAATCCATAAACAAAACAGCTTTGCGTTGCCTTTGCGTTTGATTAGCATGCAAATTGATTAACAGCTGGGTCTGAAGCTGCGTTCAAAGTCCGACATTCGAAAGAAAACTAAACCAAATTCAAGAGCATCTTGGTTTAATTTTTATAAGCCAAAAAAAATGGATTATCTTTGCAAACATTTGCCCCGCCCTTTACCTATTTTGTGTCGCTCAAAGGAAGGATGCATGAGAACATACTATGGCGCCATTAGGAACCTACACTTAGTACTCAAATAACCCTCGGTTCTGCGCTAAGCTCAGCTCAGCTCCGCCCCGCAAATAATTAATTCGAGTGAAGCGTAAGAACTTGTTGAAGTGCAGCATCAGCAGTAGCAGCAGCAGCAACAAGCATCGGTAGCATCAGAAATGATTGTGCACAGAAGGCAGACGCCATCGGAAATGATTGTGAAGTGAAGCGACGGAACAATATAATTTAATGAACACATCAACGATGCGATGAGGTTGGGGTTGCGGTTGCGGTTGGGGTTGGGCTTGGGGAGAACTCTCCTCCTCTCACATTCTCGAGTCGAGTCCACTCCAACTCCAACTCCACTCCACTCCACTCCACTCGATACTTGGATACTCGGATACAATTGAGTGGCACTTTCTCGGATCAGTGGCAATTTGTTCCGTCAGGGGATTACTGTACTTTTTGTCTGTTTGTTGTTCTCTGTGGTGGGGGAAAGCAGGCCCTCGATCGACTCTATTCTATGCTCTGTTCTATTGTGGGGAGTGCGAAATGAGGATTCGGCATTGGGCTGGGTATTGGGGGCTGCTGCTGGCATTGTCAACTATCAAACAATTGTGTGGAAAAAGTGCACAGACAGGCGTATGAGTAATACAAATTCCTGTCTGATCGATCAATCGCTTGATCTCGTATGCGGAGCCCGGAGTCCGGACCCCAAACGATGATGATGATAATGATGATGTATATCCAATTGCCAGAACATTGTCCCGATCGATAGGCTGTGTGGCTGGCGTCCAATACTAATTAGACGGGCACTGTGTTTTTTTTTCTGTTGTTGTTGTTGTTCGTGTGCACAGTGCGCTGCATTTGTTTGTTCACAGCTAAATACAGCAAAGCTGTGCAAATAGCTTTAAACTAAAGTCTTAAATATATGATTATGGGATGTACATAATTATTTCCTTTTTGTTTTCGAAGGTTACTGCATTGGACATGCGAATGCGAGGGCTGCACTGTTTTAATTGTTTGTTTTCGTAATTTGTAAGCCAAAAAAATAAAAGGAAACAATAGCAAAAAAATAAAGAAGAGTTTTAAATATTTTACCCGTAAACTACTAACATGAACACTGCACTTTTGTTGGTATTTGATTTTATTTATTGCTCTTTTGTTATGCCTCAAAAGCGAGAGAGACAGGGAGAGAGAGTAAGAGATTTCGCAACGGTATTACGGGACTTGGCTTTGCTGTGCCAAAAAAAAAATAAAATAAAAAAGAAAAACCAATTTAAAACAACAACAAAAAATTTACACACAAAACTTGGATTTGTTTTTTGTTTCTTTACTTTTTTGTTTTCCTGTGTGTGTGTGTGTGTATTTTGTTTCGGGTCGCGCTCCGACGCTTTAGCTCTAGCCGCGCTCTGGGCCTCGTTGCCTCCGTTGGGTGTGGGATTATTATTCAATGCCGATTCTGTGCGAACTACAACCGTCTCGTCTATGTACTGCTGCGGGTCTGTATCGTGTCGTGTCTTTCGTTGGTAACACTTGTCCGTAGCCCGAACGCGCTCTAGTGGATTACCTGCTAGCGACTGAATTCGACTGCCATTCCACTCCATTCCATTCCGGCTGAGTCTGTGCATTCATAAATCTCTCTCTCTCTCAGCCAACTCTACCACACGCTCTCCCTCTGCCTCTGCCTCTGCCCCTGCCAATGTCCGCTGTCTCTCTCTCTCCGTCTCTCGCTTTGCTGGGCCACCGATGCGCATCGGATACACCGCCGTCGGTCGGAGCTGAAAGCTGAAGCTGGCCCTCGGACCCACGAAACCTCGACAGACGAAAGCCCAGCTCAGAGAGCGAGCCACGATCGGTATCTCTGGCTCTGTCTCTGGCCCAAAATATCTCTCGCTGTGTGTTGCCAAACCTGTTGCCTGTTCGTTGCTTGGCTTTAATGGCGCTGCCTGCCCCACCTCACCCTCTCCCAGTGCGGCCTCATTGTCTCTCTGCTGTTAGTTGTCCATTAGACAAACTGAGAGTCAGCCCCCCGCAATTTCGTTCTCTCTGTATCTCTCTTTTCGGGTGGGAGAGAGCGCCACGTAGGTAAGCACACCACTCACGCTCCAATCTCCACGAGCAGCGAGAAACAGACAACCAATGCACTCGCCAAGAGCTGCCTGCGCCCACAGAAAGCCGTCCTTCTCTCGCGAATCATACAGTGAGCCATACAGTGGGCACTCTACAGAGCAAACATGCCAAGAAATATCTAGTCTTCAGCATGGACTTCAAGTCAATTAGTTTACCTCGTTTCCACTGTATTTGGCAGCATTCCGTAGTGGGCTCGGGTTGGGAGACATTTATCAGTGCAGCATATCCAGGGCCCTGGCTAATAAATAGTAAAGTCAATTGGGTATTCAGGACCAGCAGCAGTAGCACTACTTACTCGCGGAAATGCCTTGTGTACTTGCAACAGCAAACCTGCAGCCGGTCCGCTCGTAAGCTGTGGCCCCACCAGGCCACAAAAATTCGAATCTTTATCATCCATACAAGATTTGCATAATTAGTAGCTTATTTTTGTGGAGAACTAATGGCACTAAAGAAATATAATATTATTAGCTTATTTTAATTATGAATGTGCAACACCAGCCACACAATTTGGATACCAATCAGATGCACGTGCCCAAAAAGCTTAGGGCATATCTTTTAATTTTTTATTCCAATATGTTGTTCCACATTTTAAATTCAAAACATACAAAAAAATAAAAATGTATCTCTTTTCTCTTCTACAGCCTCAACAGTTTTAAATGTAGGTTTCTTTCTCCGCTTCTTTTGTTGCTATTGTTTTTTGTGCTTCTTCTTTGGTTTTTATTCTTTGAGAACAAGGAACACAGTCCCTTCTCGTTGGATGTGTACTGTTTCTTGTGGTTTATATTTAATAATCGTCATCTTTAAGTGTTGCCTCCTTGTGCCGTGTCCTTCTCATTTCGTAGTTTTGTTTATTCCTCCAGTGTAGGTTCTTCATTGCTCTTCTTCATTATACACACCTTCCTCATTGAGTACCAAGCGGAATTTGGTATATTTATTTACCAGCTTAATGCGAAACGAGGAATTCAGAGGATTGTAACGCAAGTCAAATACATTCATGCGGTCGCTCTTTATGGGCTGACTTAAATCGAATTCTGCAAGATGCGATGGTTCGAAATGGATAATGTTTTGTTGGCCACGAGTGCCCCTTAGCGATGAGCTTACCCGAAATGAAGTTGTTCTGAGCATACAAATGGCTCAAGTGCGGCAGCTTGAAAACTATATCGGGCAATGCGTAAAACAAATTAGATGATAAATCGAGTGTCTCCAACGCCGGCAGATTGCCCATCTCCACTGGCAGTATGGCCAGAAAGTTGTGCGATATATTCAGTTCTGAAACGATTAGATGATTAGTAGATATCCATCTATTAGGTAATCTGCCAATTGATTCTTACTGGTTAGAGCCTGGAAATCAAGTGCCAATTGTGGTGGTATGTTATTCAATAAATTTCCGCTGATATCACACTCCTTCACCTGAGCGTGCGACATAATGTTGAAAACAACTGGAGGAACTACGGTGAGATTGCTCGAGTTTAAATCTGCAAGAAGGAAATTCCTGGTTAAGCTTTCAGATTTTAAGAACTGGATGTGCCGCAGTGATATGTTACAATTAAAGTCCATTGCTAATACTGTAAATAAAATTGCAAATAAAAATATTTATCGAAATCCGAATTTCATAATTTCAAATTATTTCCCATTGTTACAGACAGATGCAGCGATATTTGCATACATATATATTAGAGGACACGCAGACTATTCTTTCTGTGCGTTGTAAACTTTTGGCATCGTACCACTTCACACGCATAGAATTCCTCACCACTACACACGCATACAAATCTACGAATGAGCTCCTTGAAAACTGTGCGCTTCTGCCAAAAACAACAACTGCCAAACACGTTAAAAAGTTGAAAGTGTTGTAGCGAATCATAGGACTCGTATCCTTGCATTGAAAACTGCTGGACGCTGATTGTAGAAGTCACAATTTGCTGAAGTGATGAAGCTTTTCCCATGTTTCGCACTACTACACACATAGAATTCCAAGAAATTTAACGGCTAACCAATACACACACACACACAGGCGCATGCAAATATACGAACAGACGCCTGGAAGGCGGCGTCGTGCTACCCAGACACGAGACACGGTTAAAAGTTGTGCACGCACACGCAGATAATGTGGCAGCTCGATGGACTTTCATTGGATTCGAATCATTGCATTGAAGGCCACAATTTGCCGAGGCGATGAAGCTTTTCCCATAATCTCACTACTGCACGCACAGAATTCCAAGAAAATGGAAGTTTCAGCGAGAGGTACACACACACACACACACACATACAAATTTACGGGACGATACGTTGAGAGCGGCGAGAGAGCTCCACAAAACGTTGCACTTGCGCGCTGAAATTACCGTTGTGGCAGCTACAAGACTACGAGAAGATTCCCTTGTGTTGCAAGTACAAAATGTCGCTGTATTTGATGCCTTTTTCTAATGCAAATTTCCGTATGCACGCACAGGATGTGCGTAGATTTGTGTATGATTGTGTGTGGCGTGTGGCTTTTGCAAAAACTTACCAAGGACTCCTGTCTCTCTGGCCCTCTCGCACTTCGGATACAGCGGAAGCATCTCGTCAATTTTTTCAATTAAATCCATATTTTAGCTGTTTAGCAGTATTTGGGGTTAATTTGGGAAATTTGCGCTCGTCCCGTAATCTTTGCCGCTGGAAAAAGAGTTTTGTCCGGTTGAAAATGTCAGGGTTGCTACCTTCCTTGAAGATGTATATTTATTGGTATTTTATCCACGGTAAAATTCGCTGAAATTCGCAATTGCCTTTTGCCTTTTGTTTCGTATTTGCCTTTCCGCACGAAACGAAACTAATTTTGGGAGAATTTAGACAATTTACTGTTGACTGACTATTGGAATCCTTTGTTTTTAAATAGGCAAAATGAGATCGATAATAATATTCATAATTGCCAATCGATTAGTGACGTCATAAACTCAAAGCTCAAATTGAAGGACTAACGGCCAAACGATCCAGATTCAGACTGCTATGCGCTGACCATCAGGCGGGACCTGGGGGCCAAACAAATGTTGGAGCCGGAATAACGCAGCCAGCCCAAAGGTGCCGCATCCCACTTACGAGCTATGCTGCGGCGCTCTCCCTTGAATTTCCCGCGTCGATCCAGTGTGACCCTCTTTTGCCAGGTCAACTGTTACGTCACTAGCCCTTGTCTGTTGACATTTGAGCAAATACTACACCTTGGCATCGCTGGTGATGCGATCTACCAACATACTGAGCACGTTTCTTCATCATTTTAAGGTAATCGGTTTTAATTTTTCAATATATTAACTATAGATTTTTGCAGTTGGCGTGTACACACTAATTTTCCGATGCGACGATATTCATCGCATATTGCGTGCTATATATCGACTACAAATATTAGCACATATGGCTAAAATTCGTTCAATTGGAATTAAATATCCCGCGTATTCATTTTGGATCGAATTTCAGCGAATGCAGTGAAACATCAATGAGAAAAAAAACATCGATGACATCGATGCTAAATCGATGTTTTTGCAACCCTAATGTGAATGGCTAAAACGGTAAACGGTCCTCCTCATATCATCCACGCGTCTTTCAAATTTTGACTTTCAGTGCAAGTTGTTTTGTTTTATTTTCTTAAAACAATGGGTCAACTTCCGGAGGATTGGTCACAGTGGAATCCCATGGTTTTGGATTTCAACAACGAACGCCTCAACAATTACGCCGAGGAGTGTGGCCAGAATGTGGTTGAGAAAGCGCGAGCTCCACCGAAGCCGACCGACATGCGTAAAACAGAGGCAGGTAAGGCAAACGCCGAATATCCGTACTTGGTTCTAAGGAAAAAAGTTAGTTTAGTCACCAAATGTGCGGTGCTTAATTTCTTTGGCCAAAGCCATGTTCGCAGCATCGATATGCAGCCTAGATCGGACATCTTCAGAGTTTTCTTTAATGACTTGGGGTAAGTAGAATGGATCTGCCTTTTTGCGTGCTTTGCTAAATATCGCTCGCTGCAGTTCCTTGGAGGCTGCATACTCGCAACTGGATGCATTTCCACAATTAATGAAGTTGCATCGAAGCCGTTTCGGCGCCGAGGGAAAGCCACAGTCCATGGTGAGCCCCGTCAACGCATTAGCCGATCCAGTTAAAGTTCCAGCAATAGCGCCAACTGCACGTGGCGTAATTGATTTGAGCTCGCGCACAATACACGTTTCGCCCAGCGAAAATGTGCATCCAGAGTTCCTGGTTGTGCCAATTGTGGACGCTACGTCCTATAAGGGCGGCTCTCTGCTGGCTATTAGAGATGCGGAGAAGCGCTTTCTGAATGTGAAGTTCGAGTATAATTTGGAGCGCCACGGGGCCTATAAACTTGAGAAAGAATACAAAGATAAATCGTCGACGAAGCCGGCGATCCAGCAGCAGCGTTGCGGCAGAAAATTATATATCGAGTAAGTACAAATAAAGGACTGTGCGAATGACCGATGCCTTGTACGAATATATTATTGAAACTTCCAGTAGATCGCATGCAGATGACGTGCAAGTGGCTGAAGATGATAGCGAGGAGCTGGATATGTCTGGATACGAGAAATGCGCCGTCTGCAGCGGTTACACATCCACCGTGTGCAAAATATGCGATATGCCCTTTTGCGATGCATTCTGCTGGAGCATTGTCTCCGAGCAGCACGATAAGAAATGTGGCACGGCTCAGAAAGTGGATATAAATGATGAACATTTTGAAAAATGTATACCCAAAACGGGTTTGCCGCCAAAACGTACCCTGGTGAAGATTACTGCCTTCGAGCAGTCAAATGTCGTTTATGTGCGCCCGGCTGATACCCTTTCCGATGTGGCCTACTACCGTGTGCTCGCTGAGGTCTGGAAGCATGGCCAAACTGTTGCCAAGCTTGACCAGTTGCCTGTCTGTGGCCAGATTGTAATCTATAAGTTCGAGGGACACGCAGTGCGCGCCATGGTGCTGAATGTGGACAATCCGAGGGATATATGCGTGGTCTCCATTGATTATGGCAGCGTTGAATACACTGATCCGGCTAACCTGTATCAGTGCAGCTCCTATGTGAGTGATTTGCCGCGCTACGCTACACCTGTGAAGCTACGGGGCGTGCCGAGGCGCGCAATAACACCCAGTCTGCGGGAAGTTATGTACGGAATGCAAGGAGATTCGATTACTTTTGAACTGAGGTACCACAAGAGTGAGTACGACGCTGACAGCCACATGCAGAGGGCAGCGCTCATCTATCTGGAGCACAACAGAAGCATAAACAGCCTGCTTAAGCAAGTTATCACACCCATCGAGCCCGGTATGCATGAGCCCGGAGTGAATGAAGATGTATGTATATTATTATGCTGTTTCATCAGAATGTTGTTTTGGTTTTAATTGTGTCGTTGCATAGTTTCTGCCGCATTTGCCTGCGCCAGCGGGCAAGAACGTTGATTTGATTATCACGGACAATTCGTTCCTAAAGTACGGCATCATCTACTGCACACCCGCAAAGTTGGCCGTGGAGATCACAAAAATGCAGCGAGCATTCCAAGACTATGGGGAGAATATTGCCAAATCTGAGACCTATGCCACAGCGTTAGTACTTAATCTCAGAGAGGGAGAGAGAGAGAGAATTTCTTAATTAAATTCTTAATTCTATTTGCAGAAAAGGGCAATTGTGCATGGCCAAGTATATGGGCAAATGGAATCGCGGCGTTTTGATGGAGCTTGTGGGCGATGGCTATCCCAGCATCTTGTTTCTGGACTATGGAAATATTGTACCGATCCATGTGACCGATATCCGTGCATATCCGCCACAATTCACACATCCCGTACTGACTACCGAATATGTTTTGTTGGGTAATTTGAGCAAATGCTTCAATGTAATGCTAAGCTTATAATTCCGATAAATCCTCTCGTGTTTAGGCCTGCCGGAAAACCTCAGCGATGCGCAGGTGCAACGTCTCGAGACACGTCTGGCCTTGGGTGCCATTGTCACCTGCGATGAAATCGTGAAGAACGAGAACAACAATTACTCGCTGCGCTTTGAAGATCTGCCAAAATTTTAAAGTAAAATGCAGTACAAATATTTCCATCATTTACACTCAATTTTTTTTTCTTATTATTAATATATGCACACAAATTTGTACTAATAATACTCGCATGGTACATGCAAAAAATAATAAAGAATAAAGGAAAGCGCTCTAGCTATTCCCCGAAGTGTATATTGCTGAAAATGCTTCATATTTGAGTTTACTTTGGGTAAAAGGTACTGAGGCTGGCTCTCTTGTCTCTAGGCTATATCTAGGCTTTTGCATTTGCAAAAGTTACATAAATGGAAAGATTCAAGAAAATTACACACGCATGCCACTAAACGGGAAATTCGCCACGGAAAATGATCAAAGGGAAAACAAGGACTATGGCCACACCCACTGTCGCCAATGTGATGTAGGGAAAGAGCATAGGGTATGGGATAGGATAGACTGGGCACGACTATCCCGAACATGTCAACAATGTGCTCAGCTCGTGTACGAGCCCGCAGGTGCTTGAATTGCTGCAAAGTCTGTTCAATTAAGTAGATACATAATGTAAAGTATAATGTAACGGATAATGTACTTTGAGATTTCTTAATTGTTTGGTTTCAATGTTTCCAAATTTAAAATTTAAAAAAAACACTTGGAGCTGGGACTTTGCAGGCGCTCGCCTTTACTGTTGCTTGCCAGAGCTATCCGTAGCATACCTATTTGGATAACTAACTATAGCTATCAGTGGCACTGTGTGCCAGTAAAAGTCACACTTATCTTATAATTCTCTTTAACATCCTCTTGATTGGCTGCAATGCCACTCTTGATGGCCGCCTGGTATTCGGACGCAGCTTCTTGAGACGCCCGTGTAGCCTCCATGCTGGCCTTTGAGATTTCTTCTACAGTCTTTTGATTTTTAATCCACTCGCCAACTTGTTTTCCCTTTGATCATTTTGGCACTGTTTGCCAATAAAGGTCAGCCTTATCTTTTAATTATCATCATCATTAACATCAACATTAACATCATAAACATCATAAACAACATAAATTAAATCAAATGACACTTCTTCATTGTTTTTGGAGAACGCCTTTAATTGTGTTTCCTTATGTTGTTTTTACTTATCATTTGTTTGTTAGTTCCTCAGTTCTTATGCTCAATTTAAATTGAAACATCCCCATCGTCGTCGTCGTCGTTGAGTTCGTAGTCGTACGATTTCATATCCGAGATGTTAAGCACCAAACGGAAGGGCGTATTCATCCGCATAAGCTTGCGACGAAAGTGGTGACTCAGCGGATTGAAGCGCAGGTCAACCAGATCCAAGCGGTCGCTTTTTACGGGCTGGGTCAAGTTGAATTCTGCAAGGGAGCAAGGGAATAAACAGCATATAGACAATGTTGCTCTGCAATGAACTAACCAGAAATTAGGTTGCCCTGAGCATAAAAAAATGTCAAGTGCGGCAACTTGAAGGCGGCATCGGGTAATGTATTAAACAAGTTGCATGATATATCTAGATTCTCCAAGCCTTGCAGATTGCCAATCTCCACTGGTAGTGTCGACAGTACATTGTGGGACAAATTGAGAGCTGAAATTAGAATAGATTAGGTGATTAGTATTTACATATATGTACATAAAAGGTAATCTCGATTGATTCTTACTTGTAAGATACTGAAATTTTATGACCAATTGACGTTGTAAGTAACTCAACATATTTCCACTGATATCGCACTCCTTAACCTTAGCCTCAGCATGGGACATAAAGTTAAAAACAGCCTGAGGAATTGTAGTCAGTTCGCTCAATTTAAGATCTGCAAGATGCAAATTGCAATTAAAATAAAGTTATCTCACTTTATACATCCATATATACACAATCGAGTGGAAAACTCATTTCTGCGTTGCACGTCGAGAAAATTAATTTAGAGGATAATTGAAAGAATTCTTTCTCTGCATTGAAAACATTTGGCTGCTGGTTGGCCGCACTACATAAAAATGTACATACATATGTATGAACATGCAAAGAATTCCAAGAAAATGGCAGTCTCAGCACTCTACACACAGACACAAGTACAAGAGGCGCTGCCAGACACCCAGGCCGGAGACACGGCAAAAAGTTGTGCAAGCACTCGCCGAAAATGTGGTGGAACAATGAAATTTCAAAGGATTTCAATCGCTGCATTGAAAACGGCTGGACGCTGATTGTAGAAGTCACAATTTGCTGAAGTGATGAAGCTTTCCCATGTTTCGCACTACTACGCGCATAGAATTCCATAGAATTTAACGGCTAACCAATACACACACACACAGGCGCATGCAAATATACGAACAGACGCCTGGAAGGCGGCGTCGTGCTACCCAGACACGAGACACGGTAAAAAGTTGTGCACGCACACGCAGATAATGTGGCAGCTCGATGGACTTTCATTGGATTCGAATCATTGCATTGAAGGCCACAATTTGCCGAGGCGATGAAGCTTTTCCCATAAATCTCACTACTACACGCACAGAATTCCAAGAAAATGGAAGATTCAGCGAGAGGTACACACACACACACACACACATACAAATTGACGGGACGATACGTTGAAAGCGGCGAGAGAGCTCCACAAAACGTTGCACTTGCGCGCTGAAATTACCGTTGTGGCAGCTACAAGACTACGAGAAGATTCCCTTGTGTTGCAAGTACAAAATGTCGCTGTATTTGTATAGATTTGTGTATGAATGTGTGTGGAGTGTGGTTTTTGCAGAAACTTACCAAGGACTCCGGTCTCTCTGGCCTTCTCGCACTTCGGATACAGCGGATGCACTTTGGCGGTTGGCTTCTTTTGGTCCATATTTTATTTTGCTTTTTTAAATATTTTTGGGAGTATTTGGTTAATTTTACAATTGTGCGCTCGTACCGCAAACGTTGCTGACAGAAAAATAATTTTGTTCGATTGAATTTCAGGGCTACCACCTTCTTGTTGAGGTATTTTTATCGCGACGCGCAATAGTAATTTTTATCGGCAATTTATCGTTGATAAAATTCCCTTGAAATTCCACAAAATTTTGTTGTCTTTCACAATTGACAATTGTTTCTGTGGTAATATAATTGGGAAATGAAAACAATTGATAGATTATAATCTGCATTATGTATGCAATTCTTTAATTCATCATTTTATAACAATCGATTTAGGTGTTTTCTTTTGTGTGTGTGTGTTTTTTTCTTTGTGTGTTAAATATACAACTATAAACAGAATAAATACGTGGAAGTGGTGCTCAGATTAGACGCCATTTCCTTCCCGAGATGAGGAGAGATTTGTTCTTTGGACGTGTGTGTGTGTGTCAGACATTGACTGGCGAGAGTCTACCAGTCGTCCTCATCATCCTTGCTAATCTCTATGCGGAACGAAGTCTCAAAATTCTGGAGCTTGCGACGGCACAGGCGGCTCAGCGGATTGTTGCGCAGGTCAACAACGACCAGCGTTTTGCTCACTATAGCCTCATCGGTATCAATTTCTGTAAATGCATCAACGACAATTGTTTTAGAGACTGTGGGACTTGGGCATCACATCCCCAGATTTTACTCACCAAAAATCTTGTTGTCCTGAGCATCCAAGTGTGTCAAACTCTCTAACTTAAAGATAACTTGAGGTAAAACGATAAACGAATTTTTGGATATGTTCAGCTTGGCCAGGCCCGTCATATTGGCTAGTTCGTCGGGCAGTCTCGTCAGATTGTTTGACGAGAGATTGAGATCTGTAATGGTCATAGATTAAAGATGGCAGCGCATAATGGATGCGAGAGCTTCTCACCTGTTATGGCGCTGAATTTCTGCGTAAATTTGGGTGTGATTGATTTGAGATCATTGCCGCTCAGGTTGCAAGTTTGCAACACTGTGTTACGCATCAAGTGATAGACGGCGTCTGGCAATGTCATCAGCTGGCATTCGGAAAGATCTGCAAGAAGTGCAAATGTTGATTGGTTATAATAGTGCGAAATATTTGATTCTGGGTGCTGCCTGGGTATAAGAGTTAAACCGCCAACCAGTGAGTGATATTAATACGAGTATAAGAGACGCAGTGCAAAAAGCACACGCCAAAAGCATACAATAGATGGCGCTTTTCCACAAAAAAAAACTTTTGCAAAAGCTTCAATGGATATATGTACATACATATATACATATGCAAGTATGTATATGTATTTACGATCTACGTGATTTTACCCAAATGTGCACTTTCTTCTGCCGTCTCGCACTGTTGAATCACCTTCACCACCAGATGCGCCATCCTCTATTCCTACAGCTAATCGGTTCGCCCGTCTTATCAGTGGGTTCTGCTCTGTTCTGTTTTGCTCTCTGTTTGGGCCCCACGCAATAACTCAACTACCAACGCGACGCGAATGTTGGCCAACACTGAGCCACACGTGAGGGGCGACCAACTAAAAATATAAATAAAATGCTTACCACACGCAGGGAGCATAAGCATCAGCATTAGCTATCTCTCTCTCTCCCTCGCTCTCTCTGAGTCAGCGATCAACAAATTCCCTTCCCTTCCCAGAGAGAGTGCGTGTGCGAACGTACGAGTAGAAGAGTGACAGAGCTGGCTGCATTTAGTTGTACGTGTGGGAAAGTGTAACAGTTGGATAGTCTTATACAGCCATTGTCTTATACAATCAGCTGTCCAGCGGCATACAATCATATGCGTTGCATGCATGCAACTGCAATGCGGTAAGACTCTGCAGCTAGGAAGTGTTAAATTGCATCGATGTCTCATTGCAGAACGTATCAAATCAAAATCAACTCGACTCGACTCGATCGCTAATCTCAACCAAAGTTATCAACAATTTCTGTGTTCTGTGTTGTGTGTTTTGTGTTTTGTATTTTGTGTGTGGTTGACACTTATCATTGAATTGATGGGGCGACAAATTAATAATTACCTTTCTTTGTTAACTGACGCAAAACTGACACACTCAGTTACAACTACATGCATACATGCACACCTACACCAACAAATGTGGTAGCGACGCACTTTGCGTGTTCGCGGACAGCAGGAGTGGGTGGGGTGGGGGGGTTTATGGGGCACACTCAATTATAAACAATTTTGTTGCACTCACTCGCGTATGGGGAAGTGTCAGTGCGCAATAACTGAAATTGGCATTCAGCCAATTTTTGTTTTGTTTTGAGAGAATTCCATCTAAATGCATACATATATATTACGACTTACATATGAAAGAAACAGATCAAAAAGACGGAACAAACATACATACATACATACATACATATATGTATGTATGTAGATATATCTATATAGTGGAAAAACCTCCCTATCAGACCTTGGATACGGTGGACCCTGGAGCCCACAGAGAACTACAAATCTATCCCTGCAGTGGGAAAAAACTGCGTTGTGCCTACCCACTTCCTTCGGCCTTCCCCAGAGGGGTGTATGCACATGCACCACTTACCCAAATGTCTGTTCTCCTTTGCATCTTCACAGCGTTGCACCACGCGGATGACGCCGCGTCCAGCAATTGGAGAGAATGATGCAATGCCGCCTATGCGGGCAATGTGCGCTGGCAGCCGTGGATCCTCAATGTTTTCAGTCGAACTGTCAGGGGAACTGTCAGTCGAACTGTCCACGGGTGTGTTCTCGTCACCAACATTTGAGTCTTCATCGGCTCCTCCGGTGGTGGTGCCATCAGCTGTGCCATCGGGGTTGGCTCCGTGGTTGGTCGGATTGTTGGGGGCATTGTTGGCCCCGTTGGCTCCTCCACGAACGTTGGTGCCACCGTTGTTGGGGCCATGGCCACCGCGGTTGCCACCGTTGGCACCACCATTGCCGCCGCCATTGCCGCCACTGTTATTGGATGCAAAGTTTGTAATATCGTTCCCAAAAGGCCGCATCTTAATATCGTTAAATTCGTTTTTCTTTTGCGCCTCAATTGCTTGGATTCGTATACCGACGTATTTTTTCTGCGTAAATTAATTTATTGTTTGGAAAAACTTCACTGCGATCGTCACTCGAAAAAAATATTTATTATTTATCACAACCGAATTTGTGTGTTGCCTATTCGAGCTGAATTTACTGAATGAATATGGGGCAGTTACAGCCAAAAGGTGTAAAGTCTCGCTTTTCAAAATTTAATTCGTTTCGAACGGCCTACTGATCCGGGTACGAACTGAACGTGTGTCTCTTGCGCATTGAAATATTGAAAATGATTTTTACTTTCGGTTTTTATAGCACGGAAGAAGAAAGAAAACTGCGCACAACAAAAACAAACGCAAGAAAATAAAATGGCAAGAAAAAGGCAAAATAATAACACACAAATTGGCATTTTCATGTGGTTATTCGAACAGAGGATACTCTTGCTCTTTCTTGCATTTCAATGGTCACACATACATGCCATAAATTAAAGCCCAAAATCAAATAGTAGATGGCAGTTCCCTTCATGTTAGACGATTTTTATATTAAAAGGCTGCTTTTATTGCCGGGGAAATAGCGGAGAAGTTCTTCCTTTTACAGCCTGATCAATCTTTAATCTCTCCAGAAAAAGGCCATGAAAAATATCTCTTAAAATGAGTGCTACTCTCAGACATTAGAGAAGGAACCGCAATGGGATCTTTAATACATATTCCCAATATGTTTATGTTAATTATTATTATTATTATTATAAGCGAAAGAGAAGTTTACCAAACTGAACTAACTTTGGTGGTATGTATAGCTCATACATATGTACGTAGATATGTTTCTGGGAATCGTATTTGTGTGCACATAATGAAATGCGAATGGCAATACATATTGTCCAAGAACCCCCTAAGATACCCTGTGAATGAGGGTATAGTTGCATCGCACCAAAATGTCTTGTCATCGTAAGAGCAATAGCCTCTGATATAAACAGTATTTCTTTCTCTTGGCCCAATGTCTCTTGTCTCTTGTCCCAGCCGAAAAGTGTAAAAGTTCAATGCGCAAAGAGAGCGCAGCAAAGAGTTGACAGAGGAGCCTGAGAGTGGCCAGTGGCGAGTGGAGAGAGCACCCCCAAAAAGCACATTATCAGTGCGAAACGCTCAGAATATACCAAATATATGTACGATCGAGTCAGCCGAGTGCGGGGCGGAGGAATGGTCGGGGGGTATACTTATAGAAACGACTTTTACGCATCTGCTCTGCTGTGATATACCGGAACTGCCTATATAGACGAAATTTTCCGCACACTTGCCAGCCAACATAAAATGACAAGAGCCCCATGTACATACATATATACATATATGTATGTATAATTGTGCACTAATTAATTGCGTTGCTGTGTGTTATCAACCCGACAAAGAAATGCCTGACAAGGACATGTATACGTAAGGCCATTCCAGTCATTGTCTTGCTCGATTTATAATGCATCTCTACATGGGGCCGGTGGAGCAGACCCAAAAGCCCTAAAAGCTTACACTTTACACTTACACTTTTTCCCCGCCCACGTCTATGATGCATCAGCGGCAAGGCAAATAATAGTTGCAAAGCCAAGGGAGCTTTGCAAGCTTGCAAGGTATCTGCAAATATTAGGTGTGTGTTTGCTTAGAGAAAAAGTTGGCATACAAGCTTAAAAGGTATCCGTAAATAAAGGGGGGTGTTTATACTAAGTAAATTATGGTAACAGGTAATATTTAAATTTAATTAATTGCTGCAGTACTTTGCGCTAGGTTTAAAATTTTTATTCATCAAAAAACAATAACTGAAAAACCACTAGAGATATTCACTTGATGTTCACATTGGATTTTGATGCATCCAACGTTTAAATATTATATACAAATCTGTTAAATCGAAATACCGAAACGATAAACAAATAAAGCATACGGAAAAAGACAACGGACAACGGAAAGGTTTTGATTGGAACCAACTGGACTAAAAATGAAATACTTTTGTAGGTAAGAGTATGCCACAACACGGATTAAAAATGACCCATAGGTTTCGTTTCTTCACTAACACATTTCCAGTCTACTACGATCTTACATATTAAGTATACGAATCGACTACGAGTGCATACGGGTAAGTGTATGCGTATAGGTATAGGTATAGGTATAGGTATAGGTATAGGTAGGTAGGTATTTTATGTGGGTAGGGTATGGTAGGGTTGGGTTGGGTTGGGTTGGGTTGTATGAATTTACTGCAGAACCACACCCTGGGCATGCTGCAGGCCCGTGCACAAATAGAGCATGATAATACTGAGGGCCTGCACCCGCTCGTCGGATCTGTTCTCCACACTGAGCGTTGATGCTGATTTCCAGGGCGATGATTCTGTTGCCTTTTCGGCATCGTTCATCATGGTATAGCCCTCCGTCTCTGCATCCAGGGCGACCTTTAGCTTAGTCAGCTGCAAAGAGAGACATATCTAAGCTGTGTGCACTGTGCATGAGTTTTGCGTGTGTGTTTTGGGTAATTACCAGCCCATTGATTTTGGCCACCCGCTCGTCCGGTGGCGCACTGGCGTACAAATGCTTGCTGGAGCTCTTGGCCAGGTTCATCAGATCCTCGTTGCGGGTGTGTCGTATGATTGGCTCGGTGATGATGATAACCTGCTCGAAGCTGAGGACTGTGCACTCCGCTGGCAGTGCCTCCAGTTGCTGGGTGACACGCTCGAAGGGATTCTGATGCCCCATGGCGGTCGGCGCCTCCTCCACAATTGACGATTTGCTGAGGCCACCAAAAAGGACAGAGGTTCAGAAAGGAGGTCTTTGATGATGGACCCCATAGGGTGGACTCACCGCGAGGGCGTGTGCTGAGGGCTTGGCGGCAGGCTCTTGGAGTTCATCTGCTGTCCGCTGCCAGTCAGCGAGGAGACGATGCCGGGTATGTCCAGGTTGCTTGCCTGACGCTTGATCCCCTGCGCCAGCATGCCCGTCAAACTGGACCTGTGCACATCTAGGCCAGCAGCCTGCATTTGCATTTGCACCTGTGCCTGTCCCAGTTCGCCCGTCATCGTGGCTGCCTCCTCCATCGGCACAGTGCCCGTTTTGCCCGGCTCAAACAGCTCCAGGTTCTCCGCCTGCGTGATGGTAAACTCCGGTCTGGTCACACCCGAGGGAGTGGAGGCTGCGCCAGTGGATGTGGATGTGGATGTCAATGTCTGCTGCGGCAGCGGCGGCGGCACGGAACCCGAACAGTCGACGGGCCCACAGACGGTGGCATTCTGGCACTTGGCTATGCACTTCTTGTGGCAGCACATGGAACACTCCTGGCACTGCATGGCATCCTTTAGCCAGATCTTCTTGCCACAGAAATCGCACTGTGTGGCCCGATGGAAGTGCGTGCGCACAAAGCTGTGGGCCCGCGGGAGCGCGGCACTGGCGGAGCCAGCACTGGAAATGCCACTGTCCGCCAGTGTGCTCGATGACTTCAGGGAGACTGTTTCGGACGGGGGTTCGTCCTGTCCACGCTCGAATTGGGTTCTGCCGAGAGGAATTATCAGACAAAACGATAATTGAGATGCAACGATTGGAGCTTACCTGGCTGGGGAATGGGACTTGGAGCCGCTCTTGGTGGTGGGTGGATCGCCTAGGGCCACGTTCGGATTGCCCATCCAGGAGAAGCCAAACAGAATGTCGCCAAAGCAGAGATTCGGATTGAAGCCAGACTGGTTGGCCAGGTCATGCATCTTCCTGTGGATAAATACAAGATAAGTCTAAGGTGCTCCACTCCACTCCCCTCCCCTGTACAGGCTATGCCTGGGGGGTGACTTGGGGTAATGGGGTAATGCGCTTACCCTGCCTGCAGGGAGGCCGGATTGAGGGCTATCTGCCGTAGGCACTGATTCAGACTCGTCTCCGAGCACTCGACGAGTATCTGGCCAATCTGGACATTGTTGTAGCCCAGCAGGACACTCTCGCCGGCACACTTGCCAAACACACAGACATTGAGGAAGCGACTGTTCGCATCCAGCTGGAAGCTGCACACATCGTCCATGTGAATGAGCGCACTGAAGGGGCAATCGATCGTCGAGTGCTGATAGAAGTAGTTCACCGGCTCATCGGTGTATCGCTCCGTGCAGCTGTCATCTGGTTTATTTTTTTCCCTATCCCTATCCTTATCTTTGTCTTTTTCCTTCTCCCTCTCCCCCTCTCCCGCTCCTTTTCCTTATCTTTGTCCTTATCCTTATCCTTGTCACTGCTCTCACGACTCATGGTCTTCTTGATGGCCTTGGCAATCAGATTCGACTTCTTGGGGGAGTTGGTGGGCGTCTGGCCCGTGAGGCCAGACTCTGCCGCTTGACGGCTAAGGCTGGGCTTAACCACCAGATGCTTGGGCACTCCCGTCTCCGTGGGAGTGGGCTCTGCCGCCTCGGTGTCTGTCTTGGAGGCGGAAGCGGATGCGGATGCGGATGCCGAGGGCATGTCGCACAGCTCGTCGTACTTCTCCAGATCCTCCAAGATGGCATCGTTGCGTATGATGCCGGGAATGACACGCTCGATGCGCAGACAAAAGACGGTGGCCTGGAGGGTCTTCACCACCTTGGCTATCTGCTGAATGGTCGTCACCTGCTTGCCCTCGATGGCCACCAAAGCATCGCCGGCCATCAGATTGGACTTGCAGGCGGGCGTATTCGGCAGCACGGACTCAATCCGCACCAGCTGGCTGGTGCTCTGCTTGAAGACGATGCCAATCTGCTGGTTCTTTGCCTTGTGAATGAATACGTCCAGGGAGATGAGCACGTGCCGGTGGTCCTTTTGGTGCGCCTCAATGAAGGGCACCGGCGCCAGGGTAATGGTGCAGTAGGTGTCGCCAGTGCCCGGCGATGTCCAGGGCATCAGGCGGGACAGCTCGGCCACCTTCACGCTGAGCAGACCGTTGGGCTGAATGTCACAGTCGACGGCCTCCTCCTCGGCCGTCCAGTGGAAGAAGGGCTTGTAGCGCAGCTTGTAGTTGGGCAGGGTGTGTTTCCGCCTCACCGCCTTGCGTATCTGATTGGAGATGAGATTCGTGATGTTCGATTGCATCTGGCGGCCCTGGTACTTCGATTCGATGTCCAGAATCAGCTCCGGATCGCCCAGGAAGCTCAGGGACCAATGGGTATACGGTTTGCGTGTGAACTGCAGCCGCGCCATGCCCGACAATTGCTTGACCTTGAGCGTGATGGAACCCTTCTTGCCCAGCACCATATCCGCATCGATGGACGTGGAGAAGTTGCCCACATAGTTGATGTCCAGCAGCAGATCCAGATTCTCGATGCGCTGCTCCCGCTCGTCCAGCTCCACATTGTGCACCGACAGCGACTTGATGTCCGGAAACTGATCGCCCAGTTCCAGTTCTTTGATCTGAAATGGGCCCCCGGCATTAGTACCAGTAGCCAGTACCGTAGTGCAGTACCCTGTGCAGGATATTCTGTGTGCGATGATGATGGACTCACCGTCAGCTTGTCCAACAGCTTGCCGGTGGTTGTCTTCGTTATCAGCTCATCCAATTCGATGGAGAGCTTCCGGTAGAACCATTTACGCACTCGATTCGAGTTTTTGAACTCATGAAACAGAAACTGCATCACAAAGTTAAGGGAAATCAACGCCGAGGCACCCTGAAGACTCTCCTGATGGTTCTCGCAGCTGTTGATGGGATTGGGCGGTGCCTTCAGATTCCTTGCCGTCTCTTTGATGTTCTGTCAATAGTTAATTAACAATTAACAATTAATAAAAGTATAGATTGATTGGTGGGCATTGGGAGAGGGAAGGGCTTACCACTGGCAGCGTATACTTGGCATTCATTCGCTTCTGCTCCTCACTCTCGTCGGGCAGATTGGAGAACTTGATGAATATCAGATACTGGAGCAGTATCATGATGACACCGCCAATCAGCAAAAAGATCAGGCACAGCAGCAGTATATTCGAAATGGGTATCTCCATCTTGGGACGTGTGGGGGGGGGGGTTGACTCTAGTGGGATATGTGAGTGGGGGGCCTCTGCTTACGGGCCCGAAACTTCTTGCATGCCAACACAAATCCAAATTTCAGTCCAAATTTCTCAATTAATTTCTAGATGTCTCGCCCATTGCACACACCGCGTTTTGTATTGTTTGCATTGGCTGCCAGCACTGCCAGCAATATGTCTGTCTGCCTGTCTGTCTGTCTGTCTGCCTGTCTGTTTTGTCTGTCTTGCAGTGCTAGCTAATCACTCCATCCATTGGACAGTATGTGCTCTAGTGCTGCTCTGTGTGTGCCGCCCTAACTGGTGTGTGTTGTGTGGATTTCCTCTGTCTAAGGTGGCAAGGATTCTCTCGGTGCTGCTACCAATTTGTTGTAACTACTGTTGTATACTGTGACCCAAAATCAATATGTACCCGTCCGTAGTTGTGGCTGCGCCTTAGTTTGCACTTGGCCTTCCCTGCGCATGCCCCCTGGACCAGCTGACTTCACTTTCTAGGGGGTTGGTTGGGCTTTTCCCACTGTACATATAGCCAGAGCTGTTGTCTGTGCCCAGCTGTTGGGCTCTTAACACTTCATGCACACAGCTGTGGCATTAACGGACCACAAAAACCGACTTACAGGACTCATGCTACCCCATCAAATGGTGGGAGTGTAGCCACAGTAGCCACAGTAGCCACAGGGGGTTGTTGCACGGCGACACACACTTCAGAATAAGCTGCAGACCCAGACAGCAGGGGTTGCGAGCACTTGAAGGCTCTACTTTATGTATCCATAGCACAACATTGATTGTGATTCATCACAGAATGCTGTTCATTATGGGGCAATGAAACTCAAACTATTTTAATTGGTTTAAGAGTTTTGGCCACATCTGTTCAACTGTTTTGGGAAATGTACCATGACAGCTTTCGCTTTTCCCCACTCATTCGTTAGCTTTAATGGATAGACATGAATATGAGCAGGACAGCAAATGCAAGCAATCATTTAAAAAGAGACCCACACAGAAATCCATCCAAAAATATATCATAATATCTATGAGTAAGCCTCCCAAAATCTCACAAGAATAATAAAATTATTAAATAAAAATAAAATATAAATCAATTTAAATGGCTTGTATCATAATATCTAAAATAATAAATATTACTATTATAATTCAGATAAAAAAAATGAAATAATAATTGTCTTAATTTTTAATTAAAATTTAAATGGCTGAAGGGAAAAAAACTCACAAGTCGCTTAGGTTTGTAATTTTTTCTGGCATTTCATTTTGTTTTATTGTTTTTTTTTTTTTGTTTTTTTGTTAGTTTTTGTTTTTGGTTTGGTTTTTTTGTTTTGTTTTGTATTATTATGTAATTCCTTTACTTTATGTAAAATAAGAAAGTATTAATAGTTTTTTATTAACAAATTTGTTGAAGGCAGGTATTTATGTTATTATATGTTTTATGTATGTATATCTTGTATATAAATTACAAGTCCTCTTTTTTTATAATTATACATAATTAAACGTATTATTAAATGTAGTTCAATTATCTCTAGCGTCATCTTAACCATTAGTTAAACTGCGTCGTCATTTACTTAGTGTATTCAGTTAATCAATGTATATATATATACATACATACATACATATATATATATATACTGTATACATATGTGTATGTGTATATACGTACATACAATATATATGTATAATGTATATGCGCAATTATCATTACATTTTAGCCATTACCATTAAATTGTTCTAATTTAAATTAATATATATATATATATATATATATATATATATATACTATTCCTCTCTTTCCCGTCCCGTCTACTCCCCAGAGAGACGACAGACCACAGACTGTCCCCCCTACTACTACTACTATATCATCATATCATATTTTCTTGATTTCCTTTTCGTTTGCTTTGTATAAAATTCCGAGCTACTATTTTTTGGATTTCTCATGTGACCTTTTTCAAACCAGACAGTAAACAATTAACAAAAAAAATATACCGAATATCGCGAATCGTTAAGTTAGGGGCTGAAGTTCTAGTTCAAGTTTAGGTTAAACGTTAAAGTCAAAGTCAAAGTTAAAGGTAAAGGTAAAGAAGGTAAGCAGCATACCGGCACTGGGCATGGGCATAGGACTGGGACGTACCGTACCCTGTGCTCATTGGGCCATACACACACACACACACGTATAGTATCTCCACTTTGTCACCAGATCGGCTCCAGCTACATCTCTCTGACGGGTTTGAAGTCGAATGGGAACAGACATCGGGGGTATCAGGATCGCAGTGGAGTTTAGGCAATGTCTGTACAGTAGTTCTATGTATGAAAACAAATCAATCACAATTCAAGAACCTGGAAGAACAATTCGAACTCGCAACGCTGGGCAGCGCATGTTAGTAGTACTTCTTCTGTTTTTGGTTTGGCATCTAGTTTGGTAGATGGAGGGACGTGGTTTTTTGCCTGCTGGCCCCCTAATTGTTCTTCCCCGAAATATCGTACGCTTATCATCCGATCTCTCCTGTTCATGATCTAATAATGATCTAATCCCAGCCTGCACCTGGCTCCTAAGCAATATATGTTGTTTGTTGTATGTGGTAAGTACATTTGTGGCATCTAAGCATCTGTGGCGAGTGTGGCATGGTGGCATGTGGCAGAGAGTTCACAGTCAGCCAGCTAGGGGTTCAAATGGGAGAAGCGAAGTGCCAAATCGAATTGGATGCCAATAGTTTAGCTAAAAACTAAATGGTTCCTCTAGAGGCATAATGCATTGGTTATACATATGTACGAATATCAAAATAAAATCTTATTATTAATCTAACTCTCACATTTTGTACTCATTTCCACTTTTTGATGTTCCATTTTGTATTGTACTCTATCTGTATTTTTCTTTTTAATGTATTCTCATTGTTTTTGGTTTTTTGTTTGTTTTTTTTTTTTGTTTGGCATTAATAGCAAAAGGAAGCCAATAGCTGCCCCACCAAGAACTCTACACTGCACTGCACTTCACTCCACTCCACGCCCATGAGCATTGTTGGATGAATGGATGGCCTAAGCAAGCAGTGCGCATGTGTATGCGATCTTAGACTACGATAAAGGATTCGAAAAGGAATAGATTCGTGTTAAATATACTTATTAACTGAATGAATGGACAACGGAATGATAAAATCGGATTTACAAATATTGTTGTTGTTCGTGTGGAAGTAGTCAAAGGGTGGCACCTTGGAAAAACACGAGTACATGTAGTTATGTACTATACTGTACTGCAATGTACTGTATGTAAGGCAAGCAAAATTGGCGAGCGAGCGAATTTTCTACATTAGATATTATGTGTGTGTGTGTTTTTTTTTTTTGTCATTTTCATTTCTTATTATTTTTTCCCCATTGTTTTAGCTATGGTTTTTTTTTTGTTTGGTTTGTGGTTTTGTTTTTTCGTTTGACACTAGTTTATAGACTATTGTATTGTAAATTGTATAATTATGCATGTACATATGTATGCTTGTGAGTGTATATATATAAATCGCGCTTGGTATGTACGTTTTTGTTTTTTGTTTGGTTGTTTGTTGTTGTATGTATGTATTCGTAATATAATATAATTATTAAAAATGTATGCATTTCTATTTCTCAGTTTTGCTGTATTCGGTTTTCCAGTTGGTTTTGTTGTTTTTTATTTTGTTGGTTTTTGTCGGTATTTTGCCGTATTGCTAAGTTGTTATTACTCGTTAATATGTATAATTATTTTATAGTACATTGCTGTAGTGAACATGGCTAAGTTGGTTTCGGTTTGGTGTTTTTGCTTCTTGCTTGGTTGTCCCATCTTGAATGTTTTTTTAATCACCCTCTGTATGCCTCCTAAAATCCTACTACTCTCCATTAATCGTAATCGTAATCATAATCATACATCATAATCGTATTCGTATTCGTTATCGTAAGTACATTTTGCTGTGTAAATTCGCATAACTGCTCAGCGGTTATAATTATTTACTTAAGTTATGGATTCACTTTTGTTTTTTTTTTTTGTATTAATTACAATATTTGTGCGCTCTTCGATATCCCGTCGTCATATTCCTCATATAATCCAATGATTCGTCGTCTATCTATACACTAACTGGTTGTTTTTTTTTGATTTAGGATCTTATTAGTCAATCATTTGATGTATGTCTTAATGTCCTGATGCACGATCTGCTGTGTCTGCTATATGTCTGCGTTCATGTGATTTCGATTTCGATTCCGAGTGAGTGAGTAAGAAGTGAGTGCGTGGACTGTGTTTTTGTGTGTGTATGAGATTCATATTTGCATTTTTGCATGAGAGCTGGAGGGGTATACGTATTGATACTGGTATCTACATATGAATGTTAATGTCGCTCCGGATATATGTACTCCGAAACTTAAATTGAAAATTAAATAAAAATGCAATCAGACTAAGCAGATTCATATTTCATCCAATAATAAAATGGCAATGCATTAAGGCTTTTTTTGCTCATAAAAGGCAAGATTAGATAGGCGATATCGTATGTATATTTAAACGAGAATATCTATCAGGTATGATTCATCATTTACACTATATATGTAGCTTAAACCTCGCATCATCATCATGTACAGACTTTTTCATTTGCGAACGAATCGGAAATAGTTTTCAACTTCCTGAATTAAAAGTAAGTTCTCTGAATGCAAATTAAAATGAGATTCGTTCGCACACCTTGTTGATTTTTGTATCAGAAAATAAAGTAATGTTCTACTACCATCCTCAAAAGTCTGTACAGACACAGACTATAATTAACATAGATACGTACATATGTACATATGTATGCATGCAGAGCTGGTCGTATGATTGAGAGAGAGGCCTGTGTATATTGTATATTGGTATTGTATTGGGTTTTGATCTTGCATTACTATTGCTATTAGTTATTGTTTTAGTTTATTAGTTTTTAGTTTCTTTTTTAGCTTATGTTCGATTAATCAAAAGAGGGACAGAGAGAGAATATACACGAATGAATGAGAAAATCCTTAGGTATTCAAAATGCGCATTCATTTGTTGTTTGCTATTAAAGTTTAAGTATTTGTTTTGTTTTGTTTTTTTTTGTTTTTCCTTTTCTTTTTTGGGTTTCCGTTTACGTTTCCTGTGTCCGTCTCGGTCGAAAGTTTGTATGTGTATGTGTATGTGTGTGTGTGGTGTATAATCGTAGTCGTAGGTAAATACATTACATACAAAAAAAAAAAAAATTCGATATCTACATTTAAACTTGTATGTACAGGGTGGATAAATATATAATTTTTGCATTTTACATAAAATGTACATAATTGAATTACTAACTTTAAATACAAACAAGACAAAAACGCTTGCAGATTACAGATTCATCGAGCTATATCCTAGATAAACCTACAATGTATAATGTATGCGACGAGTATCCTACAATATTTACTTCCTATTTATGTATGTATATTGTAGACCTACAATCTAAGTATGTTATGCTGTTTTGTTTTTTTTTTTGTTTTTTTGAAATATAGTTCCCTTTTGCTTGGTTGTTTTTCTCTTAGGCAATTTAGTACAATAAAATACACTCTATCATATCATATCATCATTACATATATCATTCATATCTGTCATTGAGTTTGTTGCTATTCCTATACCTATTTATATTCTCTTATTCTCCTCCTGTTACTCCTAGCGATCTTCCATTCTCCTATTCCTTGATCTCTCGTACTTTTTACATCTCATTTCAGTTTCAGTTACAATTAAAGTTACACTTTCAGCGGTTTCTGGTTCTGGCTTCTGTTCATCATCATCATCATCCCCCCTTCCCTTATAGCGTATGATACGAATAGAGCGGATGGTGCGGGTGATGTTGCTGCTGCTGCTGTGATTGCTGTGTCTGTTCTGCTGGCTGGTGATAATGATGGGCTGCTGATGCTGCTGATGCTGTTTGTATCCAACCATCATGTAGATCGGATATAGCATTATAATTAATGTCATTATCCGAATAGATCTTTTTAATAGCTAGTGGTGTTGTTATTGTAATTGGTACTCTTAATATCATTGCTTCGTTTTCATGTTGTCTTGTTGTCCTTGGTGTTGCTGTTGTGGTGTTGTCGATTGCTGTTGTTATTGTTGTTCTAGATCTAGTCCTTGGTATAGTTCCTATGAATTCTTCATAATTAAAGTGGGGCGAGGTTGTTCTTGTTTCCGGCAATGAGATTGCCATCAGTGAGGATTCGTACGGCTTGTGGCAGCATGGTAGCCATTCATGTTGCTGTTGCTGTTCTTGTTGTTCTTGTTGTTGTTGTTGTTGTTGTGATACTAATAGTTGTTGTATTTGCTGTTCATCGTTTGCTCGTTGCGATTGCGGTTGTCGATTTGGGTTTTTTGATTCTTTGTGTAAGCTTTCTTCTCCTTCAGCCAATTTCATGTTGGTGTCTGGTGTTAGTGTGGTGTGGGTGTGGGTTTTGGTGTTGGTGTGGGTTAGTGTTAAAGTGGATCTTGGTACATCTACATACCGATGATTGATTGGTGTTTGTCGGTGTAGGTGTTGGTTCAAGTGTTGGTGTAAGTGTTGGTATTGGTGTTGTTGATTTATGCGTCGTATCGTATCAAAATTGTGATCTAAATTTGGTGCTGAATACGATGAGCATATGGCCTGATGTTATACCCAGATCTGATCCTTTCGATTACGCGATCGCAATCAAAGCCTTTGCTAGCACCAGTCCTCCTCGTCGGAATCGGAATGTCGTGTATTAAGTCCGCTCTTTGGCTTAAAACCATTTAGAACTGGAGATGGCAGTACACGACCTGTTCGGCCCATAGCCAACGCTTGCTCAAACGACAGCGGTGCTATATATTCCAGTCTGAAATAAATATTATAATATTTTAATCGTTCAGAACTTCCGGTCAGTCAGTGTCAGTGATGTAGCCATCTCACCTTTCTCTTTCCACCTCCCTTTCGCGATCACGCTCTCGCTCATACAACTCACGCTCCCGATCTCTGTACTCGAAGCGCAGGTCATACTCGTGCAGGCGATCCCGATCCCGATCCCGATCCTAAGGCGTTCGCGATCCCGCTCGCGATCTCTACTACTATAATACATATCTCTAGGGTCCCGCAGCAGGTCACGATGATGCGGCAGCGAGTGAACACTGTGGGGCGTTGAGTGGTGCGTCTATAAAAGGTTTTAACTATTAGTTAGGTTCCCATTTGATATGAAACTTATTGCACTTACGTGAGTTGGACTCGCATTCAGCTTGGGGAAATTAATGTTGGTTGGCTTGAGCTGCAGTGTTGACGGTTTGCTTGGCGTCGGTGGTAGGCGTCGTCCAATTCCAGCACGACGGGAGGCTAGCGTTGGGTAGCTATGCTGCACATGCGTGCCACCTGTCGGGGTAACACAAGTCACACACAAACGATTAGATTACTTTTCCGTTCAACTGTCCCATCGATTAACCAAACGCAATGTATGTATAGCATAAATCGATGCAAATAAGTTACTAGTAATATTATGTATATATTGTATAGATATGACATTGAACGGTGAGTGCCTACATTGTTCTTTATTGCGCTATCAACATGGGGCAAGACTCATAAAACAACCAAAAATAAAACACGAGTATATACATAAGAAAACAAAATGAATTGCGAACGGATTCGAGTGGAGCATTTTCGGATTTTGAACAATCGTTGTGGAAGTTACATGTACAACAAAACATAAAATATAAGACAAAAATTCGCAGACGGACAAACATATTGATACTCGTATCTTGAATTCCATTTCATTTAGAGAATATTTCAAAAACCGAACATGCTCCCAGGTCTTTAAAGCCCTTCAATTTGCTCAACAAAAGTTGTCCAACGTTTCACATATTTAAATGTAAGAACGCCAAACAGTTTCGAAAATAAATCAAATTAATGTATTCACTGTATATCAGATTGTACGCCAGAAGTATGTCAAGAAAGTGTTATTATTTTTTTTTGTACACTATCTTGAAATACAGACGACCTTGAATATATGAGATATATGCGAACAATAACAGTAACAAGTGTGCTAGAGATTAGAATATATGTATAAATATATGGTACATAGGTTTGTTTGGATGATTCAGGGCTGTGGTGGTCGATCGTTAGCTAGCAAACATGCATGACTGTGGTGGGTACGAACGAGTAAGAGTAAGAGAGAGACAGAGAGAGAGAGAGAGAGAGCGACGAAAACGGATGAAAATCAGAGATTCAAGATATCAACGGAATAGTACGAGTGCAAAATGCTAAGGACAAACATTCACAGATAGTCAAGTTAGAGATAGATATACACACACAAGTCTAGATACTGAAAACACCCAAAAGAAAAAAAAGAAAAAAAAAACTGCATCCCAAATGAAGTATTTCTCTAGTTGTACTTAGTATAATGGCTAATGACAGTCTTTTGACCACCCAAATAGTTTATGAATAAATATATATTATATTTTTTATTATTGTAGAGAAATGCTCGAGAATGAAGCCCTGCCACTTTTACGGGTGTGTAGAACGAGTAGCAGTTGGGCAAAGAAACAAGAAGCAATCTTTAAATAGAGATTCTTGGTCAGTAGGAGGATACGGCCCTAGGATACGCTTGAAACAACTACTAACGAAGGTCATTTCTCCAGCACTGGTAACGTTTTTTTTTTGCGGACCAAAAATAAAGTAGCGAAAAAAATGGTGTTGTATAAGACTAGGCTTTCGCTTTAAGTCCAAAACCCACAATGTCTCTCCCAGAGTTCGTCGAGCGTCCGTGTTCGTGTCCGTGTAATACGGAAGGAATAAGTAGTAGAGTTGCAGTCGTATCTAACCAGACTTGTTGGTAATCTAACGCATTTCAAATATGTTACAACGCGTTGTTAGAATCGAATACAAAATAAAAAAAAAATAATACATAAATAAAAATATAAAAAAACACGTTATTTGCCAGAGATATTCTGTGTGTGGTTTGAGTTCGTTTTTTGAGTATGAGTAATGGGGATGAGGCTGGTCTGTATGTACATGGCACGAGTAGAACCATACATAGTACGAGTTGTGAGTATACGAGTTGAGTATAATATAAGAGTATTAGGTGGGGTGGGTGGTAGTATAACGTATATGGGCATCTAGGAGAGAAATGAAATGAAAAACGATGAACTGCTGCGTAACGCTAGGAGTAGTAACAAGAGTACGAGTACGAATAGTTGAGTACATATTTGATTGATTGATTGATTGATTGATGGGTTTTTTGGTTGTTGCTTGTTCGAGATGGTAAAACGCTCGCAGTTCTGAGAGCGAGAGGCTGTTGTGGTGTGGTTTATGTATTAAACAAACTATTCTGTTGTTTAAAGCTTATGATTGACTGATTGATTGTTTGACTGATTGATTGATTGATTGATTGAACGTCTTGGCATGACAATTACATGTACATGTTAAGCATGTATTTGGCAACTATGTACGAATACGAATTAGTTAGTTACGAGTAAGCATGTCTGAGATCTGATTTGATGTTGTTGGTAAAAGTAGAAATATGATTGAAGAAATTTGTGTAGAAGAAAGTAGTACTAGCATATATAGAAACAAATTTGTTGATTTGATTTTGATTTGATTTGATTTGATTTGTAGCTTGATTTTTCGATTTTAGTTTTAGATTTTGATCATTTTGATTTGATTTGTTTGGACTTTAGATAACAAGTGCTAAAGATGTACCCATATCAATCCCATAACCAAGTCTGTCTCGTTCACGCATCTCCTGAAGTCGAGCGGGACTCGGCGATCGTGACCTTTGACATAGACTTGTTGTCCCATATGTGGGATAAGGCAGTTGAGTGCGTTTACTGCGAGACAAATGACCACCATAACGAGAAGGCGAAGGCGAACGGGCCGGACTTGTCGATGCTGACCATGAACCTATATTGTACATATAACAACAATAATAAAGAAAAAGAACGCAATAATTAAGGATGTCGGGGCACAACAGTTTACGTATTTTTGGTTTTTGGTTTTTTCTTTTTTTGTTATTTTGTTTAGGTATTTTTTTGTTCAAGAAATTGCATTAATTTTGATAGTAATGTATGTATCTTTTTTCTTTTTTTTTGGTTTCTCCTTCTCCGATTAATTTTTGTTTGAAATAGGAAAACGAAAACGATATCGATTAATAATCGAACAAACTTAGGACAGAACCAAAACGAAAAGTAAATATTTATTTATTTGGAATATATATGTTGTATTTGGTATCAAAAAGATTTTCGTTTAAGGCTATTGGAATTGTAGACATATATATCTGCATATAACTAAGATACTACAAAATAGATAAAAAAGATGCCCCGGCAAATGCCGAATCCTTGCTTGGTCACTCTGTGTGTACCCATTGTAAGCACGAATAAATAAATAACTGAACTGATATGTAGCTCTCGAATTAAAGATGGGGTTAGTTTTAGGATAAACATCAAATACGGACCGACAATTCTGAATTTTCTGTATAGTTTTCCAAGTACTATATATTTGTATTTTAATTTAATTTTTGATTTATATATGCGCTGCGCTTACAACAAGCACACATACGGAATCATTTAGCTGTATAAGCTTACAATAGATGCAGTTCTGATCAAAACAATAAATACCTCTTGGATACCGCGGATGGCTGTTGCCATGCCTAGGATGACGTGTCTCCTTGACCATCTCTACAACATTAGATACGGTATCGGAGAATCCGATATCATGATGTATATATTGATGGCCACGTCGACGAGGACTTGGAGATCTGACAAGTGGCGAGCCATTGTGCCTGCAAAAGGAAACAGACATAAATACATTAAGCATGAGGTGAGGCCAGGCAAGGGCATAGAAATACTCACCTCAAACTAGGCGATCGCCGATGGCCGTTCATGTACGAATGTCCAGGATGTAAATGGCCAGCATCGGCACCGGTAAGCGACTCCTGTGAAGGACGTCTAGACGCATCTTGCAGCTCCAGCATCTGTTCGAAAGAGTTTGACAAATGGCATTGTGTTACATCAGTTCTACAATCCATGAATGACCACCACTTGAAATCAGTCTATTTTTTATTCATTTCTTTTTTGTTTCTTTTCGAGTTCTTTTCTAGATCAGGGAGTGTTGTATAGGCTATACGAATTGATTACGAATTGGTTACGAATCGTTGTTGTTGACCGATTTCTCATGGATTTCATTCATTGCTCGGGGTTCACAGCATACAGAGGAGTATTTCTGTGTACATATCTGGAGTATACATTAAGAACTACAATTGTTTGCTCCCATGCTCCTTATAGGAGCTTATAGGTACGCAAAATATACATATACAAGTATATATATATATGTAGATATGTTTGGTATATAAAAGCTACAAAATAAATATACATTGAGACATGTATGCTTACTTTGCTGAGTACTATGGGTTGAGTATATGGGGGGGGGAAGGGGGATACGTGTATATGGGTGGGTAGTTATATATATAATCAAAACAAATATTAAGCAAATATTAATTACTTTCACTGCAACAAAAATACATATCCAAATGCGGTTTCAATTGTACTAGATTGAAGTATTCAAAAGGTTCTCAAATGCAGGATAATTATAATTACGGTTTTAGATATTTATTATGTATTGTAGAGATTTGATTAAACCTATTTATAGGGGGCGTGTGTAACATTTAAACAATTCCATACACTACATTGGGCGGGGTACGGGGGTAGTATACATATTACATATATATACTGGAACACATTTGGTTTCGTTTCTTTAGGGTTTTTGTTTTCACAGTAAGTAGCAGCTAATCGTAGTTGTTCTTTGTTTGTTTTTATATCTGTTTGTATCTGAACACTATCTCGTTCTCGTTGAGTTGAGTTGAGTTTCGTTTTACTTAATATGCCAATTTGATTGTTTGTTTTGTTACCCAGATCGATCTACATTTGTAATTTAGAATAGTTTGTCCTATATTTATGATATGGTCTCGTACAAATAAATCAATAACTCAATGGAAATCAAAAGTAAATATAAATCGATTGGTGGTTATCGCTATCTACACTCTATAGAGAGGCTATCTACATGGCTGTGGTGGTTGGTTTGGTGGTGGAGGTAGAGGTGGAGTGACTGTCGATAGCATTCCGTGTCGTATGGTGGTTTAAAGCAGTGCGAAAGCGGCGCAAGCGATTCCGAAGCAAAGCCAAGACAGAATCAATCACAAAATAAAACTAAGCTATATTTTACACTACATATAAAGGTACATTATGTACAAGCATGCAGACTACAAGTGTGTGAATTCCTAGGATATACAGATGTATGTATATACAGATTTAATATAGATGTGTTCGTATGAGTTAGTATGGTTGGGAGGTCAAGTCCTGTATCCTTTTCCATTATCCGAGCTTTACTTACCACAACAATCGAATATTGCTCGAAGGGGGAACGGGTACTCACTCGTGTGTTCGTGGGACTTACGATAGTGTCAAAGTGTACATAATATTACGCTCGAATCGAGTACAAAAACAATTACTACGTACACATAAAGCCACCATCGCTTTGTGTATTCATCTAGGAGAATATTAGGGCTAGAAATCTGTATCTGAATCGATCTGAATTTTCTGTGGTTGGCTTTAGCTCTAGCAAAAATACAAATCATAGTTAAGCTATACAATTTAGTAGTAGGTACTAGCAACTGATTATATACCAACAATATATGTATAGAGTAAATTTCTATCAAAGAAAAATTAAACAAGTGGTTTGGTTCCCTTGGGCCGGGCATATCCTTTTTCTCAGTATCTTAGTATCACAAAGTAATATTTCCAATTCCAATGTTCTTGTACTCTTGGCTTTATGTGTACGTAGAAAAGTCTATATAGCGATTGGATTAATTGATTTGTTTTTGGGGTGGAAGTCGAATGATTGTTGCCGGAATGATGAGACAAGAAGAGTTAGAACCGCCAACTTGTACCACTGATATTGTATCTTGTTTGAGATTGTTTTTGAGGCAAGAGTCGCACAAAGGACAACTGTATCGATATTCGATTTCGTTTGTGAAATGAATGATGGGGATTTTTTGGTGAATCAATTCATACAGACGTATTGCATTGCAGACAGGTGGGTATGGTACATGAAAACAAAAAGTTCTTATGCATATACGACTAATATTACCACTAGTTTTGCTTCAAGTGAGTAGGATTATTGCTTGCCAACTAATCGGTAAATCGGTGAAGAGGTGGTCGCACACTCGTTGGGAAAATATTATCTATACGATTACAAGTCCGCTAGTTAACTAGTAGTCCAGCCATTCGTTAATCTTCAACCAAAACCACTCAACGACTCGATGATAGATAGAAAATAAATGAATTTGGAACCAAGGGTTGTGGTTTATACATAGATCATACGACTAGCAGGATGGGGATTGGATCTGTTGGGAGGGGGGAGGTGGACTATCGTTGAGTGGTGCCCTCGGTTCGGTCCACCGTTTTTTTTTTGTTTGTTTGTTTCTTCAACACTTTTTGCCCAAGGAACGAGAACGAACGAACGAACGAGTACGCCTACGAGTACATTGTACATGTACGAGTACGAGTACGAGAGTATTTGGTTATACAATACGAGATCAACGATCAAAAATTACAACATTGAGTACGAGTACGAGTACTAAGCGAAGATTGCGTTTCTAACGGTTTTCAAATAATTGCTATGCAACATTTATGTATGTACGAGTAGTAGTTTTTTTTTTAGTAGTAGTAGTAGTACTATTTTAGTAAACGCAAATTGAAGACTTATTTGTATATTAAGTTTGGGGGGTACACACAGCACATACACACACACACACAAACACACACACACAGTACACATAATGTATGCTTGTACAATGGTATGATACATAGGTATCGTTACATCGTGGTGGAATATGACGAGCGCACTTTTGAGTGGAGAGTAGAGTGCGTGGGCGTGTGTGTGTGTGTGTGTGTGTGTATTCAAAGGTAGTAGTAGTAGTAGTAAGTGGTTTTTGTAAGTACTAGTGTTTTACTTTTACGCCTTAATTTGGTTTTTTTGTGAACAACATTTATATTCGGAAACGGATTATGGACACAAAGAGTATTCACATATATATTCATATAATATACACAATTAGTTATTAGTCTTGGTTTTTTTTTGTTTTTTTTTTAGTAAAATGTTCGATAAATGTTCATAGATTGGTTTACCGCTTGGAGTTTATCAAACTTATTCACCTTTTTGGTTCTGAAATATTTAAAAATTAGAAGAAAAACAATTTACTTATGTCAATGTAGGAATGTACAAAAATCACAAAGAGTAGTAGTTCTTGTGGTTAGTTTTGTTTGGTTTTTGGTTGGTTTTTTGATGGCAGTGTTGGTAGTAGGGTTAGTAGTAATTGTATTGTTGTGAAGCGAATGTTTTGTCTAATCCTTAAATACCCATACACATTTACATATGTCTAGAATGTTATGCTTATGCATTTATGCGCATGGTTTCTCATGATCATGATATGATCCATTTCCAGAGCAATTAACTCTTCATGAAAATGTTGCAACTGAACTGAAACAGAAGACTTTCTTGCTATGCAAGTTGACGATATAAATGTAATCATCTTAAAGATTTTTTTTACATTGATTTTAAGATGGAAGATTACAAAAATGCAGTACTGTATTTGAAGTAATTATTCGGATATATTTATCCTATGGTAGTAGTGCTGGAACTCTTTACAATGGAATGGGTACAACTAGTACGTCGGAGCAGTGCAAAAGCAGTATTAAATAATGCTTAAACAAGCACTAGAGTTTAGAGTCTTCAAATTACAGTTTAGCATTTTTAACTTAATGAAATATGCGAAATACATATGTGAAAGGATTTCATTTCAGTTTAAACAGGAGTTACATTTGAATTTGGACATATGTCTGATGGTTTTCAAGGTGGATTTATAGATGAGCGTGCAATGCTGAATAGTGAGGATGATGCTGATGCTGATGCTGAGGATGATGCGCTGTTGATGACGATTGCGGATGGCGGATGGCTGAGGGCTGATGGGTGATGGCGTTTGGCACTTTTACGGATTATAGTTAAGATTTGAAGCTTGTTTGTAAATTACCTAACTGATCGCTTTCTGATCGTACTCCGCCGTGCTAGTGTTGCCAAACTGTTGTGTTCGGCATCACCGTTTGCGTGGTGGTGATGGTGCGTGCTCGCTAACAAATGTGTCTGTGAGTTGGCGGCTCCTTCCCCATTCGCCTCGAAGCTTATGGAATTCTGACGCGATCCTCCTTTGTCGAGGGCGGCCATATCGAGCAGGCAGTTAAAGAATGATTGTTTCTATGTTTTTTTTGTTTTTGTTTTTCGATATCGACATTCGAATTGCCATTTGTTAAAGTTTTCGTTTCCGTTTCGTTTTGTTTCGTTTAGTTCGTTCAGTGTGGTTTTTTGTTGTTTTTTTTTTTGTTTTCGTTTTTTAATTATTTTTAGGATTTGTTGCAGATTTCAAATTTGATTGATTGTTGCATTGGTTGCAATGGTTAATCGGTAGTTGTTTATTGTAGATACAGTTGTTGTATTTTTTGTTGTTGAGTTGTTGTTGTTGTTGAAGTTGGGTGAGTGGTGATAGTATTTTTGATATTGATATTTATGGTAACATTGCAACGCATTAGGATTGGTTTTTGTATTTGTATTTGTTTTTTTTGTTTTGTTTTTGTATTTTCATAAGCATTAAAAATGGAATGTAAGAATTATTATAGAATAATTGTAAAGATGTAAGTAAGAGTTTTGGTTTTTAGTACAGAACGAAAAAAGTATCATTAAACATAAATCATAATCGGAAAATTAGTATCATAAGTAAATCTCATATACATATGTATAGTACATATATAGTTATATACATATGCACGCATATAATATAATATATAAGGGAAAATAGCGCTTTTTTGCTGAATATATTGGATTCCTTTATATTGGAAAGATATATAGGTTTTTGGTTTTGTATTTGGTTTGTAGGTATATATGTATATATTGTATATGGCATAGCATTTCGAGATGTGTCAAGCTCTATGCGGAATGTGTTGGTAGGATGTAGAGTAGAGAGATGTTTTATTGTTGTTGTAAGGTTGTAAGTTAAGGTCTGTAATTATTGTTGTTATGTATGCTTGGATGCTTTCGCATGGGATGTTTTTTTTTTTTTTAAGTAAGTTAAGTAGCTTAAAAGAGAGAGACTTGCTGGTTACGTTTAAAACATGCGCAAACTTTTGTACAACTCACTAGGATTTGAAGAAAATCTAAGTAGTACCGCTAGTATTATGAGAATTATTATTATTTCTAATTTTTTGGATTGATTATTGATCGTAAATTATTTTGTGTGTGCCAATTTATAGAGAATGGTGGAGCCACGGAACAGGTGAAACTCGAATTGAATCTGTTCCGTTTGATAACAAAAAAAATAAACACTAGTTTTAAAAACTAAAAATAAATGAAAAACATAAATTCATTTTCTTCAAAGGTATTGCTAGCATTTCTAAGTTTTAGATTATAGATTCAGCTGCTGTTTGCTAGCGCTCTTATTTTAAGTTTGATTTTTGTTTTTCGCATGCTTTCGTTTCATTGATTTAGTTTCAGTCTTTAGTTTGATGATTGATTGTATTGCCTTTATGTAAGCATGCCTAAATGAGCGCCAAAATGCTACAAGGAAACTCAATGGCAGATCGACAACTGAACAAAACATATTAAATATAGGACATTTGCCTGATCATCGCACTGATCCTACAGATCTATCTCTTCTTCTAATTATATTTCTTTTTTGTTCTCTTTCTCGGATTCCTCTTTTATACACGGGTATACATCAATTCAATTGGTTCTATTCATTTTTGTTTGGATTGTTATTACAATAGCAATCGGCATAGATTTATAATGATTTATTTATGTTTATTCAGATTCGCATTGGTTGTGGTATTTTTGACAGCTCTAAAACTGTTTGTGGATTACAGGGGATTAGTTATTGTATTGCATCGATAGATTATGGCCATTGTGGCCTCTATTTTCTCTATGGGTTTGCAAGTTGTGTGTGTGTGTGTGGTGTTTGTTTTTTGTTAGGTGCAAAAGTCGATTCAAACTTGGAAAACAGGTGCACTAGTATTCGAAAGATGCTGAACAAAAGTGTGTGGAACTATGTTAAATCAAAGGCAACAAGTCATCCGTTTTTTTTTTTTTTTTGTTTTCTTTTTTTGCAGGCGCAAATGCAGCAGCATACACATGGTTAGTCCTTCAGAATTGTATGGGGGAAATGCGGCAAACCCCACTTTAATCTTAAAAACCTTGTAATTCATTTTGAGCATCATTGGAAATGATTAAACATACGTTTAATCTTGAATGTGTCAGACATTTCTGGATATTAATAAGCACATCTGCTTTATGATGTTTTTTTATCGATCTTTTTTGTGTTTCTATTAATTTTCAATTGGACCAACCCAGTCTTGGATATGTAAAGGGGTATGGGGTATATAAAGGGGTATAAAGGGGTATATGAACTCAAATCGATGCATAAAATATGCTCTAAAATAACAGATTTCATAGGTTGAAAAGGTATCTCAGACCAAATAGGGTTTGCACAGGCATTTATGTACTTCTCTTTGAACACTCTTTGTCTTAAAATATTTTTATATGTACATATGTATATATATTTGTAAAATATTTTGTATCATTTATGATCTGTATCAGGGGTTCCTGCCATTTTCATACTTTCACATTATGAAAAAAAAAGGAAAAACCTTTTTGAGGGGAATTAAGCGATCGATGGCTTGGGTGTCTGGGGTATATCCATGGGCGAGCAGCATCTAAGATGTGCCAGAGGGGATCCAGAAGCAAGCATCGTTTCTAGGGGCGCATATCGCTTGCACTATGGAAAGCACAGTCCCCGAATGGAGAGAGAGGAGTCGGGTCTAGAGTGTACGATTTATTATGGTGTGTAAAGCGAAACATGACCATAGCATTGCAGTTGGGTGTTGCTCTACGGTTTGATAATATTATATAGTATATTTTGAATATAGGTATTTGTAGTATGCATTGTGGGGCAGGCTTATTATGCTGGATTTCCTAGTTATATTAATGCACATTCCTAGGCGAGTATGTATGTACACATGCCTCTAGCCGATAAGAGAGATTTATTGATTGATTGATTGAGAAAGAGAGAGAGAGTGGTTGGTTGATTGGTGGTAAGAGCAGTACAAGAGAGTAGTGTAAGTGGAGTAGGAGGAGCTTCAAAAAAGGCGAAAGCAAAATCAAGCGAAAATTTGCATAGGCATAGGCATATATATCTATGTAAATATATAGAATATATACCGGCTCCTCGACGGCCGTTGGGCTATATTTACGCTCGTCATCGTCTTCCGGTTTCTTCCGCTATCATTGCCATTTGCGATTTGCGATTTGCCATTTGCGATTAGCATATTGTATTTGCCATTTGTATTTGTAAATGGTATTTTGTGGGGTCCAATTACAATGTTAAAATTGAGAAATTCATTGTTTCAAATTCAGTTTGTTTCAGATTCAATTTTTTTTTGTTATTGTTGGGTTTTATGTGTTTTGTGCACAGGATAACAGGATAACAGATAGAACACAATTTCATTAATTATTTCGACACGTGTGTATTTGTATGTGTTTAGTGGGTGTGTTTGGGGATGTGCCCTCCCTGTGCCAGTATACAGTATAGAACCCGCCTCTAAGAGGTAAAAAACCTTCAATTATCGCCAGATACGTGATTGTTGTCTTTGTGTTTGTTTAATCAAATGGCAAACCTCTAGGAATATATCTAAGAATATCAATAGGTAGGTTTACTTACAGATCTAAGAACTTGTTTCTGATACTAAACAACGAACAATATACAATCGCAAACAATCGAGTGGTAGTAAAGTAAATTACGTAAACTCTTCAATTTCTACCGAATACGAGTATATGTATATGTAGATTATATTTTTCGTTATATATGCATTATACGAGTATACTTATAGATAGATCGACTTTCTACAAATACAGTACTCATTGCTCTCAATAATTAACGTTCTGTAGGAGTTACTGAAATACGAGTTTACTCTTTGTCATCCCAAATGGGTTGCAACATTTTCTGTTTAGATTTTTCCGATTCATTGTCGATTATATAGGTATTTGATTTTCGATTGCAATTTCGATCTGGAGTGAAGAAAACTATGCATCCCGTGTCTGCACACAGCTGCCCATAACAATAATAATATTAATTGTAAATACGAAATTTAGAATTTGTGTGTGTGTTGATCTGAAGATCTGAACGGATAGGTGGCACAATTATGGGCAGCTTCTTGTGGTGCATTGACTATTTATTCTTGGGATTTTTTTTTCACTCGCTTTCACATCCAAGGTATGTGTGCAACATACATACAAAAATAATATATATATTTTAGGTAGGTAGTATTGTATATACAAATGTGATAAAACATGAGGTTGCATATAAAATTAATTATATACCTCCTTCCAGTTCTGCGTATATTTTTTTTCGTTTCGTTTCGGTTTTTTTTTTTGTTTTTGTATTTTTTTGATATAGTTTTTTTTTCATAGTTGGTTTTTTTTTTGTTTGTTGTAGTTTTTCGTTTGGGGGTTTTTTTTTTTGTTCAATGAGAGTTAGAGAGGTTCATTGTAAATCCGTATGAGAAGAGAAATCATAATATTACATATTTATTCCAAGTCATATAAATATTTCATTATATAGATTTTTGTTGTTGTGTGTGTGGTTATTGTTTATGTTTTTGTTTATGTTTATGTTTTTGTTTCATTGTCATTTGTTTCAGTAGAGTGTGTTGTGTTTTTTTAGTGTGTTGTGTGTTTGGTATTAGGGAATTGAAACGTTTTCCAATCCACAACTCCAATGCAAATTCCAATTCTGTTCTGGCTACAGTGTCTATTTCTTTTTTTTTTTAGTAGTAGTTAGTTTTGTGCTTTGAAGATAATTAGAGTATCTGGTAGTTAGATCGATAGTTAAGTTGTTCATGGATAGGTAGTTTGCTTATGTACAATCTGTGACTGTGGGGGGACAGCACAATGTCTAGGACTTAGACTTACATATGATAGACTTATATCATTACATGAAAAATAGCAGCAAGAAATAGTAGTCGCAACCACTTTCGCTCTTCGGTGGTGCAATTTCAAACAAAACAACGAATCGAAACAAAAAATAAAGCAAAAGAACAGAAACTCATATCAAAAATCATCCAGAGATTATTCCCAACTGGATGGTTGTTGGTTGGACCCTTGGATACGTATGTATTCCAGAGAAGCTCCTAACGACACTTTATTTATTTTTGTTTTTTTTTTTGGCACTTAACATACGAGTATTCTGGATGATTATCATGTGATTATCATTATCATATCTGACCAGGGCTAGAGGGTGGATAGGGTTCGGGCTTCCTATCCACTCCGTTTAATTTCGACTAGAGTTGTACATTTTGTGTGTGGGGGGATTGAGGGGCCAGAGTTTTTTGGGGAAGGGGGTAATTGTGGAATTATGTGCTAGAGTTGACTTACCGGCATGCCCGAATCAATCTGGCCGAACCTCGTGTTACGCCAGGACTCCAGTATGAGGAACCCAGCGTAGATTTTACCAACTGAAAGCTTCCCCTTATTCAGCTGATCGAGCGGTGGCACCAGCAGATTCAGCATCTTCTTCGCCTGCAGTGGCCAAATGTTCGTAATGGTTTCCCTGAGCTCCATGTCCGCCTGATCCATCTCCTCAGCTAAACGCGTAAAGTACAAGCAAATAAATATATTAATGTAGATATAATATAGAGTCGAATATGGAAAATCGAGGTATCGAGGTATCAACATACGCGCTCGCATTTTAATGCTTAGATTCTCCCGAATCAAAGCGAACAACGTTGTGGTAAACTGGACTCTCAGCTCATCGTCCAGCGGCATATTCATTCTGATCAGTTTCTTGTAGGCCAGCCGATTGGGACACTTGTTACCAAATCCCAGCGGTGGATCCATATTCTTAAGCATGTCGTACATTTCCGTGTAGTGTATTTTACCACTAATATTCATTCATTCGAACGACAACGACAACGAGGAGTATATGGAGGAAAATTAGTTGTGGTGCTTCACTTGCTCGGCTTCTACAGCTGCTGCTGTTGCGTGTAAACTCTCAATCCAAATAACACAAACAAACAAAACACAAAACAGTGTGTGTGAATCTTCGTGTCAAGCCGAAGACATGCATATGCCCAATCGATCGGACTGGACTATCCATATATCCATATGCATGTTAAAGCAACTTAAAACTGAAAAACTGACAAATAGATAAACTCAAAGGTGGGGTGTTGGGGAGAGGTTTCAAGCTCAACTTGTGCACACAGTCGGCTCATACTTGGGAGAGCCTTTGAGAATAGAGTCGTCCGTGTCTCGACCGTTTGATATATGAATCAAATACGACCAAATAACAATCGTTTAATATAAAAGTGCACGCTTGATCGAATGGCAGGATGGCAATAAACCGGAAAATGGTCAGGATAAAACTTAAACACAAACAACAAATGTTAACGACAACTTTGTGGTAAAAACAACAATAACTTTTTGAATTTTGAGAGTAAAGTGGTGTGGTGGTGGTGGTGGTGTTGGGTGGGTGGATATGTGCATATTTTTTGTTTTGTGTGTGTGTTTTTTTTATGTATTTTGTTGTATATATTAAACAGATAATTACGTCGCATTTGGATCATATTCCGCCCATATGCGCACAAATTCGTCTAAGTGATGAGCACCCAATATACTGGAGTCCCTTGTGAGATAATCAAAATTATCCATGATGACGGCGACGAACAGATTCAACATTAGAAACGAACAAAAGAATATAAACGATACGAAGTAGGCATAGGCCAGCGTTGATCCGCAGTACTCGCCCGGGGCCTTCTCGGCGTCCTCGTCACAGGCTTTGCCCTTGAGGCAGGCCAGCATTATGTTTGGCCATGCCTCGCCCGTTGCACATCTGAAGATCCGGGAATAATACACCAAAAAATTAATATATATGTGGGTTCTGTGAGGCGTGGGGGGGTGTAGCTCCCCCACAAGCAAACTATTTGTAAGGTATTAAATATATATGTATGTTAATTAACTAACTCTAAATACGATCGGTACGATTTGTGGGGGGCAGGTAGGGTATGCAATGTGTCTTGGGTGTGTGTGTGTGTGTGTGTGTGGGTGGGTGGGTGGGTGTGTGTATTTACATAAGGTAGTACTCGTATACGACGATTATGGTATGTGTGTGTAAGTGTATATACATATAAGGAGATTGCAGTAGGCGGCAGGATATATGAATGATATAGTATAGTTGAAGTAACTCCTTTAATGTATATAGAATTACATACACACTCAAAAATACTACAGCTTTGGCAGATACTTAAGGCAGTTACTTTTGCGGACAGACACGACAAAGATATACATATATATAGAGAGAGAGAGCGAGAGAGCGAGAGACTAATGCCAATTGGTTATACGACTATGACGGCATACATACATATAGTAGTAATTTCGATTGAATTTTCGACTTATTGGTATAGCAGATGAACGTATGTATGTATGTACTTGGAGTATATAGTTTGATAATGGCTAATGGACTGATTAATGGCAGTAGTGATGATCGATCACAGAGTGGAATTACATACAGACATACATCAACTGGCAGTTCTATTAACTTAATTATCATTATATATAGTAGATATCTATATATATATATATATGTATATATAGAGAGAGCATTATAGGTGGTAAGTTGTTCGAGGGGGGGGGGTCGTATATGTATAACAACTATATATATATGTATATGTAGTATATAACTAGAGCATAAATTACCAGTAATAATACTGCAAAAATGATTTCAACTCTCATTTAAATTCTCAACGGTTTAAAACACTGCAACAACGAAAAGTGCAAAACTTTGGCAAAATCAAGCTTCGCTTTCAAAATATTTAATATTTAGTTCTACAGGTTTTTGGTTTTTGGTTTTTGGTTTTTGTTGTTTTGTATTTGTTTTTGTACATACATAGGTAATACATACATATACTATATCGTACTATGCGGCATACATACGTGGCATACATATGTCGCATATGCCGATTTTAAGTAAATAATTAGTTTTTTTTTAGTTTTAGTTGTAGTTTTTGTTTGTTTGTTAGTTTTAGTTTGATTGATTGATATACGGATATATATTGTTGTTGTTGTTATTATTATTATTTTTTTTTTTGTGGTATACATAACTCTAGAAACCAAGCTACATACACAGGTATCAATCAAAAAAAATTATTTGTAATTGTTTAAGCAAAACGAATGTATGTAAGGTAATGCTTGAATCTGATTTTTGGAATTGGATTTTGGAATCAGGAGAGAGACAGAGAGACAGAGAGAGAGAGAGAGAGAGAGAGAGAGCGAGCGAGAGCGAGAGAGCTGAGCTGATAATTATTATTTAGATTTTGTTTTATGGATTTACCACCGTTCTCTACTGTAGGGCTGCCCGCCACAAATATCCGAACGAAGTGCTCATTTTCTTTCATGTGACTAGAGAAACCAATACACAGATTATATATGTATATATTGTACTATAGTCTAGGACTCTAGAGTTTTTGGGTACGAAATGAAATCTAAGTTGTTGTTGGAACTTAAAACTATCCTAAAACCCCAACCCAAAAAATCCCCAAAATGAAATACTAAACCATTTAGGCGGCTCTAAGGCTAATCTATTAATAACCATCCTCCCTTCGTCTGCTTCAAGGTGCTAACCACCCCTAGACTAGTAATAGTACGAATAGTAGTAGTAGTAGTAGTAGTATATTTATGATACATATAGTAGTAGTAGTAGGAGGAGCGACGCGTATGAGAGATAGATAGAGAGAGAGAGAGAGAGAGACGAGTCTAGTTGTATACTAGATTAAAATTATTGCTAACTTGTATTTGATATTTTATAGTATCTATAGCTAGTTAGTAACTTAATTACTGAGAATCGAAAACATTTTATTTTTGTTTTTTTTTTTTTTGTGGTTTTTGGGTAATAGTAGTAGTAATAAGTAGTATTTTTAGGGGCATGGAGATCTAGGATCTAGTTGGGGATTACATACCTGAAGAGCAACATGACGCCTTGAATAAATGATTGGAAGTTGTTGTGCCTAGTAATGGAATTTTCCACTGTACCTAGTTTGATATTTCCGAACACCTAGGCACGATTCAAATATCGGTAAAGAATTCAATGGATTATTGATTTATGGTTTTTTTTGTTGTTTGTTGGTTGTATTGAAAGACTTAAATCATATTGCACATTACACACACTCGAGATTCCTCGTCTTCCTTACAATCCTCAACGCTGGCTGGCATTACCCACCCAACGAAATTCTAAGTCCGCGACCCTATTTGACCCGACGCAACCCCTTTTCTTTATCCAACACGGCAAATCCATATGTTTGAGTGGGTCAGGGCGAGCAGGAATAACATATACATACTATATAATATCATCTGTTTCTTTCTGCTGTCAGAACAGTCTGAACCGGGGGCAGAATGGGTAGAATGGATGGAATATATGTGGGTGAGGAGTTCTCTCGATTGACACACATGTCGATATGTATATGCAGTGGCTGTGTGGGTGGATTGGAGTACGACTATTGCAATGCTAAAACTCAATGACATGTCAACATCCGAGCTAAAGCACTCTCAAAAAAACTTATTTCTTAACATTTAGGAACAGCTCTCAGTATCAAAAAAATAAAACAGAAATATAGGTTGGGGAAAGGGTTGGAAAAATAAATAAAAGCAAGCGCAACCAAACGAAACAATTTCATTGAAAAACTCTCATCGGTTACCATTGATACAACAACGAAAAGATACACAAAATATATAAAAAATACTCTATGATTATTAATAACCAATTTCAAAACTCATTCAGTTACAGTGGAGTGCTAATGCAGTGCGTTTCATCCTAATGAAATCAGCAACCAAAAAGAGAGAACTTTTAGGAGCAGCACAAAAACGGAATCAAATCAATTTCAATATTTAATTTCCTTGAAACGCACTATATAGATATAGAGAGTGTGGCAAGTGGTAAATATGTGGTAGGTACCCTTAATAGTTCTATGATAACCGACATATCCCAAAACAGGAACATCAAAATAAAAAAAAAAAGGCATCTATGTATGTACAGCGTTCAAAACAGAATGGTTTATAATCTGATATGATCTGATATGATCGGTGGTTGTGTGCAACCATTGAAACATTTAGTTAACCAAAACGAAGAATATACCACAAACAAATACACGATCCTAATGTTAAACAAATACATTTAATTACAGTTTTTAAAATTCAAATTCAACAACTGGCAACTGTCAAACGCATACATTGATTCCATTGATATCTTTTTTGTTTTGTTTTGTTTAGTTTTTATTTTTTGTTGTTGTTGGGATGCGAATATACATAAGATTCAACGAACGAACTATGGATACTTGATGATCGAAATATGTTTCCAAATTGCAAGGGGGTGGGAGGTGGGGACCAATCAACAACGGTAGATGGATCCACCGTCGAGGACTGTAGAGTGGACTTACAAGGCCTTATGCCCTAATAAGCCCACTCCGTGTGTCAAAATTTTGTTCAATAATTTCGAATATATGGCGAATCTACATTTTAATGTATTTTGTATATGCATGAATTTTTGTATTTTTTTTTTTTTGTTTGTTTGGTGCCATCTTTTTTGGGTAATCTCTATGGAGTTTTACTATGGTTTTAAACTAGGATTATGTTTCTCGTTTACCGAAAGAGCAGCATGATTCCACCGGAGAACGATTGGAAGTTATTGTGGCGATTCAGTTGCGTGTCCGGATCATACTTTATGTTGCCGAAAACCTTTTGGTTTGATGTATAAACATTATAATTGGTTTGAATAGTAGGCATTAAATTTCGACCAACATTTTTATGATTCTATCAAACTGAATTTGTATTGTTTGGTTTTTATTCCATGTCTAGACATAGTCTATATTCTAGATTAACTATTTAATAAGTACGAGTTATATGATGATCACTAACCCACAGAGTTAAGAGCTATAATTAAAAGTAAAAAATGTAAAAAGAAAATGATGTTTCTGGAACTACTGCTGCCCCCTCTTAAATACATAATAAGCTCCCACACCCAGCGGAGGTTAAGACTTGAAACCAACAACGACCTAACAACAGAAATCAGCAACTAACTGTTTTTTTTTTTTTTTTTATCCACTTATCATTCGGGATATACGAACAAATTTCTGTGTGGTTTTCTTCACTCTTTTTTTTTTTGTATATCTTTTTTTTTGGCGCATTGGCTTACGGGGTTTATGGTAGTTGGTGGAACGTTTGATAACTTACCTGCATGCCAATAATGGCGTATATAAAGAATAGCATGGCTATAAGCAAACAGACATATGGAAGTGCTTTAAATGATTGTACAAATGTCCACAGGAGAATTCGTATTGTGTATCCTTGACGGAGTAGTTTGATAAGACGCGCCGCACGAAACAAACGCAGGAAGCCGACGTTGATTGAGTTCGACTGTAAAATATTATTGGCCAAAAGGTTTGTTTTTGTTTTGTTTTTTGTTGTTGGTAGAGCAGATTCGAAGAAACAAACAAAAAGAAGAGAGAAAACAGAACGGAAAAGGAGATTGGTATTAGAGTGATTTGTCCCCGTTGTTTTTTTTTTTTTTTTGTAATATAGTTCGTGAATTCGTCCGAATCCCTTTTTTGGGGGGAACTCGTTCGAACTGCTCGAATGCGTGTGTTCGTATCATCTTCATCATACTTGATGGATGATGCATTTTCGATATGCATTCCAATCTAAACTATCGGTTAGTAGTAGATCGTTCCGTTAGTACTAAGTAGTAGTAGTTGGTAGCAGTGCAGTAATAGTAGTGGCAGTAGTAGTAGTAGTAGTATGTAGTTAGGCGCAGTTATTAGTTAGTAGTAAGTAGAGTAGGTTACATACATAGTAGTTAGTAGTAGGTAGGTAGGTAGGTAGGTAGGTAGGTAGGTATCGATTTAAAATCATTATATATCATTAGCTAATAAAACTATTTTCAAACAAAATAAAATGTCAAATTAATATCGTTCCAAATTGCATTTTACTCATAGATATAGTATATATGTATATGGGGCATATACAATACATAATAGTATTATGTATAGATGGAACAAAATGCTAAACAAAAATTTTGATTTTGATTAAATCCATTTTACCATTTAATGAAATGCAAATATACAGAATTTTCATTTGATTACGTTTTGGAATAAAAAAAACTATTTAATTAATTTACTACCAATTGTGTCTGTTGTGTCTATGTGTTCTCGTTTGAGTATCTGTTTGTGTGTATGTGTGTGATGTATAATCAATTTTTTTTTTTTTTATGAGTCGGATTGCTTTTATGTGCGTCTTCCGAATTTTCTACTACTCATAATTTACACAAAAAAAATTAAATGGAACTAAAAAAAACAGTACGGAATCGAATAAATTTATATGTAATATAGTAACTGGTAAATCGGATTTGTTAAAAGTTTTTGTTTGTTTGGAAAAGCGCTTTCAGTGCGTTCTGTGTGTGTTGGTTGTGTATGTGTGTGTGTCTTTTTCTTACTAAGAAAAACTAATCGTGTGGTTTATTATTTTTTATTCGTTCTAAGTACGAGTATTTTTTGGGTGACTTTTTGTAAGCGAAAGAAAGCGTTTAATCAATGTAGAACAGTATGCCAGTAGAACAGTATAACAGTAGAACAGTTGTATTGTTAGGTTTTCTATGTACAGTTTGCATCATTTGCATCAAGGTGCATGTGGCAAGTCTTGGGAACAAAAGGGTAGAGAGTATCGTCAGAGTTGGTGTTAATTATTATTTCTTTTTTTTTCGGTGTAAGGGGGGGACTGGGGCTCTGTTAACCGTTGTTTTGTAATCGTCACCGATTTGGCCAAAATATTTTACCCATCAGCTGTTGCAACAGTATAAACACTTGTCATACCTGTGGGCGCATACATACACATACATACATATGTACATTTTTGTTTGTTGCATTTAAATGTGGCATGCACCCACACGTACGGGTGTTGTGCTCTGAATGATGTGCCTCTGGCAACTGCTGACTTGAGGACGTATACCGCCTCGCCGCGGGCTTCGTTTAATTGCTTCATTTATACACTGTGCAAAATCGTATTTGTATACTATATCGTTGGAGTTTACAACTATTGAATATGTTATAGAGGTAGAAGTAATAGGTAGTACTTAATGTTAAGGTTTTGTGTATGGACTACAGAGACTAGAGCAGATAGTAGGTGGTAGCAGATGGTTTTTGGTTAGTTACATATTATGGTACATATTATATGTATGTTTTGTTGTAAGAGGTGAAGCAACGGATATCAAAAAAACATTTGCTCGAGAGGTGTGACACAAAATTTGCTGTGTGTGGCCCAGTGCTTTTTTTTTTTGTGGATTGTAACTGAAAAGAAAACATACATAGTACTCGCAGCAGTACACTGAACACACACACTGAACCGAACCGAATCGTAGCATGTATTCCTCATATAGTACATACATATAGAGACTACCTGTAGCACCGATTCATGTCGATCGTTGGAAAATACAATATGTACACAGGAAATGCAGTGAAGAGCTAGAGAGGCAGAGTGTGGCGACTATCTCTATCCGGGGCGTAGCTATACACATATGCATATGTATATATATGTACATATATATGGTGGATTCTATGGGCTATGCAGGGTATATGTGTGTGGAAGGGTGGGGATAATGGAGTATGATCCCACGCTGTGGTCGTAATTTTCTATGTTTTATTATTTTTTCATAGAGCAGATTTCAAGGGGTGTTTCGGGTGGGTCGCTGGTTGACTATTCTAGACCCCAAAAATCGAGTATTACAGGATGTGTTTGTGGGAAGATATACACATGATGTTATCGGGGATACAGTCCCAGATCAGATCAGATCTACGAGATCTAACTACCAGTAAGTACGCAAGAGAAAGTGGGGGGCTAGCGAGAGAGAGAGAGAGAGAGAGCGAGCGAGCGAGAGCGAGATATCAAAGGAGAAAATTGCATCTACAGATGATGTACGTACACAAAACGAGATCAATCGATGTGATCTGAATACGGAATTGAATATAGTAGGAGAGATATTTTAAAAGTTTTTTTTTTTTTTGTATGTAGTATGGTAAGTAGTAAAACGTTTAGCTAAAAAGGCTAATTAGTCAAAAAATTTGGTTTTTTGGTTTTTTTGTAGTTTTGTTGTTGTATTTGTAGAGTGTGTGGTTGTTGTAGCTGTAGTTCTTGTTGTTGTTGTTGGCTGTAGTAGTGGTTGTTTATTTGTTGTTGTTGTGGTTGTAGTTTTTTGAAAGTAGAAAACTTGTTAGGATAGATTTTGTTTACTTACATCCTGTTGGATAGCCAGAAACCATTTTCAATTTAAATTTGAATTTGTGGATTTGTTTTTGAGACAAATCAATGATTTTGATTTGATTTTTTTTTAATTGTTTTTGATTGTTTACATTGATTGACACACACAATTGTTTTTTTTTTTTTTAATTGTTGGTATTAGTTATAGTTGTTGTTTTTGGTAGTTGTAGTAGTTGGTAGTAGTGATTGGTGTTTTTTTTTTCGGCAGTTTTCAGATTCATATTCAGATTCAGTTCAAAATCGTCACAATTTACAAGACGGTATATAAAAAACGTATAAAACGTATGAAATGTAGTTTTTGATTGATGATTGTTTTTTTTTTTTTATTTTTTTTTGATTTGATTTAGTTGTTCATTCATTGATTGAGATTTTCAAATGTATATAGATATATTGCATGTATAGACGATGCATGTTTTGACGATCGATCACAGGTCGGTTTCGGTTTCGTTATCGGTATCGGTTTTTGGTCAAACGATAGATAATTCGATAGAGTTCGTTGGGCGGCGAGATCGTTGTTGATTTTTTTGTGGTTGGTTATTCATATGTTTCGTATTATTTCGTATTCAGAGAGAGAGATATTTTGTTTTAGAAAAAAATAAATAGAAATAGGTAAAGTAGAGTTGAAGATTAGTAGTATTGCAATTGCAACTGCACGAGACTGCAGCAGCTCTATCAAAGGGTAGTATACAAAGATAGTAGCAGTAGTAGATCAAGATCACAAATATCAGTAAGCAGAGTTGTTTCAGTTACATGTTGGATCTCTACATATATGTATGTTGTTGGAGTGTGTTTAGTGTACTATGTGGGTGTGTGTTGTTGTAGTATCTATGCATCTGTAATTGTATCTAATGGCTTTTAGGCTTTTAGGGAGATCTTCGATGTGTTTACAACAAGGTTCTGGTTCTAATCGGGTTGTATTGTTGGTTTCTATTTAGGTAAGTATTCGCGCAGTTCAATTTTTGCCTCTTGACTATATAGAATACTATGCAGGTTTTACGTTGGTTGTTTGGTTGGACTATACATATATATATATAGTAGTAGTATTAGGAAATGTATTTTTACAAAACTCAAACATTTGTAAACACAAAAGATAACTCTGATAATAAAGCATTGTTTGACGAAATGAAAGACGAAGTAAAGATCGAAGATTACCGAACGATTGACCGCGAGAAATGGGATCCGATCCGAGAGTCGAGAGTCGAGAGAGTGTTACGGAGAGAGTCTTACCTATACGACACACCACCAATGGGGGAGGAGACAACCAGTTAGCGGAGGGATCTGTAGATCGATGTTGGGTCCACTGATACTTTTGATGGTTTTTTTGGGAGTGGGGGGTTTGATTGGTTGGTTATATTGTAGATATATGTAGATTGCAGAGCATTTGCAGCATTTTCTTTTTGAAAGTTCTCAAGCAACAAAACAGTTCTCACAGTAAAAAACGGTTCAAAACATTTGGTGAGTGTGTTTGTGCGTGTACAAAGCCGAACGAACTGAACTGAATCAAAAATGATATATATCCAAGTGCATTCAACGCACATACTCGCATGTTAAGTGAGTGTATGTATGTATGTATGTAGTATTTGTGAGTGTGTGTGTGTGGGTGTGTTTGGTTGTGTGGTTGAATGTGTGTGTGTGTGTGTATGTGTATGTGTGTGTGTGTGGCATGCAGCAGCTGTAGCTGAGAAACGAAGCCAATCCAAGCCCAGAACAATAGCCGGGGCACACTACTTAGTTGCTTACAATAATGGGTGGGAGTGGAGTGAAAGATGGTGTGAGCATCGCAAAAAAACTGAGTGTCAGAGCGGCAGGGGGGGGGTGATTGGGTGAAGGGTGGGTGTGGTGGTTGTTAACAAAGCTCAAAAGTCATCCAAGTGACCTAGGATAGAGAGAAACTATCGTACTACAGCAGAGACTGCCAAAACAAACATGAGACAACCCAGACAAAGAGAGAGAGAGAGTGAGAGAGAGAAAAGTTAGCGGGATATCGGATCGGAATGGGTTCGGGCTTTGTTTTTTTTTTTTTTGGATTCTTGAAAGAAAGACCAGACAATATTTTGAAGTCATGCTTTTGAAGAGTTTGTTTTTGTTTAAGCTCAACAGATATCGTTAGAGTTATGTTTTATATAGAAAGTTCATCCATCGTCTGGATCCAACGAGATTTTTGTATGTACCTCTCACTTCACTGATGACGTTGGGCAGTTGGGCGGATATCGTGTGCCGGGAAGGACTACTTACATACATTTGACAGCTCTTGGGGCAGCTCTTTGAATACCTCTCATCCGATGTACAATTTGATTCGATAATGATGATATGATGCTTTCACCTTGCTTTCTCGTTATCGATTGATCATAGTTATTCGTGTGTGTACACATTGTGACAGTATTTAGATATTTTTTGGGGTCTTTTGTTGTCTTTGGTGGAATATATATATTTGCTCATTGGTGTACTCGTAAGTAGTATATACTATGTATGGTGTACTCGTGTACATATATTTAGGGTGTCTGTGTTTTGGTTGGATGCCAATTTCTGTTCTGTATATCAACCGCAGTGAATGATGATGAATCGGAAAATAGTGTCAGGGGGAGAGGCGTGTGTGTTGGTGTGTGTGTGTTTGGCGATTGTGTGGTGGAATGTACGTTTGGGTTTCCATCAAACAGTCAAATTTGCGAGACCGATCAAACCAAAGCAATCCATGCGCAAAGTAAAACCAAGGGAAACAATTAATTCGAAAACAGCTCGCACAGCAGTTGCAGGGGACCCCCGGATAGATCGATGATCATCCCTCGGATGCATGGATCGATCATCTTTGAATATTGAAAGAACTCTGCACGTTATGAAACGTGGCAGCAATATAGTGAAAAACGAATGGGTTAAAGAGTAAACAACTATACTCATTTATCACACGTAAAGTAGTTGATCTTTTTGATATCACAGTTAGATAATCTTCTAACGATTAGATAGACTCAAAAATATATATATTTATTTATAACTTGATGAGAGTTTATAAGATCGGTAAACATTGAATCACAGATGATTTTGCGACACAACCGATGTCACAATGAATGCTACTTTATAAAGAACGTTCTTTATATTTAATATTTTATTGCCACCCTTTCGCTGTAAATTCTAACATTTCTTGACTACAAAAGCTTATATGCACGCAACTTTAATACAAGAGACAGAGACAGACAGATATAGGCAGTGAGAGATAGTCACAGATACAGATAGATATAAAGATATATATTAATATATATATAGAGAGAGAGAGAGTTAGAGACACACAGTGGTAATTAATTACAAATCGCAATGTTGTGTGCTATGCAACAGAAAACTGAATAATACTGAATACGAAACACATATGATAGTATATGGAAATCGAAATAGAAATAGAAATTAAAACTTTGAAAATGAGTTCAACTAAGACAGAGACATAATAAGTATGTAGTTTGTGAGAACAAATGACTAATCATGTGATATAATTCGATATTTCGTAAAGAAAATCAAACTAAATGATGTAAGAAATAGGATTCGGAATTAATAAGCTTATTTAGTGGTAGGCAATTAATTAGCTTTAAGTTTTAAGCGGAATTCTAAGGATTCATTGAATTGGTACACATCGAAAAATGTTTGGAATTGGAATTCTTTGGATAAATGCAAAATCAGTGTAGATCGTGTTTCGTACTTACATCGTGCTGCTTGGTTGTGTCGTTTGTTGTACATGTAGTAGAAGTCGATGTATATAGTTGTTGAGATGATTGATTGATTTGGGGGGGAGATATATATATACACATACATGTGGGATACAAGATTTGTTTTTTTTTTTAATTATTAATTTTTTTTTTTTTATTCGAGGATAGTTACATGTATGTATGTATAGATATTTTTTTTTTTTTGATGCGTATGCGTATGCATGAGTACATGTGTGTGTTTGCAGGACATACACATGCATAGGGTTTGATTTTGTTCGATTGTTGAATGGACAGATTGTTGGAATGGTTTTGCGTTTTAGAATTTGTTTCATTGGTTGATTATTTGATCGATAAATCGATGAATCGATTGGTGTGTTTGGTTGGTTATTGGTTTTTTGAATTGAGATTTCGGTTTTTGGTTTGATTTGATTTTGGTTTTTGGGTTTGATTGATATTGATTAATTTGATTTAACATTTTGGTATAGTAAAAGTATTTTTTGTTTTTCGATTGATTCAGTGAATTTATATGTATATATATATATATATATATTGTTTTTGGATACAACAATTTTTGGTGGTGGTTGTGGTTTTTGGTGATTCGGTGGCAGTGGTTGTGGAGTTGTGGTTTAGGTGGTGGTGGTTGTGGTTGTGGTTTTTGGTGGCAGTGGTGGAGCAAGAGACATATACATATATATAGAGAGAGTTGTATCATTGCACATTCATTGCATTTTTGGGTATTTTTTTGGTATTGGTATTCGAGAATTACACAGATGTTATATGTATATCATTGTTGAGATTGTAATTGTTGTTGAATTGTTTGTGTTGTATTTGTTGTTCAGAGTTAGAGTTGATTTTGTTGAAGAGTGTTGTGGCATCGATTCCCGATCGATGATGTTCGGTGGCCAATTGTTGGGATATATCGTTGCATATATATATTTATATACAACAGAATATATATATACATATATGCAGATTTGGCGTGTATTACATATATAAAGATATATATTACACATTTTTTGAGATGTGTGCGTGGATTGTTTTTGCAGTTATTGGTATTTGTCGTGTAGGTATATATATATATATCATTGCGTGAGTGTTTGTTATATATTTTATGTATTTTATATATATTTTTTTGGTTTTTTTTTTTGCATTCATCGATATTTTTTTTGGATTGATTTCGGATTGGGTTTTCCCGATTTTGAGACCACATTTTGGTTTTTTGTTTTGTTTTTTCGTACACAAATAAATATGGAAAAGGAAATTAAAAAAGAAATATGATTATTAATTTCTGTATTTCGTGGGACTTTGTTTCTCTTTTTTTTTTTTTGCATTTTGAGTTATTTTTTTTGTTCTGTATGTGTGTGTTTTATAATAAATATATATATATGCTATTGAAAATCAAGGTAAATATATATAGATATGTATGTATGTATGTAAAAAAAATATGAAGAATAAAACATGTTTAAAATATCGGGTGTAACTGTATTTTTCGATTTGCGATCTGTGCAAAAGTGCCAAATCCTCAATACCTAAATTCCTAGTACCCTGAATCTTGCACAATTCTATCGATGGACACTTTGACGTACAGTTTATGAAAACGCTAAACAAACTATCATTCGATTTAAACCTGAAATACTGTAACTATCACTTCTGTAACTATCACTCAGTAGAAGAAAATCCTACAATAAATTACCATTCAATATATCTGCTAACTTAAGCACGAACTTCCATCTATTATAAATACTATATCAATCTCTTTTTTCTTTAATATTACACTTTTGTTTATAGAAACCCCATTGAAATTACATATCCAAATCCCATATTAATTCTGACTTTCAGTCTGGACAAATCCCTTGTAAATTTCTTCAGTAATGTTTATACTTTTGTCCTTTATACTTTATCCTCATCTATAAAAATTGCATTCATGATAAGATAGATATGAAACGTACACGTATATATTGTTGTACTTAAATGTGAGGCGTTTAGAGAGATACGCCATCAGGTCTGTTGTGTGTGGATAGATATATAGTAGATACTTATAAGATATTTGCTTGGTTCTTGGTGTTCTCTGGGGGTATTTTTTTCTGTGTGAATGTTCTGTGTATGTGTGTTCTCTGTGTGTGTGTGTTTGTGTGTTTTTTGTATCTTGGCAAAATAATGAAGCTAGATACATTTGTTATTCAGTTATGAATTACATTGTTTTCTTGTCTTGCATAAAAACGGCCTACAGAAATCGAACACAACAATAATATGTATGCTCTGAGTCGGTTCTTGTGGCAAGCAACTGATAATTACCCCAAATTCCATCCACAAGGCATCCACAATGCTGCCCAGCACGGTAATCAGATCGAATATGTTCCACGGATCCTTGAAAAAGTTCTACAAAAAGGCAATACAAATAAAGTGTTATTCAAGTCTCTATATTCAGCATCAACCCAATAACAAAAATCTTTATTCAAATTATTGTGAATCAATTCCAAAACGTACCTTGACACCGAATCCAATGATCTTGAGCACAGTTTCAACGCTAAACATGCCTGTGAATCCCATGTTGATGTACTTGAGTGACTTTTCATACATATCACCCTGATTATGATACTGTTGAGATTTACAATTAACAATTTAGTTTATGTTTATTTATCAAATATATAGAGTTCAGCGTTGATATCAATCCGTTTTTGGGGATAAATAAAGCTTGCATTCAGCAGTAGTTGGATTAAGCATTCTCCCTCGCGCAAAGAGGGAGCACAAAATATTCTCCATAAATATTATTAAATACATATATGAGATGAAAACGGGGGAAGTATTATTCCATTCGAAATATAAATTATATGTTTATAGTAGATGATATTAAAGATCACTTGAAGTCCGTTCGTATACAAAAAAAAAAATAGTACAGAAATGGAAAAGGATATTCAGAGCAGAGCGTTGGGAGAGCGTTTCGGATGATGTAGAGACCCCGCTGTAGGTTGCAAATAAAATGTATTAAAATCATTTAAATTACCTTCATCATCAGCAAGAGCGTATTGAACACGATCAGCATCATTATAAAGTACTCAAATGGCGTTGAGACAACAATGCGCCATACTTTGTATTTGAAAGTGTTCCGATTTTTGGGCATATAACGCTCGAGTGGTCGGGCTCCGATTGTGAAATCAATGCAGGATTTCTGGAGTGAAGAGAAGAGCGATTATGTAGCAATATTTTGATGCCCTTTGCGATTAGCATTCGTGGCATTTCGAAGGAGGGGCGAAGTTTTTTCATTCACAACACTCAATGCAATTTCTGTCAAAGTACAAGGTACATCTAATGGTGTTTGCAACATCAATTACGATACAAACATTTCATTCACATATTTAATACAAATTTTATAGTTCTAATAGGGTGTCTAATTCTATATACGAGTATATACACACAATAATGGGGGGGACAGGGTAGGACTACTACATGTTGTTTGGACTGTTTTCTATATATCCCGATGTTTTCTTGAAGCAAACATAAAAAGAAGGATTGATTTCTGGGTATCTATGTATATGTACAGAGGGTAGGGTAAGTAAAAGCGAATTGGAATTTGGTGTTTTGTTTTTCTACCACATTAATTTCAACACAAAATACATTCATACAAATCATGCCCAATTTTGTTTTGGATGGAATTTGTATATCTTCTCTATATAGTAGTAGGATGTGTCTTGGTCTTGTAATTGGGATTTGAATTTACACTGATCTAAATGCAAATGCTCATACAACAAGAGAATGTTTTTCTTTTCCAACCTAAACCCAAAATGAGGAAATTCAACAGGTATTTTCGTTTCATTTCCCATATCTAAAACAAAGGATTAATGTATATGTATATGGTCTTACAGTGGATACAGATACAGATAGTATTTCTCTATTTGTGGAGAGTTGTTCTTTGTAGCATTTGGAGGCATACTTACAATCTTACAGTCCCTGTTTCGTGGGGTTTGGTTGGTTGGTTTCTTTGGGGCTGTGGCGTATTTTTGATTGGCAAACTCTTTCGACTGGCGACTACTGAACGATATCGATCGTTAAATATTCCCGTTAAAATTCGGAATATTTAATGACCATCGTGAGTACAATGAGATATCTCTACTTTCCGGTAAATGTTCACTATTTATATATCAAAAAAAGGGGAATATGCTAATGCTAAGATGTAGCACATTTGCACAATCCTATGTTCTATGGCATGAGTCTTGAGTTTTTATTATTATTTTTTTTAGCTTGGTGAGTACTAAACTAAGTAGTTTAGGAGTGGGGATTGGCTCACTCTAGAATGGATGGCACATCGACTATACACAAATATTTATATATATTTATGGAGCATTACTATAGAGACTAGAGAGTGTGGTTTTTGTGTGAATGGTATGGCTGGTTGCAGGGGCGACACGCAGTGGACACCCACTAAAAAACGAAAGGCGAAAAGGCAAGGCAAGGCACACACATTTCTTTTGTAGCTATCTCTAGGGTATACATTTATACATACAATTGCAATGCACGAGCATCGGGTATCTGGTTTCTGGTATCTGTGTGTGTCTGGTACAGTGTGTACATGTTAAGTGAGCCCCAGAGCAGAGCTCAATGTGTATGTGTTTTATTTTTGGGTAGCAAGTATTTACGAGTTAGTGACATGTACGTGCATATTAATCAATTTAGTTAATGTATTAATTTGTTTATTAATTTTTTTTTTTTATTGATTGATTTTTGTTTTTTTTTTTTTTGTATGGTTACAACTAGCGGTACATTACACGAAACACATATATAAGCAGATTGATTGACAGAGAGAGAGAGATAGAGAGACAGATAGACAGATAGAGTTTGAGGTGGTGGGCAGGGGGGTCTCGCATGGTTAGGATTTTCGGAATTGGTTTGGGTCTGGCTCACCTGGTTCTTGTCAATTTCACCATCTTGTAACTCAGCTTCGCCTTGCTCTTGAAATGTGATAATAATCAAGGCCACGAATATGTTGACGAAGAAGAATGGAAATACAATAAAATAGACAATATAAAATATGGACATTTCGATCCGGAAATTTTGGATTGGACCCCTATCTTCATAAGTGGCAGCCATTGAGTGTTGCAAGACCCTATAGTCGCAGTTGAATTCGATGGAACGATGTATAGATGGATTGTTTATGGATGGATGAAGAAAAACGAATAAAAGATATCATTTAGTTATTATTCAATATTCGATATGCAAGTGTTCAATTGAGAGATAGATAGATAGTGACAGGTAAAGACAGATCAAGAGATACATATATACATATACAGCATATAGAGTGATAGATAGCAGGTTTACAACAACAATAAGGGGGGGGTGGAAGGGGCTTACTGTGGCCATCCCTCGCCGGTCTGGACAGCGAATAGTGTCAGCATAGCGGCCGCAACGTTGTCGTAGTGGAAGGCCCTTGGCTTCCATACCCTCAGCTCCTGTCTGGGCAGCAGTTCATCCTCCTCGTACTTGAAGTACGAGCCCCTTCAGATTGCGTTTTTTACATGGTATTTGGTTTGGGGGTTTTCATGTATTTAATTGATGGTGTTTTTTGGGCGTTGTTGTGGTAGTTGTTTGGTTGGTCGTGATTTAAGTCATTTGGCAATGGCAATGGCAATTATTGGTTGTGGTTTTAATTAGTAATTTTCATTTGAGACTCAGTAGAGAGAACGTACAGAAATGATACAATATTTAGGCACAACAAAACACACTACGAGGGGGGGTAACAGAAAAACGCAACGGATCGGAAACTAAAGTATCGAAAAATATATATTCTACAACTGAATGGTTAAAGAATTCGAATCGTAATGACTTCATTTTATAAGTATTTTTGGTTTTGGTTTCTATTTCTTTCAGTTTTTCCTTTAGGTTTCTTTACTTTAGCTTTTTTTTTCGACGATGGGTGGAGAAGTATGAAGTAAATGCAGAAATCGAAATCTAATGGATAGAATTTACAGTTTACAGATACAGATCTATAGAGACGATATAGATTCGACCAAAGCACATTTTTTATTGCAAGTTCTGCATGATGTCGATTTGAGCGTGTGTGTGGAGCGGTGTTGTTGTTGTTATTGTTATTGATGAGAGGAGTATGAGTATCAAGCGGTTCGCTGCTGGTTGTCCTACTGCATATTGACATTGTACGAGTATGAAAATTTGAATTCGAAACTAACTCTAGTCAAATCAACACTCGTTACAGTCTGAAGAGAAAGGCGTACAAATAAAGAAATGCTCGAAAATCAACGAAATATGTATACTATATCACTGAAACCCCTGCCCCAAAAAAAAAAAAGACGAACGAGCGAGTGAGCGAGCGAGCGAGTCCTTTTCTCTCGTTGTTTCATAGTTGTCTCGAAGTCATCGGCTTTGTGCGTGGTTCGGCCCGTTGTTCGTTCGGTGATGTGTAACAAAAAGCAGCGCGCTCAAGCGAATATTTCCACTCTACTATACTCTACCGAATAGCGTGTGTAGCGAGGGTGTAGCGAGTAGCGAGTGGCGAGTTGTGTCTCCTCAGCTGTTTTTGTTGTTGTTGTTAATTTTTGGGCGTGAATGGTTTTTCAATGCATGTACGAGTATGCTTAGGTACGAGTATGTACGTGTACATATGTAACTTGTTTTTGGTTTCTTTGTTTTTTTTTTTTTTTTGAGTAAACTGGATTTGGATTTGTTTTGATTGATCAATTGGATAGGTTGGCTGGGGTCCCCCAGTTATTGCATACGAAGTCAAACAGCTAAAACAAACCGATACTCTCATTCTTTCATTGGTGGCATAAGTATCTGCTTTTGTTTTTCACTTCTCAACTGCGACGGGGCGGCGAGTGTAAGGTCGTTACACTCGACTCGACCCACGTCTCGCGAGTGCACGCTGTGCGAGTCGTTTGGCGGAGTGACGACAGTTTCAATTCAATTTGTGGTATAATTTGTGGTAATAATACATAATACATAATGAAACTCTAATGCACACACATAAATATGGGGAAAGAGCTCGTCATCTAGTTGGTTTTGGTGTCTATGGTGTCTACGAGAATGGTGTTTGCGATTCCTACAATTACGGCAGATCAGATCTATTCATACACTAGTCTTTACACAAGTTTATTGGCAATCAAAATCAAAGACGGTAGTATCGCATCTTTCCATACGGAAACTCACACATATTTCGATCTCGATATGTACAAATGCTGGTTTAGAAATGAGACAATGCTTTGGACGGGGGGACGCTCCTAACGCTTGAAAACTGACTGGAGAACAACTAACTATTCTGTAACCGGGCCGTTGGCTAATCTCTCTCATCTGAGTTATTGTGTAATGGATACAGTATTCCTATTGTCATTCCTATACAAATTCCTTACACGGCCCGTGTTTTTGCTATGCGCGTGCTTATTAAGAAATCTTCTGGTAGTAATATGGACTCTTTGGTATTTGGAGAATACCCAATTTGCAAATAAATGAAACATACATTATACACACACATATAATAGTATTAGTAGTAGTAGTAATATCTTGATGATTAATATATACACAGGCTAAACGCGGTGGTTCTTCTTCTTCATTTCTTTATCTTTTCTTTTCTTTTCTTGCTCTTGCATTTGAGTTGAATACTCGTAATAAGATAATTTGATATTGGTCTTTCCCGAGATTTGATTGGTGATTGGCAACAGATACAACACATAGATATATTGATATACGGCTCAACGGATTATTAACTATATAGATATATAACACAAACATAGAGAAATTAAGCGTAACTGTAAAAGGTATTTTTCAGGTGGTAACTGGCATCTGTAGTTTCGCATTTTCACAGGAAGCGTTCCTGTATGTTGATTCGGGCGCATTTTCTCAGATGGTTTTCTTTTTTGCCATTTTTTTTTTTTATGTCCGGTTCATGTATGGGATTCTTCTCTTTCCATATTTTTCCTTTACTTTTTTTATTTCTTTTTGTTTTTTTTTTTTTTTCGGTTTTTGGCCCGTTTACGAGCATGACGTGTTGGTTAGACAAGTCAGGCAAGAAAAACTGGGCAAGAAACTTTAAAATGCTACTCTTACATTCTGTTAAATCAGTGCACCTTTTTTGTTTACTCGATAACGAAAGATTATAAACGTAACGAACAGAAATAAACAAAATATATCTTAAGACATTTAAAAAGTTGAACATAAACGATCATACAACACACATACGAAACAGGGACAGGCTGGGACGGTTGGAAACTAATGTCTTGATATGATCCCCAATCAAACCTTTCTATATACAGATATAGATTTATGTACAAGGATCGGGATCGCCTTCTCTTCTATTCACTTTTTGGTGGTATTACTGAGTTCAGTATACGAAACCCCCCCATCATCGGATCAAGGGTTACAGATCCGCAGACTATACTCTCTCTGGATGCTCTTAACTAACAAAACATATATGTATATGTATGTACGCATGTACGAGTAGATAGGAACACAGATCAGACATAGGTATGTATGTATGTATGTACAGACATATATATTTAGGTATCGGATATATGTATATATTGAGATATATAGCTAAACAACAAAACTATACAGCTAGACATCAATGTGTGGGTATCAAGGATTATTAGATGGCGGAGGCATGTCCCCCTAATGATACTATTGTATTGTAGGTATATATTGTTTTGTAGTTGTGTATGTAAGAACAATGTTAGTTTTTGTCGCCTAATAGTAGAGTATGTAGACCTCTCCGTACGAGTGGGTGAAATGATTTTTGTTGTTGTTCTTTCTAGCTCTAACAGCTACGCAATGTACGTACGAGTTATACATCTAAGTATTTAGAGTTCTATTTTGTATGGTTACTGAGTACTGGTTACTTGGTTACTTGGATCTTCGACAGAGAAACATACAACAGATAGACAGAGAGTTAAGCAACAGAGTAACAGACAGATAGATAGATAGATATCAAGAGGAGAGAGAGTTACAGTCGTAGAGATCGTGTGTTTTGTGTGTAATAGATTTGGAGAGCTAGACAGCTATATCGCCATTATATAGAGGATATTAAAATATGATCAAACCTAAAACATTGAGATAATTACTATAAAAGGATCGAAAAAACTTATATGACATTATGTTCGAGAGTCCTAGGCACAAACAAATGATCCCAAAAACGATACGATACACACATATACAACCAAAAAAAACAAATAATCAGGTCTAAGTAATATATTAGTAAGTAAAATATAATATAAAATTAGTTACGGAACAAGGAAAACAAAACTGAAACGCAAACGAAAAAGTCAAAAAAAAAGAGAGCGAACAAACCAAAACGGAACAAATTTGAAACTTGAGTATAAATTTTACTTACTGGCACTCTGCGGAAGTATGTTTACTTTCGTCCGTACAATAAAAAAATTTTCCATTGAACAATTGTACTCCAATAACAGAAAATATAAATTGAAACAATATGTACACGATTAGAATGTTAACAACATTTTTCAATGAGTTCACGACGCAATCGAAGACGGCTTTCAATTTTGGTACACGCTTAATGGTCTTCAATGGCCGGAGTACACGCAATACACGTAGCGATTTAATAGTCGATAAATTTTGTCCAGCGCTGCTACCGCTCATATCGAAACCGAAACTAACAGCAGCGCATATAACGACCACAGCATCCATAATATTCCAGAATTCTCTTAAATAGCTGCCAGGGTGCAGTATCACACCCAAGTCTACAATTTTCAGCAACATTTCTATCGTGAATACGCCGGTAAATGCATAATCAAAGTAATTCAATATCTTGTTTCGCCTCGAGTTCTCACGAACGGGATCTTCGGCTGCTAATGCTATTGATGACATTGAGATGACGACCATAATGAAGAAATCAAAATATGGCAAATTAACAACCCAATGGGCGCCGCGTCGTATGCTGTATATAAGAGTCGTTCGTTTATCGAATATAATATATTGGACATCGAATGTGGGTTGTTTGTTTTATGGGTGGTATCGGTAATCATATTTAGATGTAGTTTTTTAATATGTAATCGTCATAAAATTATGCGCATGATCATATTTTTGTTTGTTTTTCATTCGGGATGGCATCAAATTCGGTTTGCAGTTTGCAGTTTGGTTTTGATTTTTGTTTAATTTATCATATATTTTTAAGGGTTTTTTTTTTTCATTTTCCGATTGCGATTTATTTATTTCGTCACCCGTTTATTTGGTATTGATTTTTGTTTGTTTGATGGTTTTTGCATATTTTTGTAGTCGTTTCCAATGGATATTTTGAAAGTTGAGTATTTGTTTTTTCGTGGTGATCAAATTTTGAAATGTGTTCGTCGTTGTTCGTTGTTGTTGAAGTTGTTGTAGATGTTGTTGTTGTTGTTGAAGGTGTTTGTTGTTGAGATGAATGTTGAGTTGATAGATGATGATTTCCGTTTATCGTGGTGGTGTTTGTTGTAATGGTTTTTTTTTTGGTGATTTTGTTGATGGTGATTGGTGATTGTAATCAGATATTGTTGTTGAATATATTTACAAATAGAATGTAGATTCATACAATCAATCGATTGATTGATTGATTTTTTTTTTGGTTTTTTGTTGGTTGTGTGCAACATAAAATTGTAACGAATCCAAAAAGGTAAAAGGTAAAAAAGAAAAAAAGTATTAAAAATAGTTAGTGATTTTGTTATACTCAGTTTGCTGTCGTGGATTATCATAGATAGATTAGAATAATGTCATTGATAGGGCTATTTGATGTAACGATTAAATATATATGTAGCATAATATATAGAGCAACAATTAACGATATCTAAGCAATGCCTGGTATAATACCTGAAAAAAAACAGCCTTGGATCGACACCAGGGACTAATTGGAAATGGAATCTACGATACGAGTTTTGTACTCTTAAATTGTTCGCGTTTAATCAGGCATCTGTCTTTCCCCCAGTTTTAGGTTGGCCGACTCAGTATCGACCGGACAGTACATTCTTTTGAGAAATGAGTTGTACCTGGAAGAGATCTGGATTATCTTACATCTACGAGTAGTATGAGAAAACCCCCCAGCACATAGGCCTCACAGAACAACGGAAAGAGAACCTCATGACGTGATAGATTGGAAGCATGATTGAGTGGATGGAAGAATATTTACGGATTGGTTGGTGAGAGTATAAACATCGATGAGTATGGCAACATTGGTTTCGGTCCCTCCGTCACTTCCTCCTCCTCCTTTTTCTCCTCCTCCTTCTTTTTGCTTTTGCCTTTCGTTACGGCTACAGTGCCATCGCCGTTCTCCACGTGGACACCATCGCCCTGGAGGGCCTCCATTTCCTTTTCAAGTTCTTGCAGTTGTTTCTCTTTATCCTCTTCGACTTGTTCCTCTTCGGCTGCTGTTAACTCTTGTGCATTCGCCAAATTATCAACGGCGATAGCCAAGAAAACATTTAAGAGCGTGTAATTACCGAAGAGTACCAAAACGATAAAGTATCTGTTTGGAGTGGGGGGGGATAATATCAAGAACACAATGACAATTAACATAATATTATACTCAAGTGTTTCTTATGTTAGGTTCTATGAGAGGTGTATGTATATGTGTATGTATGAGCAGGCAATCAATCGAGTATTCCGAACAAGATCTTGGAGTGGGTAGTAGTGGGAGTGGATGGAACTAGGAGTACTACGTTTACTACTACAGTGTCACACAGAGTCAAGGCCAACACAAGTCGCGGAAAAGCTGCAAATAGATATGGCAATGGAGAAGAGAAGGTTAGGCATTAGCATTCGTTCAAACTTTCAATTAGCATTGATTTCTACACTTACGAATTTGGTGACCATTGCTATATGGGGTGGCGCAGGTTGGCTCTTGCTGATGGGAACGTGGAACTTGTGGGACTTGGGCTTGCAGAATTTCAATTAAATTCTTCAAGCTCCAAAGTCTCTCTTGGTTTGTTTTTTTGTTTCGTGCTCGATTGCACAGATTAATGGTTCGACGTTCAATGACTAGGACTCCACTTTAGATTTTGGGGAGTTACAGGACACACAAATACGAAATACGAATACGAAATACTAAGCTAGCGTACAAGTACGATCGATATACATTTAAAATGAGTCGGGGGAAATATGTTCTTGAATTAGCTAGGAGATCCCAGACGGGATATGGGAGTTGGGGGTTTATCTGATATTTAGTTAGCTCGATACAATATTCCAAAATATTGAATGCAAATAGCGTACACAATGCATATGATCAAGAGAGATAGAGAGACAGTGAGAGAGTGTACAAGATAAAACCGAGAAAACTTACATAGAGTAAATCATTCCTTTCTGTGCACCACCTTGCGATATGATGCCCTGGTACATGACTTCGTTCCAATCCTCGCCAGTGAGAATTTGGAATACGGTCAACAGGGCAATCGGGAATGTATTAAAATTGGTCTCGGGCGTGCCTCCGGGCAGATTGAACTGGCCGCCAAATAGCTGCATGCCAAGCAGTGCGAATATCAGTATGAACAAGAAGAGCAGGAACAGCAGCGAGATAATTGATCTCATTGAGTTCAGCAGTGAGATGACTAAATTGCGCAGCGATGACCAGTATTTGGTTACTTTGAAGATGCGCAGTAGTCGCAACGCACGCAGCACGGACAGACCGAACGAGCCGCCCTTGACCTCGGACCAGATCACCTCGAATATCGAACCACTAATGACAACACAATCAAAACGGTTGAACGACGACTCAAAGTAAATGCGGGGCCCCAGCGCGTACATCTTGATGAACATCTCCGACATGAAGAGACCGAGGAATATGAATTCCGCATAATCTGAAAATCACAATCAAACAACAACAACAACAAAAAAAACAAATTAATCGATCTACAGGGATCTGTATCTGATCTATACTTACACAGAAATTCTGTGAGGAACGAGGGCTGGCCATAGTGCTCGACGGCCACGCAGACTGTGTTCAGAAAGACGAGTACGATCACGAACCAGTAGAACCACTGCGTCTTCACCGTGTGACGGATCCAGAAGCGAAATCTCTTCTCCGCTCTCCAGAATCCCGTACAACTGCCTTGAGGTTTCGAGCGAGTTTTCAGATAACCTACGGGATGGAAAACGAACACACATTGTTAGTAAGATTCGTTAGATCGCGGCGGTGTGTGGTAACAGATGTATAATATCCACCTACAGCGCATAATCAGATACTACAGTGCGTTTCAGAACTAAAAGTTTATTAATCTCTCAGTTCTTATGGCTCTAAAACCCACTGGTTATCTCTTATATTGATTTACTCAAATACAATGTGATAGAGAGATGTACACTTAAAGACACAGTGGTTGTTGCCTTGGTTACTCTATAATTATTGGCACTGCATACATATAGACAGACAGATCTAATTGATATGATGTTCGAGATGTTACGTTACACAAGTGTGATGCATCCATAGGACTAGCACTAGACAGAGATTACTTTTGTGTGCCGCGGATTTACATACATATGTACATATGTATGTATTCATGCTCATCAGATCTCTGTTTGAATATAATTTTCTACTTAAAATGTATGTATGTTATCTTTTTTTATAATATAAATTGTCATTGATTATTTATATTCTTTTGGGGGTAAATGCTATCAATATATGAATGTAAACTTATTTTTTTCTGCCCTGTCTAAGCTGTTCGTTTTCGTAGGAATTGATGTCCGATTTTGTATTCCATTCAGACAGACAGATCTAATTGATATGATTTACTCGGGTTAAAATTTAATTGGATTTCCCATTCAAAGATTACTTGATTGAGTTCAAATTAAAAAAGAGTGGAGTTCTAATCTGCACAACTCTTTAAACGACGTTCGTATTGGAATACATCCCATAACAAATTTCATCAGAAATATATTTCGAAGACGATCCAGTTAGCATTTGAATAGATGATCTGGTTAGACATATTTTTTAATTCCAACTTATTCCAACTTGTCTTATGGTTGATTGATTTGTAAACCAGAACAAGCCCTTTACCCCTTAAGTCTAGTAAGATATAGCAGGGATTCTAATCGGTAAAATTCTTTAACCACTTCTTATAATATACCAATATATCCCACTGGATGGCGCTTAACAATATGCAGCACTATATGTAACATTATTTTACATACAAATCAGATTATACTTTTAGGTGATTTCTGTAACATTTCCCTAAGAATTGGTGCAATATATCCAAAGACCTAATTGGGATGCAATCTAAATCTAACCCGGTTGAATGTTTGCAGGCAGTACAACTAAATGAATGGTCTACTTTTTCTTTAGACAAAACACTCTTTTGTGATTTTAACATACAAGTACGAGTACGAGATACAGAGATGTTTTACGATTCAGATACGAGTTGTAATGATTTTTATTATATATTTGTTTTTTTTTTTTGTGTGTAGAGTATTAATTTTTGGATATTTTCTTCGCCGACTCGTGTGTGTGTGTGTGTGTGTTTGTGTGCAGTGAATAAATAAATTATAATTTACTTACACATTTCGAAACGATATTCAATGTAAGAGATTTACAAATTCGTTTTGTTGTTTGAGAATATTGTAAGGTTCAAATGAAGAAACGAAATATCGAAATTAATTGCATTTCGGTTTAAGTTTTTTTTTTTTTTGTTTGTTTGTTTGTTTTAAGCAAAGACAAAAATTGTATTATTTATAAGTATTTGTTTGTATTAAAGACATTCGAAGAACAAGAAAAACTAGGCAATCAAATGCAACTCAACGCAATTCAAAAAAATTGTAGCATTTTGTGTGTGGGTTTTTTTGGTGTATAGAATTTTCAATATAGTACAAAGGTCCATGCTTTGCCCTCTTCCCAACGAATGAAGGAAACTCTTCATAAATGATATTAGTTATGCCCTAACTTTGATAGACGACACCTAAGCTGTTTCTCCGGAACGTTTTTAGTTCATATCTTACATCCAAAAAATTGTGTGTCTTAAACTTATTTTTTAAATATCTTTCTTACCATCATCGCCATAGTCCTCCTCGGCTTCCTCCTCTTCAGTGTCTGTTGATTTCGATTTGCCCAAACTTTTCAGCTTTTTCCGCTTGGCTGCATTACGTCTTCGTGCTACAAATTCAACCCAAAAAGATCCATCATTAGTATCATTGTAAATTAATAAGAGTAGAGTTGGTATTATATATGGCAATCACCCTCCATTATGTGCATTTTCTCCTCCTCTGTTGTTCGCTCTTCGGCTAGTATCACCTCCTCTGAAATAATATCATTGGAATGTATCAATTGGTATTTGGAATCACATAAGGCAAATCGGTTTAATCAACAAAATTAGCACAAAAGGATTGTATATGTAGTATATACTCGTACTTTTACATTTACAATACATACATATATAGTATATGTGAGGGATATGTCTTTTGTATAGTGGGGGAGCATGATTGGTCTATATATATTTATAATTATATTTATACGATATTTCCATCTTTGTGTTGGGATATTTACTTTACACTTGGCAATGCATAGGAGCTTTTATCTGTTTCTGGTTCTATAAGGAGTAGGTACGCTAAGAATGTGCCACAGGTGCTGGCTATATATGTATTAATTATCTGAGTACAACTGGTAAATATATATATATATTTAGATTTATATAAAATGGTTGGTATAGACCAAACGAGATGATTACAATGAATGGTACCTCAAACTGTGGAGAGATATGATGATCTCAAATTGAATTAATTACAAAACTCTGTTGGGGATTTTTAGGGAATTAAAATCCTTATTGAAACGACCCTTTAAAAGGCATGCACAAACTTCTTTAACAATATTAATTAATTCTTAGGGATGATGAAAGAACCATTTGTGGTCTCGTATATTCTTTGTTCTTTGAGCAAGATCTAGACAAATGAGAGCTGTGCATGAATTCTTTTAGTTTGTAAAAGAAATTCTTGTTAAAATATTCATGAAAAATTATAAAACATTTCTCAGATATGTTTTCGGGCAAAGTATTTTGTGCATTTTGTTTTTGGTCTGTAATGTGTATTATTGTCTATTGTTGGATAGTATTTCTTCGAGTATTTGTGTTGTTTCGGATGTAGCATGAGGTGTGGTGTGGGATGTATTATGGGAGTATATAGTAGATAGATTTTACAAACAAGAAATAGGGGTTAAATACTATACCAGCTTTACAAATCCATTCAACATAGCCGTTTAACTCTCTTTCTAGTTGCTGCTGCCTTCTAAGTTTAAGAAACTCTTGTCTATTTTCTACTTTTTCTCGTTCTTTTGCGAATTCACTACAAAAAATAATCAAAATAGAATGTGATAAACCAAAAAATAGGATTTGATTCGATTTCGATTTGTTTGATCAGATGTAAGTACAAATGTAAGTAGTATGTATGCAGCATTAGCATTACAACAGCAAAATCACTTCACATCTTTGTACGAGAATAGTATTCCATAAATCAAATTAAAGAAGAATTCAAATTATAGTTCGTTCCAAATGGAAAATCCAAATAAAACCAAAAAATTCAGACAGAGACAGAAATAGAGATAGTGGAAATTATTTAGTGGCAACTAAAACGATAATAATAACACAGAGTTTGATATATGTATATATTTGTTGGCATCGGTTCTCGGAATGATGACTCCCCAGCGGGACGAGAGACCCTTGGAATAAGGTCAGAAGTCAAGGGAACAATGTTTAATGGTTATTACATACGTAGTATACACATACATATGTATGTATGTATATGTTTGTATGGGCAGTATGCAGAATGATTTATAGGGCAAAAGCCAGCGAGAAGTACTCGTCCTCGTACCCATCCATAATGGGCTGATGGCATCATCAGAAGTGTGGCTATGGGATGTGGGTTTTGATGAGTAGTTTTTTTTTTTTTTGTTTATTTGGGTGCACTTGCGTATGGTCAGTGGTGTAAATATATAGTATATAGCTGATTCCTTTTAAACACTAACATTTCACACCATACTCCACTGGCAGGGGGATCGGGAACTGGCATCTCTTTTGTATTCGCAAGTAATAGAACTTTTACTATAATATGTATGGCTAGATAGTTGTACTAGCTATTTAGTTTGGTTTCGGGGTAGGGTTAAACGTTGTCTCTATGTTAGTTTGTTTAAATTCAACTAAAGTTTGGTGTAAGTATAGCAAAATGCATAGAATACGTACTGTTCCGGGGTAGGGGGCAGAAACGGAACGATTAAGGTGGAGGCGTGGATTGTTTTTTAGGTGGGGGTGGGGGAGGGTGAACGAACAGCATTTCGCATAGTATTTTGTTTGATTAATCAATTGATTTTGGAGTAGTAGTAGTAATAGTAAGTAAGTATTAATTGTAGCAACTCTTTGTGGCCGTGGTTTATTATTGGATTATTATTTGGAATTTCTTGCGTTCTAAGTAGTTAGTATAGTTAGTATGGGAGTAGTAGTACGTACATAACTAGCAGTAAAATTCAAACAATTTCCTTATAACGAATATAGTATGTTGTTTGGAAGTACTTTTGGTTCGTTTTTTTTTTTTTTTAATTGAGTTTTGTTTTATAGATGGATGTCTGCTGAGATATTCATAGTACTAAAGGGGGTTTTCCTTGGGCTATCGAATATTGGGTATATTTTATATATACTATATAGTATAGCTCTGTTTCGATTTGCTTCATAGCTCTAAATATTCAATGGCTGGTTTACTTTTTGGTTGCATTCGAGGGTGGGTGTACTGGAACTGGAACTGGGGGGACTGGTGGCGCTTAGAACTATTGGTATAAACCTGCTTGTGTGATCCAGTCAAGGTACGAGACCATTGCTGTCTGAAACATGGCACGAAAACGGCATTTCTGAAACTCCATGCGACGCTCGACGCGGTTACGTTCGTTTGAAAACTCTCTGAATATTCGAGGAATACGTTTCATTTAATTACATTGATCATAAAGTCCCAAAAAAAAAAACAAAATACAAATTTAAATAGAAATTGGAATATTTGAAATTATAAAAAAAAAAAAATAATAAATACATACACATATGTACATATGTATAAAAGGGAGCAGTCTGAACATGACAACAACGCAACCCACACAAAAAAAAAAACATTTCGAATTAGTTGTAAAATTTTGCAATACTTTACATCGAATAGGTGGTATCTGATTCCGAAGCATCTATATATCACACACGAAACATATTTATAATCTGGAAGTATCGAATTTTGGAATTTCCCCCAAATACATTTTTTGTGGCATATTCAAACTCTCCCACCCAGAAAACAGAATCCAAATCAGTTCAAAAATAATATTCAATATAATATAGCAGTAGAAACAGTAAATTGTGTTGCGGTGTATAAAAGATCGGATAGATTGTTAGAGCATACGATCAGCGATAGAGAGAGAACCAACTTACCCACTCAAGACACCAAGAACTAAGTTGAGCATAAAAAATGAGCCTATAACTATAAGAGGCACGAAATATATCCAATTAAATGTTGAACCTAATGCGTCGTTGGTCTATGGATAAACAAAATTATAAATAAGTATTAAACGGTTATACGGATATATGTAATAGGGTATACCCAATAGAGTATTGACGTCCAGCCCTCCATTGTGATACATTGGAATACGGTCAACATGGCGAATCCAATATTATCGAAACTCGTAATGCCTGAATTTGGTCCATCCCATTTCTCCAGACACATGCTTGTGGTGTTGTTGCATACAAAGGAGCCGCCTGCCTTCTCTGTGCTGTTGTCCGTGTTGCAGGGTGTCTCTGATTCGCCCTCCTTCACTAGTTTATCTGTGCACATCACACAGAGAGAGAGAAGAGAAAGTGTTAGTTTCAATCGGTTCCATATGTTCAATTGAATTTTAGATATTGGTTTACTTGGATCTTCTAAGCTATAACAAGTCTTATGCAGTGCGCCCGAATAAAACTCGAGTCCAATGATTGCAAATATTACGATTGCAAACAACACCAAGAGACCGATTTGCAGTAAAGGTGCCATCGCCTTGATTATAGATTTTAAAACTACTTGTAAACCTATTTAGACGATTTATGTGTAGATCCACATCCAGTTTCAGTTTCCACGGCAGGTTGTGTGTCGATTGTAGAAAATTGTATGGAATGGAATGGGTTGGATTAGTAAAGATTTGCAATGCAGCAGACAGCTGTTGGTAGATGCACATTCATATTTACAATGGGCTCGATGGAGCCCCTACGACAATCTCTCTAGTACAGACAAAACTAATTGATGGCATGACCATCAAATAGTCACTACATTTACATTCTAAGCAGAGAGTACCCAATGATATTCTCATCAAAATAACGAAAGTAATTGAAAACAAAAAAAAATAGTAGAAGAGATTAATAATTTGAAACACGAGAAACTACTCACTAGGAATTCCAGACACTAATTTTAAGGGCCGTAGCACACGAATGGCTCTAAGTGTTCTTAGGTCTACCTCGGGCCCTATTTGTGGGTACAGTGTCATGAATCTGTTTGCAGACGTTAAGCGATCGAAACGAATAGTTGAAATTAGTTGATTAGCGATACTCAATGAATATCCAAAAACAATTACAAATATGAATTAAAATCAACATATATGTATGTACGTATGTATGTATGTAAATCAAAATGATTCCATAAAAGGGTGCATCTTAAATCGAACCTTAAATCGAAAGCAATCAAAATCAAATAGCAAAAAAAAAAACTAAAAAGGTTTATAATAATAATGTCAAATCCAAAACAAAGAAGATACATTAAACGATACATTTACGTTTAACGCGCGGCGGCTAGTTCATATATTTCGCACACACAATGGGAGACCCAAGCGAAAACTTTCAATAGTTTGTATCTGCTCTAACCTTGCGCTCATCCCCACTGGGGGGAGGGCACACATTCAACTGGAGAGCAAATCCAAGCTACTTTTAGTATACATATGTATAGAAAAATGTTCCATTAGGAAAATGTCTAGGATATATAGTTGAAAAGAATTAAGATTCCATTAGGGAGAAAATGCAAAATAAAATCAATTACGTTTCAAAAAGGATTAATAAGTATATATATACATATATATGGATATCTTATAAAATCTTTTTAGGCATAAGAAATTCTACAATTTCTATTATTTTATAACTGTCTTTTGGTTAGATATATGTAGCATTTTTACTGGTAAATAATTAAGGTAATTAGCAATAAAATGTATATGCTATGAGCCAAACATAAACTTAAATCTAAGATATATCCTCCTTTGGAATGGGTTTATATGCACTATGCAGCAACGATCTATTGTCGCCACCTGCATCGTGTTGAATATCTTCTACTGTTGTTAATTCTATGACTACTACATTGATCCATGGTATACCTATAAAATGTAAGCCAACTATAATCTTAAATCTATAATATACACAAAATATATGTATGATCGTTTGGGTTTGGAACGATGCATTAACGATCTATAATCGCCGCTGCATCGTGTTTAAGAATAGTTAAACCTTTACAGTGATTGCTATAGCTATTAAATTTGTCCATGTTTCGGCATCCAAATCCAACGTTGACTTTATGGAATATTCACTTCTAAACTAATTATTAATTGATTATGAAATAATATTTAATGTTATGTTACGATATATAGCCGGTATAAAATACATAATGTTCAATTTTCATAGATAATCTATAATTTTTAGTACATATCGAACCCTTTTTTGAGATGATGTTTTAAAATTATTAATAGATTACCCATTAAAAAAATTAAAGCAAAAAGTGGTTCGATTTGTATGTATTATATGAAATGAAAATAGCTATATCCGATCTAGTTCCAATCCGAGTTATAGGAGGCATCCTATCGATGCAGTCTATGTCCATTTCCTTTCGTCTAGCTTATCGAATTTGAAATCCATTATAATATCTACTTGAACACTCACTAAGACGACACACCACCACACGTCGTAGCTATAGCTTATTCTATAATGCAATTTTGAATTTTCAATTATAATCTGTGATGTGGGGCTAGCTAGCCAAGATATGTGGTATCTATTTAGTAGAATTTTAAATGAATTATCATTGTCTGGCCTAAGGTCCTTCTCATAAATGGTACAACAACTAAACTAAATTTTGGTTGGCTCGAAGTCTTACTTGGAATTCGGGATACGAGCTTCAGCGGTCGTAAGACACGAAAAGACCTCAACATACGCAGGTCAACATCTATATTGGCCTCAGCAAATATCGTCATGGCTCTGTTTACGATCGCATCGGACGGGAAGTTATTATTAATATTAATCTGATTTGCTTATAAATATATGTAACTTATTTATGCAGAGATTTTCCCTCATTCGATATGTCATTTTTAACAGTTTCTTAAATCTATATAAAACAAAAGCAGTTACAAATAGATCTTTTCATGGCCATAATGATTCCTCCAAAAATTCAAATATTTTTCCTGCTTATGGCCATGATTTGTTTTCTGGTTTAGTTTGCTTAAAAACTAAAGTATACTATAAAAAATAAATTAAAATTTGTTTTGCGTGTATTTAAAAATACTTATTTTCCATTAAAACAAAAAAAAACGTTGGATTATGTGTTTTTGGGGTGCTTTTGATAAAGGTTAAACCCGTTCTGGTTAATTATTTACCCCGTCACTACAACGAAAAAATCCATGATGTTCCAAATATTCCTGAGATAGGAGTGTTTATGCAGAACAAGCCCTAGGGCGAGGATCTTGAGCGATGCTTCTACACAGAAAATGCATAAAAAATAGGCCTCCGTTTTTTCCTAATTTATTAGAGAGAGAGAGAGAGAGAGAGAGAGACAACAAACAGATGATTATTTGCGAGTGACAGAAGGATGGTGGTGGGGGGATAAAAATGGTGGGTCCTTAGTCTTACCAATTTTTGAGCCAATACTGTCTTGTCGCCACCCGGCAAGTGCTCCTCTAGCGCCAACACAACACAGTTGGCTATGATTGTCAATAACACAGCGTATTCAAAGGGCGGCCATTCAATGATGAATCGTGTGTACTTTCTAATTGGGTTATCCTCGGTTAGGATAAACAATGACGTCGGACCACCACCTGGTGGGTTTTCTTCTTTTTTCGGGCCACCCATTCTATCAGCTAAGCGATGGGCTCCCTTTCGACCCAAGTGCCCCCCGCCTAAGGAGTCCTGTTGATGCCCTGCTAGCACTGCTTCCTGAGCCGCTTCCAACCTGTACACATGGAATATTTTCAAAAATATGTCGATGATGATTGCCAAATAAAATAATAGACATAATTAAGATGCCCAGAAACTACACTAATTAGATGGTAAAAATAATTAATTTCAATTTGATTTATGCAGACAAGTTGATGTCAATTAAAACCATACTGGTTGAAAATCGACGTACGATGTTAATCACTCATATTTATTGTTGCACAATTAAAACAATAAACCAAAAAAAAACCAAAAGAATACATACTTATACTTAGAAAGAAGGACATACACATACCGTCACTATATCCAATTTCTGATACTTTTGTAACGACCGCTCGGCCATAATTATTTTACACAAGGTGAACCACAATACGCATTTGTCGGGAGTGACACGCCGTTCGCATGGCACGATAGCGGCAGCAACTGGACATTTAACTCGAGAGGCCAATTACGCGAGAAGCTCGGGAGCATTTGGGAGCATGGAGCACGGAGCAGCTGGCTGTGGCTGTGGCTGTGCCCCAACGATTATTATTTTTGGCAGAGGTGGCAACGTTGTTGTCGTTTTGGAAGGGTTATTTATCGTGGAGAAAGGAGTGAGTACAGGGTACAGGCGAACTGGGGCGACTTGGGTGACTTGGGTGACTTGGGTGACTTGCGACTTCCGTGTGTGAAACTATATACACTGGGTAATGCTGGGCACTCTGGATCCAGATCCACCACGCGGCGCAACACTCTCGCCCGGGCTCAGAGAATCTCAGCCCCACCAACTCTCGCGCACTCTGGCACTCCTCCTCCTACTTTCCAGCTCCTCCTGGTGGCGCTTCTTCTTTTGGTTTATCTTTTTTATTGTTTTTTTTTGTTGTTCTCTTTTTTTGGTGTTATTTTATTTTATAGCTGACGATGTGATGTTTTGTTGATGTTTATGTTTAGTTTATGCTTATGTTTTTCGATTTTTTTTCGGATTTATTTATTGGTGTATTTTTTAACTGCCTTTTTGTGGTCCGTTCTGTTTTGCAGTTGGCTTGTATTATTGTATTATATATTTTTGCACTGGAAGTCGCGATGTGCAATTAGATTGCATTTAAAATTGATGAATTAATTTGCCTTGGGATCGCCTGACTAGTTCACTAGTCATTGCACGCCCCCACACACAACCACTTGGCCCCCATCACTTATGCAGATTGGCATTCGGTTCAGTTGCCCCACTCGCCCCACCCCCACATTATTTATGCACTGCGTATTTCAGGATATCCATTCGTACACACACACACACACACGCAAAAACACACACGTACACGTATATCCGACCCGTATGACCCGTGGTAAAATTAGACGGAATGCCGTGCCATGCTGATTCCCGGACTCCGGTTGCACTTGAGTGGGTGGGTGGCAGGTGTGTGCGGCAGGATTGTGTGGGCTAATGAGTGCAGGAGCAGCAGCAGCAGCAGCAGCAGCAGCAGCAGGAGCCGTAGCCCGGAGGAGCAGATTCTTGTTTTTGCCACACGATAATTATGATGCTCACACCGGGTCAATTCAGTTCATGACCTATAGAGACAACACACACACAGAGACACACACAATCAGTGGCTGGCTCTCACTCACTCACTCACTCACTCGCATGTGTGTACACGTGTACCAGTACCAGTACCCCGTACCCCGTACCCCGTACCCGTGTCGTGTAGCCGTACGTGTGGACACGGCTGTTTTTATGATACTGCTCGAGTGCTGCACTCGAAAAATAAAGAGGAAGGAAGGATGCATACAAAATGCATTGGCTTTTCGTTTTCGTTTTCATTTTCAATTTCATTGCTTTTTTTACCCCACACAAAAAGTGTGCTAAATGTACATAAGTATATGTACGGATAGATGGCTGCTGGTTTGATGGTTTGTCGGTTTGTTTGTTGGATGGTTGGATGGATGGTAAATATGTATATGTATGTACATATGTTGTTTCGGTTTCATTTCGTTTATTGGTATAACATTCCATTACTGGAACACGCCATGAATGAAAAATTTAGGGGATGAAACCCGCCGTGTGCCAAGAGAAGAGCATAAAACCAAAAGAGAAACACCACACACCGAAATGGGAAGAGCAATAGCAGCCGAGAAAAGCATAGCATAGAACCCACCAACCCACCCAACAAAAAAAAAAAAGCTCAAAAAACATACACACTCTGGGAGCGGAGCGGAGGGCGGAGAGCGGAGAGGTGTTGTACCGCCGTTTCGTGGTGAATATTGAAACGATGAGAGAATCATCACACTGGAAAGGATGAAAGACGAGTCCTCTTGTCCGTGTGCCTGCCTCTTCTCGCTCTGCTCTCCGCCTTTAATCATCAGGGGAAGCAGCAGCACGAGCCATCCATCCCATTCGAATTGCTGTTTACTTTTTCCCTTCCACTGGTATTCTCGAGAAATGTTTATGTTCCATAGAAATTCTAGGGGGGAGATCGTTCATGGGAATTGTTTACAGTTCTTGTTGCCCCACTGCACTAATTAAGCTTCCTTTCCTCTAGTCCTCCTCTATTCTGTGTGGGTTCTCGTTCTTCTGATAACGATGCTATTTTTGCACACACACTTTCTTTCTCTCTCTCTCTCTGTCTCTCTCTTTCTCCATCCCACGCACACAAATGCACTCTTGAACCGGCTGTAAGCCAACACTCACTCACTCGCACCAACCCACTCTTTGTGGGTTTATATCGAAGCATTCCCTGGTTTATATCGAAGCAGTCCCTGTGCCTGGGTCTGGGTTACATATATCGATGACGACGACGACGACGTTCGTACCAACCAAATTATGTTTACACTTGACATTTTCCCCTGTAGGTACTGTAAATTAATTCAAGTGTAAGCCCAAAACCCTTCTCAGCCTCGCATTATATCGCCTTTAATGAAAGGCAAGAGTATTATGGCGTGGGTGGGTGTGGGTGTGGAGTGGAGTGGAGTGGGTGGTCGGCTATATTTGCTTCTTTCTTTATGTGTAATGACGTCATTGCGGGCAATGTTGTCGGACTTTTTTGTTTTTGGTTGTTTTTCTTTTCCTTTCTATTTCTTTTTTGTGAATGTTTCTCTGGAACGGGATTATACACACACACACACGGTCACATACACACACACATGTAAATATAGTTGCGGTTTGCGGCCACTAGAGGGCGACAGACGGACCAACGAACTTCTAATTGCCAAAAATAAACAGCAACAATGACACACTTGTTCTCCCATTCTCTCGCTCTCTGCCGTCGTATCTCTGTCTCTGTTTTGCATTCATGCGCGCACCCCCTCTGCGCTCAGCCTACCACCGACCCACCCCCCCTCCAACATTCCATTTTGACGCATTAACAAAATTGTTATAAAAGTTTGCCTACTTTCTGGGGCCTGTTCTACTTTCTGCTTTCTTTCCTGTCCGGTTTTAATTGAACCACTACACAACACAACACAACACAACACACACACACACACACGCACTTAAGACACCGTCACAGTCTATGGGAATTTTGGAAATTGAATTTTATTTGGGTAAAACAAAACTAGTCGCCGTATTACACAAAGCCACCACATGGTCTAATATCATATTAACACACACTGAAGGTGTCACGGCACACGCGGGGGACATTCAGCAAATGTTTGTTCATCTGTCACACACCCACACACACATGTACACATAGTAAAAAAATAGAACACAAAAAAAAATTGTCCATAAGCACACGCGCTATAAAATTTTTGTTCACTTCCGTGGAGAAGGGCATATGCCCATTCGTCGTCCTCGTCGGCGACCACCCCATTTTTCTGCCCCTTATTCACGTATTTGCGTGCGTACAAAATTTATATTTTTAAATGGGGTGAAGAAAAAAAAAACGAAGCGAAGCGAAGGAAAGGCTGAAGCATGAGTGGGGTGGGATGGGGGGACACGGTACACATCGCATTGCATGCTGTGGTGTATGTGATTTTGTGTGTGAATGCCTGCCTGCCGAGGTAGCCCGAGAGCCATTCATTCACCTTCCAAACGGTATACACGCGTGTATACGTCACACACAGCACCGATGCCACCGTTAGACCGCTGTCGCCCTGTAACCGAAACCGAAAAAGAAATACACTACCACACACACACACCAGCACTACCACACCGCCCCGTAAGCCCACCAACGCAACATTCCACCCGTTGTGCTGCTACTGCCTCCACCACCACCGCCACCGACCGACCCGACCCGCTGACCCAATCCCAACACACGCGCACACATGCAAAGCAATTGTGTCTGTGTGTGCGTGTATATTGTATATGTGGTGCGTTGTTCTTTGGGGCTTGTTAGCTGTAAAGAAACGGTTCAACAATTACAACTGTCACGGATGGGGAACGGGAACTACTAGCGACGACGAAGCGCGACAAAAACATGTGGAAGACGGCGTACAAAGCCCTGTAGATGTGGCACTCGCTCTCTCTCTCTCTCTGGACACTGCTGGACAGTGTCCCCACACACACACACAAACACACAAACACACAGTGCAGATGCAGGTGCAAATGCCGTCTGGACAAGAGGCCCCAGTCACTATAATTCCCAGCCCAGTCCCGGGGATAAACTCCCATCATGCGCCGATACCGAAACGAAACCGAATGCACAATACTCTTTATTAGTTATTCTTTTGATTTGAAACTGTTTTTTTTTTCTTTTCGTTTTAGCTTTATTTTCACCACTCGACCCGAATTTCGGATGCCAGCGCACCAACACACAAACACTCGCACACACACACACAAAAACACACACACACACATAGCCACACAACTCTTGAGATGTGGTGTTTTTTTTCTACAAAATATTTTTTTTTTCCAGTCAGAGCCTGCGGGGCCTGGGTTTCAAAAACTGCAATTAATTCGTTACACACACAATAGAGAACACTGGGGGTGGGGTGTAGGGATTGGATTTTTCTTGATCCAGATTATGGGAAAAGTCGCAGGTTGAAAAATAAAAAACAAAAACCGCTTTGTGCGAGAGCTACAACCGACATTGTCTCACCAGTTGGACGAAAAACTCAACAAACGCAAGACTTCAACTCGGCGACTTTGTATTACAGACTACAACTACAACACTGACACACGAAGAGAGACATGGACACGGAGAAGGCGACACAGAGACCCGAAACGGGTAACGGGAACGGAGCGGGGGCACACACACGTACACCAGGGCACATGGCCAGCAGTAGCGGTAACCATCGGAATCAGCCGCAGAAGAGCCAGGCCAGCGCCAGTCCCAGTATCAGCCCTGCGCTCTGGATCGAAAAACAAAAGCTCAAGCTCTTCTTAAAGGGCCTGACACCAGAGCTGCATTGGCGCATGAGAGTACACCACTCGCTCATAAGATATTCGGTAGCTTAGGCTGGGTTGCTTGTGGGAGTAACAGAGACGACCATACACACACACCGCAGCAGAGACACAGACACAGAGCGCAGAAACGTGCTCTGGCCGCAAGGAAGCCGTTGTTTTTCGCTGTCAAGAGCCGGGGGCGAAGCTTTTGAAGCTTTGCCCACACTCTCTCTCTCTTCCGCCCACCCACACACACACACGCACACTCTTCGGGAAGACATAGAAATTACAATCGAAATTATAGTTTGTTTGTTTTGGCAGGCAAACATTTAGATAATAGATATCCAATTTGTATAGCCATATGTTTGCCACATTTAATATTTATATTGAATCCCTGTTTGTAGTAATTAGGGAAAGAAATAATCGGTCATCGAGTGTCTGGCTATCTGCGCAGAAGCACTCAAGGATATGCTCGGAGACAACCCTGGTGTTCGCGCACACAATTAACGGGAATTTGAAAAATGCATACCTGCGATTAGAACTTACGATAAAAGTGCTCGACATTAAAGTGGGGGGTTATACATTTATTTATAAAAAACCAGCTCGGAAAAGCTGGAACAAGCAGCAGAAAAAAGCAGCTTCGATGCACTCTCTTACGCTCTCCCTTTATTTTCCATAAACGTGGGAAATGTCATAATACTAGCCTACCCAACAGGGCTTGAAAAATAAGAACCATGAAAGTATTGGCTAGGAACCTCCTCCAACCTATAGTCAACATATAACATTGTTATATTCTACTTTAATTCTCAACAGAACCAGATTACGTCTTCCATCAAGTTTTTCAATTGGAAACCTCAATGACCATTTCCTATACATAAGTTGGATTTTTAGACGTTATTACCAGTGTCTAATTCCCTATTCCGATACTAATCTACAAACAGGATATTTCGTTCTGGAAATGAGAATCGTTTTAAACTTTTTAAGGCAATCCAGAGAAGCATATGAGCATTATAGGGCTATCCAATGCTCCCATCAAACACACACATTTGTACTAAAATAACTAAAGCCCATGTAGTACATGGGAAATTGGGGTTTACTCACATGATATCGCCTAGATTGGGTCGTGTCTGGACAAGGGCAAAGCTCTCCTGATCATTGCCAGGTCCTGGAACGGCTCGTCGCCGTTTATTGGAGGCCTGTGAGCCATAGTGTGCACTCCTCCGGATGACGCCATCTCCGATGATGGCTATGCTGTCATCTAGGCTATTGATGTGGCTGTTGGTCAAACGTGCCATCGGTGATGAGCCCCTTCTGCGACGAGCTCCCACACCGCCCAGCATCCTGTCAACGATGGAAACGGAATAGACCTGGTTAGTGGTCAGGGGTCAGTGCTCAATGGATGTGGCAGCCAGGAAGCACAGAACACAAAGGAATCTTAATAACTATATACTATGTAGAACTACACACACTTTGGGGCTTGTAATCATACATATATCATATTTGATGTTTAAAGCGCAATCAATTCAAATCACTAGAGATACGAGATACGAGATTCGAGATCTGCATCTGTTGCCGAGTTGCGAGACTCCTGGAACCGTGAGTAAGATGCACCAGCTGGCACCGTTCGGGCAGAACTGATAAAATGCCATTGGCAGGGACTCTGGCCGATGGCGCGTGGGCCGTGTGGATTCCCTGCTGTGTGCTCTGGTCCAGCAAAGGTAGATAAACGCCACAGCACACACACAAAAACACTGATGGCCGATGCCGATGCCGATGACGCTGACGCTGATAGTGGTTGATGACGTGCTTGATAGCGCCCAGCATGTGCGCACTACAAGTTACCGTTAGTAATTAGCAGCCGGCTAGGGCCCCACACACACACACACACACACCTTCACACAATAATACACAGGCGACTTACATTGTGTTTTAGCAGCGTACGGCGGCGCCAAAGATAAGGCGAACAGTAGTCGCACATCCCAAAAGCCTCAAAGTGAGCCGCTAACAGCATGTCCACATTTATTCACATTCTGTTTATAACAATGTTAGTTAATTATCATTCAATTATGGAGTGCTCACGTCTTACCCACTTCTGATAATTGTTTTATTCTACCGAACATATGTACATACATTCAGTAAATCCTTTTTATAATTTCGTTCAAATTTTTGCAGCTAAAATTTCTGCCCGCCCACACGGATCTTGAAATGTGTAAATATGCATAGCCTTATGCAATATTCATGCGTTTTAATATACTCTCCAACAGACTATAGGCACACACAATTATTTGCACACAATTGGTTGCAGATTTTGTTTGCAATTTTAATGATTATTGCACATTTTGGTGTTGTGATCAGACAAAATGGGGATATATGGCGGGATGGACCCGAATTTGTGCCGTGCCAGCGCTGCTTTTCGCGTGCATCGATATAAACGATTCGACGGCATATCGATATATTCTGCGCACTATTGTAAACCTATACTTTTTCAAATAGAAATACAATAATATGCACAAGCTACTACGCTTTTAAATATATATTTGAATTTGTTTGAATCTGGTATAAAATCAGTGATTTAATTAGTTGGCTTGGTTTTTTGCAACTATCGATAGCCACATTTCTGCAGCTGCTACGATACCCATCCCTCGTTTTTTCTTCATTAAGCTCTGTAGAAAAGGGCCAACAGCAGCCCCGTTGCAAGTGTGTAGTCACGTGATAATCACAAAATATGAGCATGCTGCTGCTGTCCCGTTTAAAAAGGCCTTCAGAGACTGAGGCGCATAAAAATGATAAATTATAAATTTGAAATATTTATAGCTAAAGTCAAGTACATGGCTTTCCATTTATATATTTTTGAATAATGCTTAGATCATTTATTTACAAAGAGTATTTTAGGGTGCAAGTACATTAAATATCAATTGATCTGGCCCTCATCATCGGCATAGTCGTCCCACATGTCATCGGCAAATGCATCGTCCTCGACGCCGAAAATACGCTCCAGATCCTGTTCGGTCTCGGCATGAATGGCATCGGAGGTGAGCAGATCCTGGTCCTCGGGGCAGGCCGTGCAGCGGCTCTCATTGATGCCATAATTAAGGCAATTGGCGCCCACGCACTCGCAGCAGCCGTCGTGGAACCAACGATAGCTATTGGCGCCCATGCTCTCGCACTGCTGCTTGCACTTGTTCGACCGAATGCAGGAGTTCACATAGATCACAGTGCAGTTGATGGTGGCCCCGGGCTTGGGTCGGTCACCCAGCACATTGTCGGTGCCCTCCAGGCGATGCTTGATGCCGGCACGCATGGGGAATCGCATGGTGGACCACTGGTCATCATCCTCGGCGGTGAGGGTGTCAAACAGCTCGGGCACACCATCCACATCGCCGATCTCCGAGCGCGGCGTCAGCGAGGGCAAGACATCCGTGTGCTTGGGGCACATGTCCAGGCAGCCGCAGCATTCGGTGTACAGCTCCCCCAGGCAGTTCAGACAATCCTTGCAGCAATGACAGTCGTTCAGCTTGCACTGACAGCTCTGCGTGAGCAGGCACTTGGACACCACCGAGCCGCAAACGACCTCGTTGCAGCCATCATCGTTGTTGGCGGCCACCAGCGACAAAAGCAGGAGGCCCGAATTAACCAGAGACAGCAGCAGCAGCATTCTTACACAACGAAGCCTGGAAGCGCAATGATGCGTCAGGCATCATTGCATATGACTTTATGTGTGGCACACAGGTGTCAGGAGAGTCGGTTACAGGTAGCCAGAGTGCCACCGCAATCCCACTAATCCCCAGGGTAGGTAGGTGGGCAATTTAAAACAAGTTAAGGCTCACAAATAGGGCCATAAAATAAATCCACAACAAATACAAATAATTAAGCGTTTACCCCTGATCAACGTTGAGGGCGCGGGTGCGGGCACGGGCACGGGCATAGGCACAGGCACAGGCAAAAGCAGGGCATCCTGCCACTGGCGGCTATCACAGCATTTATTTTCGAATTCGAACATTTTTCATCCTGCACACATGGGCGGGCGACTGTTAGATAATGAAGGCCGTGATCCAATCAATAAACTTTGCCACATCTGCATAGATAATATATTGATTGCTACAACAGTGCGTTGATCCAGCAGTGGCACCCAATTCCAAGGCGGGTGGCAGTGCCGCCGATACAGTGCCACGCAGCATCCAGCGATTGTTTTTGAGTATCAACAATCCAGCACCCGAAATGCCGGTGTAGAGGCTGCTGCTGCTGCTGCTGCTGCCGCTACTCTGTGACTCCTTCGACTCCAGCTGAATGCCCGCGCAGAAGGTGCGATTCGACGAGAGGCTGCGAAAATGTGAATTGGCCTTGAAGCACACACCATTCGCAACGATGGGCGCCTTTACCACCTTGGGTATGCTGGTATCGGTTGCCTTTTTGATGCCTTCTCCCAGATGCTGCTGGGACGACTGTTGCTGCTGCTGCAGCTGCTGCTGTGTCGCATTCGATCTGTCGAAGCTCCAGCCAATGACCATGCCGTGCTCTCCCACAATGTACTCCGATTTGCTGGAGCCCGACCACAGGCAGGCGGGACGTATGAACGTGTTGAACCTATGGCAGGCAATAGAGGGGGTCAGTATGCGGAAATCTGCGCCTCGGCTGCCTTCGTTTGCTCACCGCACTTCATCCTTGAGTAGGATGACAGCTATGTCCGCATCGTAGCTGCTCAACTGACTGTTAAAGTCCGGATGTATATAAATACCATCGACGGGGGCCGCCAGAGAGCCCTCCTCGTTCCAATTCTTGAGATTGTGGCGCCCCAAAAAGACCAGCACCTCGTTGGCCGTGTAACGCTTGTTGAACATCCGGAAGCAGTGGCCCGAACTGATGACCACGCGGGTCGAGACAAGCGTGCCGCCACACTGGAAATCCAACGATGTGAGATTGTTCACATAGATGGCCGCCAGCCAGGGCCATGAGCCGCGCGTTATCGATGGCAGGCTGCTGCCCACGGCGCTGCCATCCACAGTATCCTGCTCCTGCAGCTCTTCCTCCGACAGGTGCTCAAACTCATCATCGTCGGCGTCTTCGTTGTCGGCAAACACTGGCGATGTGATAACATCCGAACGCCTCGAGCTGAGTGGCAGCCGAAAGTCGAGAGTGCTGTCGATTTTGCCACAGATCTCCTTGGGCGAATGAAAGGGCTTTCTATACGGAAACGGGCATTAACGATAACGAATGAATGGCATTGAGGAGGCGCCTGCTTGAACCGACCACAATCCGTATGCATACTTCTTGAACTGGCTGTGCGGTGGCGGTGGCTGTGGCTGCGGCGCCGGCAGGGTCTCCTCTTCTTCCAACAGAAGCGAAGTCTTCTTGTCCGGTATAAAGGTTAGTTTTCTGGTATGCTCCAGCTGGATTTGGGTCATGAATATGCTGTGATCTGCAGCGAAAAAGGATTAGCTATGGTTATGGGTGAATGGTGGACCGTATACAGACCGCCAGATCCAAAGCAAATGACGTGATTGTTGGCCGAGATGAGCAGCAGCTTGGGTGGGAAATGATGCTTGGGAAAGCGTATCTTGTAGAGGACTGGCGCATTCTTAGTGAACTGTCCACGGGTCAGCAGTTCTATTTCGCCAAGATAGTTCTGCAACATGGATGGGATTATTATTATTATTATTTTATGCCCATGCCCATGCCCATGCCCCTTCTTACAGTTGTTGGCTTGCCCCGCATGGAGAGCGTGACGCGTAGCTGGAGTGGCTGCCTCACGTCTGGGTTTCGCACCGCGATCAGACCGAACCATTCATTGCCATCGAATCGATACTGAAAGATCTTTGGGCAGGGACTGATGGGCATGCCCTGGGCAATCACCTTGGACACGTGCTCGAAGCAGATCAGCAGTATTGTGGTGCAATGCAATTTCATTTCAATTTTCACGAGGCTTTTACTCACACACACACACACACACACACGCGGCACACACATGCAAACGGACTTTCGGTGCACATGCATGCGGTCATTACTTGGGAGTATGTATGTGGCCGTTTAGAAGACCTGTCCACAACAAAATGCAGTTTTCGAACGTTTCAAATGATCTTTTATCTCTCATGCAACATTTAAACATATCTTTGCATTGTTTTGGCTGTTCCAAAACGAAATTCGCGCCACAAGCTCATGGCGCACGACCAGGGTGGCAGGAAAAATGTTTTGAGCACTCATCGCAAGCTATCGATTGAGTGCAAGTGTTTGAGTGCGCTACAAGTTGCAAAACAATAAATGTGTATGTACTCTATGTACAATCAAATGGTGAAAACTATTAAATACAACGCACTAAACATTAAACCTCTTTTAGGAAATTCTAAGTTAAATGCCAACTATCGATAGAAACGCAACCTATCGGTTGCACTCAGATCGCTTTAGTGTTGGACAACGTTAAGAACTCAAATTTGATCACTTTTAGCAGTTAATTTTAATACGGAGAATTTAAGTTGAATAAACATTTGTTATTCAGCTGCTGCAACTTCTGCAGGCGCCTCAGGAGCTGGAGCTGGCTCGGGTGCGGCCTCCGGTGCTGCCTCTGGTGGCGCCTCTGCGGCCGGGGCCGGTGCTGCTTCTTCCGTGGGCGCCTGTGGGGCCGCTTCAGCCGCTGGTGGTGGTGGTGGTGCTTCCTCTGCCGGAGCAGGAGCTGGAGCACCTTCAGCTGGTGCTTCACCTTCAGGTGGTGCTGCCGCTTCAGCTGGTGCTGCTCCTTCCGCCGGTGCAGCAGCAGCCTCGCCCTCTGCTGGCGCAGCCTCTCCCTCGGCTGCTGGTGCAGCTGGAGCCGCCGTCTCGCCCTCGCCCTCGGCTGGAGCTGGGGCTTCGCCTGGTGGAGCTTCACCTTCAGCTTCGGCTGGTGGTGCTTCTGCCTGTGGTGGCGGTGCCGCTGCCTCCTCTTTCTCTGGAGGTGGTTCTGGGACATCATGCGACGCTCGAATATCTTCAGTCTTTTTGCCCTGCGTAGGCGAAAGGAACGTGAGAAAGAAACCGCAGTAGATAGTTTTTGTAGCTCCGAAAATACCTTCTTTTTCTTCTTCTTGTCGTCCTCTTCTTTCTCGGGCGCCTCCGCCTGTTGCTTGTAGTCCTCCGGGAAGAACTTGAGTGCCTCCTCCCGGCCGGCAATGACATTGGGACTGACATAGCTGGGTCCATACGCAACCAGCGAGAGCATCATATTCGACTGCACCTTGGAGACCTTCAGTACGATTTTGTCGCTCCTGGAAAAAACACACAAAAATTATAGACGAATAGCAGGGGATTCGACTCGAGAGGGGATGCTCACGGAGACTGTTCGCCGCTGTTATTGTAACGATCTGTGGAGCTGGCCAGCAGTGTGGTATCATCCGGATCGTCGGTGGTGAAGAAGCCATAGGACGGCACCTCCGACTTGTGGCGCTCGACAACATTCATAATCTCCCGCCGCTTGAAGGCATCAAAGGCCATGATGACGTGTGGCGGCTCCGGCTTGGGATCCGGCGGCAGGAAGCCGGTCGTTTGGCTTCGGAAGTACATGTAAACGAGGGCGGCATGCGTCCGCCTGTTGTTGGGCACCCAAATCGGTGGCATTTTCACCGTTCTGGTGCGAGTCCTTGGCTTGACAATCACCTCCTCGACCGCCTCCTCCTCCTCTTCGCCCAGATCGTCGAGATCCAAGTCCAAATCGATGCCAAGATTGGCCATTGACTGCCTGACATCCAGCTCGGGTATCGGCTCATCCTCCTCGCTGCCCTCCTCTTCGCCATCCAGCTCCCCGTTGTCGTCATCGGCTGCGGGTGCCTCCTCCTGCACATTGATGATGGACTTGATCTTTGGATGTTTGGCCTTCTTCGCCTCCTCCTCGGAGCTGATCTCCTCGACCCATTCTTCGCCCTCTGCGGAAAAAGAAAGTGTGGGGATTAGCTGTGCCGCCGCCACAGTCAGGGGATGTATGTTTACCTTCAAGCTCCACCTCGATCTTGATTTTCATGGGCGCTATAATGGGCGGAATGACATGCTCCTCATCGAATTCTTCATTGGGTGGCGCCACCCGCTCCTTGGTCAGCTCGTGGGCATAGGCTGTGAGGACATTGGGCACCGTGCCGACACCCTCATCGATCTTCCAGAAGCACATCAGCAGCTCCTTGCCATCCAGCTGCTCGATGACATCGGCCGGCAGCGGATTCTTGCACGCAAAATTCACAATATCAAATTGTTCGGCCGTCACCTGGATGACCTTTCGGTCCTTGCACTGCATCTTGAGTGGCTCGGCGGGCTCCTGCAGCTTCTTGAACATATCCCGGTTGACCTGCGGCCCAAACACGGTGACACCAATGTCCGGTATATTCTCGATAATGGCATCCGTCACATAGGTGAGATAATCCATTTGCTTCTTCTGCTTGGCCTCGCGCTCAATGCGCTCCACACGCTCCGTGGACTCGGTTTTGACGCGCAATTGCTCCACCTCGATGGGCTGCAGCTCATCGACCGCATACGAGATGGTCCGAGCCGCCTTTTGCATTGTCTTCTCCAGCTCCTTGTTGAGCAGGGCAATCAGCTTGGGCACATCCGTGCCGAACATAATGTTCACTGCCTTGCCACCCTGTGGCATGCCCATAACGATTGCGAAACTTATTTTATTTCTTTTTTTTGTTGTTTTTGGGGCCAACTTACCGTCACAAATAGCCAGGTGGGTTCGCTCTTCTTGTTGAAACGCTTCAGGGCTGTTATGGTATCCGATTTGCACTGTAGCCAGGGTAGTCATGATGATTAGTTTGGGGGCGCTACTTAAACGTAGAGACTACCTACAATGGCCAAGTGCAGATTGTCGCCACCACTTTCCAGTTTGATTTTACGCAGGCCGCCCACCATGCCCAGACAGGGGCCACACCACTCCGAATATACGTCCAGAACTGCGCACAAAGAGAGGGGGGGGGGGTTAGAGCCCACACAAGGCCATCTCACATATAGCTACCCAAAAGGCCGGGACGCTCCAGGAATTTCTCAAAGTCCTCATCATTCTGCAGATCCGCCTGCAGTTGTTGCACTCCGCCCTTCTTGGCCATGCTCTAGCCAAAAGTGTAGTTAAAAATGTTTCCAAAAAAAAGATTGGGCCTAAAAGTTGGGTGTACTGCAACAATATAGTAGCATAGTGCCCGAATATATAATTTGGAATTGAGTTTGTTTTGTGTGAATTTAAATTTTTGAGTTATTGATCAAACAAAACTGTTGCTCAGCAACAGCAACAGCAACAGCAACGGAGGTGGGGGGTAGGGTTGGGTTGGCTTGGGCTGTTGCCATTTTATAATCGTTCCAAATAAGGTTAGCCACACAGTTTTGTTTCGTTTAATTTTGTTTTGTTTTGGTCCATTAAAATTAAAACGCTTTTTACACACATATAACAAAAAAAAAACATTGTACACTCTGTTGTATAACATACATAAAATAGTTAAAATAATTTAAACAAACACACAAAAGAATACAATATAGGTTGCAGCTCTACAACAGTTGTTTCTATATATATATATATATATATATAGTATATATAGCTATGGTATGGTATGGTATGGTATGGTATAGTATGGGTTGTATACATGTACATACAAAAGCGATCAAGCCTTGACCTAATTCTTAAACATTTACTATATACAGTTATTAACACAAAAAACTAAAGGTTAGTCCTCAACGTCGATCCATTTCCATCCTCCGGGCTAGCTTATCTCACAGAGATGCCATTGATGGTGATCACATTGCTGGCCACTGGCTCGGGCTCGTATACCTCGTCATTGCTGCGCATCTCGTAGGGAGCATCATAGAACTGCTCATTTGGTATTTGATCGTAAATGTTCTCTGACAAAAAAAAAACCAAAAATAGATTCAGCATTTAAGTATTTGTTTTTTAAGCCAATTCACTTACCCGAGCGATTGTTGGTCAGTCTATCGCCATTTGCGGCTCCAGCCGCTCCGCCACCACCACCGCCTGAATTATTGCGCCCCACACCGCCTTGGAATGTGTTGAAGGTGGCCGCCGATGGATTGGTGTCCATGTGCATGCGATTGTTAGCCTCCAGCGTCGAGTACGACATGACGGCCGCGTTGCGTTCATCCTTCGTCTCGGCCGCCTGCACATTCTCCGTGTTCTTCACGGGTCGCGCCTTGTTGCGGTACAGAAAAATCAAACCAAAGACCACCAGCAAGGCCACAATGATGGTGGCGCCAATGCCCACGCCAGTGCCCAGCTCTGATGTCTCTGGCCCCTCGACGGCGGCCAGTTCACAGTGCGGCTGCTTGCCACTCCAGGCCCCGTCCTCGGTGCATTTGCGCAGATACTGTCCAATGCGATTGTAATTGGGAATGCAGTGATACTCGGCCGAGCCGCCATACAGCGTGGAATCGTTTACCACAATCACACGGCCGTTCTCGATGGCCAGCGGTCGTCCGCAGTCGACGGCTACAAAAGAGGCCAATCAAGTAAAAATTTGTATTCAATTTAGGCAGCAAAAGGTAGCGAAATAATGTTTGCAAATCGATATTACTCAAGGTATTTGCTCTGGCAATAATATCCCATGCAGATGGCATCAATAAAATGCAGAAAATATCATTAAAATTTGAGCAGAAGCTGCCGCGAAACTACTGCTAGATAATCCTTGCATTAAACCCCTTTTGGTTGATTCTCTAGATGAGTATATCATTAACTTCAATAATAATACTTACGCCTACAGGTGGGACTCTTGCCCGCCCATTTGCCATTCTTTTGACAGACGCGCGTATCATTGCCAATCATGGTGCGTCCCTTGAGGCACTTAAAGGTGGCCACAGAGCCCACCGCGCGAGTGCCTGCTTCGACAATTAGATTCTCGTTGATATTCGGTGTGTCACAGACAACCTCCACGCACTCGGGCGACTCGTGACTCCAGTTGCCATGCTCTGTGCACAGTCGCCGGGAGACGCCGTTCAGCTTGAAGTTCACATTGCATTCGTAGAGCACAGCAGCGCCATAGTAGGTGGCATTTGTGGCCAGGGTGACCTTGCCATTGGTTATGTTCTCGGGTGCACCGCATTCGACATCTAAAAGGGAGCATAAATAAAATTCGAATTTTTGCTATATTCAAGGCATTCCTTCTACTCACAGACACAGTCCGGAATGATGCCGCTCCACTGGCCGCTGTCCGTGCAGGTGGCCAAAGCCTCGCCCACCATTTTATAGCCACGCTCGCAGCGATATTTGGCCAGTGCGCCAATTCTGTGCAAAAGCAAACAAATTTATTTATTTTAATAAAATTTTAAAAATGTAAAAAGAATCCTTGAATTACTTGTAGGTCTGTGCGGTGTTCTGTGTGGAGTCTGCGGTGCGTATGAGTGTCCTTCCATACATGCGATCGTTTCCTGTGACGGACAGCAGGCTGTGAGTGGCCAATCGGGGCTCAGTGCAGCGTATTTCTAGGGATTCGATTATAGAAACATTTAAATTATACATTTTAATCAGAGAAAGTCAAAGTCAAGGTTTAATTTACCCTCGCATTTGGGTGAGACATCACTCCAGACGGCCGATTCCAGGCACTGACGCTTCACCACCCCGCTAAGCTTGTGCGACTGGGAGCAGCTGAAGACCACCTCGGAGCCCACATACGTTGTGTTGGTCACATACTTGTGACTGCCATACGGCACCGGCAGTATCTGTCCACAGTCAATGTCTGCAACAACAAAAACAGGAGGAAAGTTCACGTTTGCGTCAAAGATTTCCGCTGTGTTTTTGTGTGGACTCACATTCACAGTCGGGCGCATCGGAGCTCCACTCGCCGCTGTCCAGACACTCCAGCACTGGATTGCCGTGCATTATGTGACCGGGATCGCAGTTATATTGGATCTTTGAGTGAACATTGTAGTCGTAGCCAATGACAAAGGAACCAGCGGGCACCTGGGGCGTCTCGCAGGTGACCAGCTCACAGACGGGCGCCTCGCCGGACCACTTGCCATCCCGGGTGCAATAGAGCTCTGTGGGCCCGTCCAGCCAGTGGTCCTCGTCGCATTCGTACTTCACCACCGAATCGACAGTGGTGGTGCCGTTGAGGAGTATCGATATGCCCCGATCGGGTCGTGCGGGTGCGCCACAGTCAACAAAGCGACAGGAGGGCGTCTTGCTCGACCATTCACCGCCCAGACCGCATGAAATAATCTGCAAAAAAAACAAAAAAAAAATACCAATAATTTAATGCTGCATCCATCTGGCTTATACATATATGTATTTTCTGCTGCATGCACTTACTGCCTCGCCAACGAGCACATAGCCTGGCTCGCACGTATACGTGGCCGTGGAGCCGGCCCTCTTGTCGCTGAAGCGTACATTGCCGCCCGTGATGCGCTGCGGATCCGGACACCAGTCCACCAAGCACTCTGGCTGCTTGCCGCTCCAGCCATCCACCGCACAGGTGCGATTCTCGTTGCCAATCAGCGTGTAGTTCTCGTGGCAGCTGTATGTGGCCACCACACCGAAGCTGGTGCGCTCTTCGGACAGATGTATGGAGCCGAACTTAAGCTCCGGCAAACTGCCACAATCCACATCTGTCAAGGAGAAATTGAGTTGTTAGCAGCGTTGCATAAAAGTACAAAGATCCCACAGCCACATTCACACGTATCGCTTACATTTGCAGGTTGGCGCCAAACCACTCCAAGTGCCATCAAGTTGGCAGTCTCGTTCCGACTGGCCGAGCAGCGAATGACCCTTGGGGCAATCGTATTGAATTTTCTCGCCCAATGTGAACTTCTTGCCCATGACAGTGGTGTTCTGCTGGGCATCCGGCGAGCCGCACGATAATGGCGCTGCAAATAGCAAAGCGAGAGAGAACACCAAGTAAGGTTAAATATCACTCTCTCTCTCTGGGTTTGGACCTACTGTGCTGGCAGATAAAATGCAAATAATCCAGATTGCAGCCCACATCGTTCCACAGCCAATTGCGACCGCCATCCAGCACAACACAATTCTGTTCGCCATTGTAGTTGTTGGGCTGATCCTTGCCCCAGGTGGGCTTCAGCACAACTTCACCTGCAAGGTGCAAGATGAAAGATGAAACATGTAAATGGAATATATTTGTATTTATATTTTGTTTGGCTGCATACCGTTCACCCATTTCCAGGTGCGTGAGGTAATGCCCGGCTCCTTTTGTGCCCCAATCCAGACGAGTTGCGGCTTCAGTTCAGTCTTGCGGCGCTCCAGCTCCGACAGAATGTATGAGCTGGTGGCGCCCCGAAAGTCGTGTACCAAATCGCCGCCTGGCATACACAGAGGAAAGGCAATTAGTTGCACGTTCATTGTGGCTGCTGCTGCTGTTGCTGCTGCTACACCACTCACCTGTCTGCTGGCAAATGGTTTGTGCCTTATCGAAGCTTTCTCCTTTGGTGATATGAAAGTCGTAGCAGGTTTTCGAAAATGTCGTCACCACGGTGTCCACCCCGATCTTGGGACTGAGGCAGCGATCCACGGAGAATTCGTCATTGGTGAATGTCTCCACCTCGCAGAGACTGAGGCTGCCCTCGACACCCACCAGCTGAATGGCCACATATTGCCCCACCAGGGGACGGGCGCAGGTGAATGTCTTGACCACGCCCTCGTCGAGGGTGCCCGGGTACCAGGCGCACAGCGGATTGCGCTGCAGATCCGCACTGCTGTTGCCCACACGAATCTCCAGATCCTGCAACGGCTGGTGGCCACAGCAGCCGCGCGTTGTGATCCGCACCACATGCACCGCCTGCGGCGTGAGCAGATCAACGCGCCACCAGGGCGACGGCTCCTTCTGCGTCTCCGAGCATTCCTGGCCATCGGGATTCTAAAATTGGTAGCAAAAACACATTTAGTTTTGGCTAAGGAGCAAATGGGAAGGAAGGGCAAATGCTCACCTTATTCCCGGGCTTGCCATCATTGGCATAGCTGGCGGGACCGCTGCGGGTGTAGGAGCTCTGATTCACCGGCTTGCGGTATGCCACATTCACACCACAAAACGGCAGCTCACGGTCCCAGCCGCTCCGTGCATCGCACTTTATCGACGGCGATCCGAAGAGCTCGTATCCCGCATCGCATTCGTAGTGCGCCTCCGATATTCCGGTCTCGCCGGCAACAGTTCGCACTTTGGCATTCAGCGGCACCGCCGGGGGACCACAAACTGGAAGCACAAATACAAAAAAAAAAACACAAAAAAATCTTTAGATCGTTGCCACCATCGAGAAACCATCGAGAGCGCGGTTCCACGCCCATGCACATGCAAAGTCTAATTACGATCAACTCTACACATATGTATATGGCCAGAGTTATGTACAATTGCGGTCAATCTATTATAGTTTTCTTTGAGATATGCATACATATTTAATACAAATATTAATTTCATTGAGAATCCCAAAAAAAATAATTTAAAATATTGCCAAAAAATATGATGAATACTTGTGGTTAATATTTGAATAAATTGTACAGAAGGTTCTGGTTCAAGACCTCTTCTGAGCATTTTCTTTAAAAGAGTTCCTCCAAAAATACTGAGTATTCAATTTTAGTAACGAAAATTCATTTTTCAATTAAGAATTTGCTTTATCACTTTTTTGAGAAGTGCATAGAAGGGCGCTGATAAATGCTAAAAAAAATAAATACTAAGCGAAATTATGCAATATTTTTTTAGCAGTGGTAAGTAAATGAGTAAATTATTTTTGATTCATTTAATACTAAATATTTAATCTTAATACCAAAAATAATATTTTTATTTACATATTTTCGACAGAAAGCATCTATTTAAGTGTTTCTTTTTTGGAAGCGCATAATCGCTTATTTTATATATTTTGTAAATGTTGAAAATCTATTTTTAATTCTGTAGGTGCTCAAATAATTTGTGGCACTACTCTTGAATTGACCGCAGCTGTACAAGAAACCAAAATTCAATCAGTAAGTAGAGTAATATGAATTATTGAGCCATGTTTGGTTCTGTTATGAATAAATGTTTAGAAATAGATATATGAATCATGGGCTGGAATGATTTTCGTAAAATGTGGTCTGGCGAGAACTCGAGCCCCGAAACAAAAGTGAAGCTGCTGCTCCACCGTGACCTTGCAGCACGAAACCAGTATGGGAATGTAACGTATTGTAAAAATTGAAAGCAGAAGAACCCGAAATGCGGCAACACGAGAGGGAGAGCAAGGAAATGGGATACAACTTGGCAAAAGCAACAACAAAAAAAGCACAAATAAAAGTGAATAAAAAAAATATACAACTGCGGAAACTACGAGTACGAGTACCGAGTATGTTTATATTTCTTACTAAATTCAGGATAATTAAACAAGCCATAAAAATAGAATTAATAATAATTACATACAATGGCAGGGGTGGAGTGGAAATAATTCGGAATGAAGCCAAACATTCATTTAATATGTACTTGGAAGCAATTATGCAAATGTAAGCTGAGTCGAAATTTGTGTGCACCCCAGAGAATGCTAAGCGACGACGACTACTAGACTATCATATGACCCAAGTCATTGTGCTAAAATAAATGCATAAACTCGAGATTTGCGATTAAAGTCAGCAACAAGTGGTGCCGCGTACTTCACTCAGGTTTCTCTCGCTGTGCAAAAAACAAAAAAAAATAATAATTTAGAACACGTTGGCCAATTTGAGAAACCAGTTGAAATGTCAGATCAGTGCTTGGGTTTGGTAGTAGCTCTGGCTGACCAGCCAGACCTTACCTTACCTTACCTTACCTTATATAGTCGCCTGACGCCAAGACCTGGCTCCTGCGTAGGTGTTTTGTTTCTTCGATTTTTTTTTTCTCTCTCTTCTTTATCTTTCACCCTTTGAACCTCGAATTTCTCAGGCCCCCCAAATGAAATTCCCATTCTCTAAACGAACAATTTGAGTTTAGAATTTTTTTTAAGATTTTGTTGTTCGTTGTTTTATTTTAGCATTTTTCCCATCATAAATATGCAATGATGGGGGTCCGCCCGCCTGTCCCAATAGACAACTATGCAGATTTTGCACAATTTTCAAGAATAAAACTTTCTCACAATTGTACATTGTATCCATAAATATTTGTAAGCATAAGTACGTGTAGATAAATAAAAGAGAAAAAAATAAAGTCTACATTGTTAGCTGCTCAACTGCTGAAAATTTTCGACAAGAATAAAGAGCCAATTAGGTAGTAGAAAAAGAATAAATAAGCAAAATAGGCACAAGGGAAACGGTTAAAAACTCGCTCCCCACTCCCCACTACCCATGTGAAAACACGTTTAAGCTGGCAAGCAAAAGGGCAGGAAGTAATGCCATGCCATCTGTCTGTCTGTAAGGAGAGAGGAACAACCGCTATGCAAAGAGAGACAGGCAGACCGCGAGAGGAGGCACGCAAGACAATCTTCAATGGGAGCGAGAGACAGACATACAGACAGACTGAGAGACTGACAGAGAGTCTTCCAACAGAGGCAGAAGCTTAATGAGAGCAAAGAGACAGACAAACAAAACGAAAGGAGAGCGATGCAGCGACAGTCTTCAAGGAGAGTCACCAAAGAGCTAGGAAACAACCGAAAGATATGCATACATACATATGCAAAAACATATGTACGAGTACCGTAGTACTATTAAAAGGTAGAGCACAGCCAGGGCTCGGTGCTGTCATTGGTGGCCTCGTTTTTTGTTTTTTGTTTTTTGTTTTTGTGTCTTTGTATCTTTACGACTTTTGTGGCTTTTCTGGCTTTTGTCGTGTTTCCTTTTCTTTTGGCCTACGATACGATCCGCCAAAGCTGGTGAAGCCAACGCTCTCTGCGCGGGAATTTTTGCATATGTTCCTTGGGTCTGAGGCTGAAACCAGGCAGGGGTTTGGGTTTGGGTTTGGGTTTGGTCTTGGGCTTCAGTTTGGGCGATGTTTGCTGGCTGGCTGCAGCTGTTGGATGGTTGACGTCAGTTGTAAGTTTCCCTCTTTTTCCCTCTGCCAAACAACAGCAAAGAAAGCCCTGGGCTTGACTGATGCAAAGCCTTTTGAATACCCTTTGCAGATCGATCCTTACTATGTGTTTTAGTAGTCAGAGGATTGTTGCGAAACTTATGTTTCAAAAATATCAGATTTAAACTATTATTCTAATATTTGTTTTGGTTCAAAATTTATGGGGATTGTTCAGAAACATAAGAGTACTATTTGTGAAATCTGGTTGGATTATCTTAAAGCCTAACCAAGAAACAACATCATTATTAGGGCAGATTACCACTAACAATTATCATTTACAATTAAAATAATCATTATAATCATGATTATAATCATATTGTCATGAACAAAAAATATAAGGATTATCTTAAAGTATCATTAAAATAATGCACAATTTTCTTATGACTGATCGTTCCTTTGTTTCCTTGGCAATATATATGATTGTTTAATTTTTGCAAAATATTTCATTCAGAAAAAAAAACTTATTTTCTTAAGAAATCACTTCCGAGAATATAGTTCCTACAGCAGCCTGATAATATGCATATGTATGAAGATCTAATGATAATCTCAGGCACTATAAAAGATTTTCAAACATACATATATTCCGAGAGCTTATGCTACTTTAAGCTTAAAAAGATCCTGAATCAGATCCTCTAAACAAGACACTAAAAAAAATCATATATGGCTTCTTTTAAGGCTACCAAACAGTCTAATAAATTCAAGAATACCCCTTCAAGAGGGTATATGTAAATACATATGTACATATGTATGTATGTATGTATGTATGTTTAAGAAAAACTGCGCTAGCTGCGACGATGATGTTATTTATGCCCCCACCGACAGCCAAAAAGCTGTTATTGTTATGAGCCTCAAATCGCATTCATCCGGTTTTACCGGTGTTTATGATACACACTCATCTATCCCCACCCTCGAAAAGGAGCAAGGGGAGGGGGCGGCGTGTCGCTACAAGACGGCATCCCATAAAGCACAAAATTTGTATGCGAACTGATCGCAGAATGCAAAAATAATGGATGGGATTGGGTATTTGTAGGAGCTGTGTGTAGGTACAATATGGGTAAATAGGGCAGACCAGACCAGACCAGACCAGACAGACAGACGGGCAGGCGGGCAGGCGTGCGGGCGGGCGATAGGTACAGGTACAGGCAGGCGATTGAATTTGTGCGATAGAAAGGTGGCCTGGCCTGGCCTGGCCTGGCCGACTGGCCGACCGAGTGCCGTTATGACAACATCGGGCTGCCAATAGCAAATAACCAAACGGAGTGGAGGGATTTTTTGGATGTGCTGCACGTAGGAGGGCGCAATGCTCGAGGGCCGTAACATCCAGTGAAATGTTCAAGCACAATCACGTATCAGCCGCCCGGTCCGCGGCCCCCTCCAACAGCACACAAGCACCACACACCACAGACATGAACTTGTGAAACTTGTGAAGTAAGAATGTCACAAGCCGCAGAGCAAAAGCAGCAGCTACATAAAAGCAAACCAACCATAAGTGGCCTGGCCTGGCTTGGCTTGGCCTGGCCTGGGGCCCCCCAAGCCATTTGCGCTGCCCCAATGGATGGTTCGAACAGAAGTCTCACTCACAAAACACGCTGACCAAACGGGGGAAAACTTTCACTGCTCCACTGGAGGAGAGACCCACAGCTTGTTCTCTGTCCCCCGCTGCCCTCTCTCCACTCTCTCGCTCTCCGAGGTATGCGTCTCGTCTCGCAGTCTTTGAGTGTTTATGGTTTCAGAATAAACTTGTTTTCCAATATTGACTGCAGGGACAGAGAGAGAGAGAGGCAGAGCCCTTGCATTGGTAACTGTTTTTACGATTGGTATTTATGGAATGATTGCCCCCCAAAACTTCTTGAATATAAAGCTTGTATTTGTACTCTCTCAAGATATTTATAGCGCTTTCATTTATATATGCAGAGCTTGGACATTACTTATTTTCAACGATCATTGAGAATAATTATAGAAAACAAAATTTACAATAGATATTTGTAGGAATAAAACCTTTTTAGGTTTTGAAAAGAATTTATGTATTTTTAAATATTCCAAACTGAAGTCTTTAACTTTTAATCTGGTACAAATAAAATTTTAAATAAATAAAATAATTCAAAAATAAAAATAAACTATGATCATCTTCAAAGGTAATGAAATTAATTATAGAAAACAAAATTTACAATAGATATTTGTAGGAATAAAACCTTTTTAGGTTTTGAAAAGAATTTATGTATTTTTAATTATTCCAAATTGAAGTCTTTAACTTTTACTCTGGTACAAATAAAATTATAAATAAATAAAACAATAGAAAAATAAAAATAAATTGTGTGTAACACACTTATATTGTAAAAGAAAGGGGTGGCCTTTCTTTCATGTTCCTTAAATGCTCCAAATTAGCACGTAAAATATTCTATTGAAAACTGAAGCCAAGTCCTTATGCCCAAAAAGCTAGCATTTTTCCTACTGCTGCAACTGCTTTTAGTGCAACCAATTTCTGAGAATGTTCCGAGATTTATTGCTCGACGCTCGAGCAAAACTTGCAACAAAAAAAGAGAATGTCCGAGAAAAACAAAATATATGCAATAAATAAATTAACAAAAATGTTTATTTATTTATTTATTACATATTTGATTTATAATTAAAATTCACACCCTCGAAACACTCAAATCAAGTCAATTCAAAGGAAAAAACACACACCTGTTGATTGTTCCTAAAACACACACAAAATATATAATTCCAATGAAATTCGAAGCATCTCATATTTATAGCAAAGTGTCCCTGCGTCCGCCATTCCCGTTTTGAACGGAAACATTTACCCCCAAGAAAAAGCAACATCTGACAAGCAGATTCTCAGATTCTCTGACGCTTCTGTGATCGGATCTGATCTGGTCTGGTCTGACCCCATTTCTTTGACCACTTGCTAATTGGTAAATTGAGTGCATGAATGAGAAGAATGATGAAGGAGGAGGAGGAGTATGGAGGATCGTGCTTGGTGATGGATTAAGGTCAATACTACTGTGAATACTTTTGTGAATATTTAACTGTGTGTGGATTGTGGATAGTGGATTGTAGATGAGCGAACTTACTTTGGCAATTTCCGGCTGTGCATAGCATCATCAGCATAAGTAGCAGCAACATAATGGGGGACATTGGATACGATGAAAAAGTCATGGCTCTTTTGAAAGCGTCCAGCTCGAGGCGGCGACCCAACGACAACGATGGCGATGACGCTGACGATCTGAATAGCAGCAGCAGCAGCAGCTGTGGTGGTGTTGCTTCTGGTAGTACTATGTTGCAGCCAAACATTGACTGCTGTTGGCGGTTTTTAAATGTTACTGCGACCGATGCGGTTTTTTTTACTACTATTGGCTGGAGTTACGGCTAGTAGTATCTGTTTGTACGGCTGATACTTGGATGCTTCGATGCTTGGCGGCTTGGCGGCTGTTGGTTGCCCCGTTGGTCGTTGGTTGATTAGCTTGGCTGCTGTAGCATCGTCAGCGATTAATTTATGCATACACTCGGCTATTATTTATATATGTATATATTTAAACAGATACGTATCTGTATCTCTCACACTCTATCTATGCATATATACATATGTATGTATGTATGTATATTGTATGAGGTGTAATGCATGGAACACCATATACCATGTGAACATATAGCGTGAGTGAGGCCCGTGGGGCAGCGACTTCAGCGTTCATTAGATTTTCACTTTGCATTCACATTGAATTTTCCACTGCACACATAATTAAGGTGAGTACTCCGTACGTTGATTATGCTGCTGATGATGATGATGATAATGTATATTACTGCACAATACATTTTGTGATAATCGTGAAAAATCATAAAAATCACAGGTGTGGGTCATTGACTCCACCTACCATACCCCACCTCCCTCCCACCCTACCGACTATGGCAGCGGAATCACAAGCTTTCCTTTGCAGCTCTTTTTGATTGCCCTCGCTACGCGAATCGATTCCAACGTTCAATTCAGTCGATTGGAAAAGTAAAAGTAAACTTTAAATGGCTTCCCTTTTACGGCTTGGAATATTCAAAAGAATATGCAAGCAAAAAGACAGCCAACAGACACAATAGCCAACAGACTGCTGCCCTGAGGGGTGTATAACTTTCAAGGTTGAGTCAAAACAAAAAAAAAGGAAAAAAAGAAATAAATATACAGATCACTGGCTGGCTAACTAACAGAAGCCACTTTGATTTTGTTGTTGTTGTTGTTGTGGATGGTGGGGGTTTGTTTTCACTACGCCCGGAGGATCCATTGGCTATCATAAACAACTTTCATTAGAGCGTGTATCGCACACTAATTATCAAAATTGGCTGCTGGCTGTTGGCTACTGGCTGCAAGAGTTAGGAAAGTTTCAGCTTCAGTTTCAGCTTTAGATTTTAGCTCTAATTTTGTCAGATATCCGTAGGTGCTAATTGGAACCATATGAGAAAGTACAAACACACACACAGACACAGACAGACACAGGCACAAGAGAGTCTTCGTCACGAAAGACTTGTATAATCCGAATTGTTCCCGATTTATTTTTTTTTTATTTTAATTTATGGCCAGAATATTTGCATATTTCGTTGGGGAGTTTCAGGCCATAATCACACTTCACTTCCACACAGCAAAAACAAAAACAGAAATCCCATTTGGAGTGCACCTTAGCTCCACACTCAAAAAAATAAAACACATAGAAAACATAAGAAGAAAAAAAAAAAAAAAAAAAAAAAAATGAATGGCTACCTATGAACGTGAACTTATTACACGTTTATGTGGCTCGGCCTGCATGTGCATGTGTGTCGGTCGCGCGGAGCTTGTACCACATAGATATTGGTTATTATTAACGGAGTTAACACTACTGGCTGCTTGCCTGCCTGCCTGCCTGCCTGCCTACCGACTGCTGCCTGCCAAGAGTGCGCTGAAAGGCGAATAAAACCGACGCGAGCGCAAACCGTACGCCTGACACGTCTGCTTGGAATGAAAGTTGACTTATAACTGGTTTCCATCTGGCGCCTGGCTCGCAGAAGTTTTGGCCCCAAACGCAGACTGCGAGTGCGAGTACTGCGCGTGTGCAACAGCGATCCCGATGCCGACTCTGACGAGCCGAAGCCCCAGCCCGAACCCGACTCGGCCACCGTCACCATAAGGTTGATTGGTTGGTCGGTCGGCTGGTCGGCTGGTCGGTTGCCTGGTTGATCGCTTCGGTGGTCGGTTTTTTTAGCCGCTCGCTCGGTTTTGCAGCACGCTGGTCGCTGCTGGGCTACGTTTGTCATTGTGTGGCATTGTTGCCGACGCGAAATACAAGCTGCGCAATCGCACAGCTTTACACAATGGCCGCGAGGTGGGATCCGTGGGTACCGCCAAGCTAACCCCAAGACTCCCACAAGGTTACAACTTTTTTTTTTTTTTTTTGGCACTGCCCCTCAAACGGGGAATGAATATTTTTTTGTTTTATTTTATTTTTATTTTTGTTTCTATTTATTTGGTTATTCAACTCAACGACTATGTGCATTTGTAACAAGATTTGCTTTGGTTTTAAATATTTTCATTTAAGCAATTACAACACTCATTTTACACATTAAAAAAAAAAAACAAAAAAAAAACATTTTATTATTAAAAAAAAAGTATGAAGATTTTCTTTAAAAAAATACAAATCTTTCTAATTTATCAAGATGTTTCTTAAAAAGTAATTTTTAAAAGAATTTTTATGTAGATTTGTTTTTGTTTTTTTTGGTTTTCTTGTGGTTTTGTTCTTGGGAGTGCAAAGTGACATTAGTTTATTTTTTGGCCAGAATTAAACTAATTATTTTAATAAAAAAGATTTAGTGCAATTTTTTAAAACTATTTTTTAACAAGCCTTTCTTTATAAGTACAACTTTGTTGCTTTATTTTTTGTTTTATATGTTAATTTTACTATTAAAAATAAATATATTTGTGGGCTTTATATATTTTGCATAAGCTTTACACATATTGAAACATTCATATTCATATGTATGTGTATGTGTGTGTTTCTTAAGACTAATTTTTGTTTAATTTTTAACAAAAACAAACGTACTTCCATTTCTGTTCTTCTGTTTTTACATCATTCATTTTGTATGGTTTAAATTTGAGCGTGTTTTGAGCATTATTTATTGTGGAGTTTTAGGCAACACGTTTTTAGTTTTTTATGACCATGTCAATTGGTTTATTGAATCAACATTTTTAATACATCCATAAATACAAGGCATAGGAGTGCTCAATTAATCTTGGAAACAGAAAATGTTCCGAGTATTTTTTTTTTGTATTTTTTATTTTTTTATTTTTGCATAACTCTTTGATGAAACCTCGCGGTGCAACTGTTGACGTAAAATGGCTTGGTTTTTTTTTATATATGTATATATTTTGTGTTGTTTCTTTCTTTCATTTTGTGTTGTTGGTGTTTTGGTTGTAATTTTGCTGGCTAGTTCGGTCACAACAGACAACAGACAACAGAGTACCCGACCCGAACCTGAGTACTACTACACAATTCAGCGATGGAAAATAAGACGACAAAAAACCCGTACTAAAACTGGAGTACAGTAAGAGCTCTGTGCTCTGTGTTCTGTTTTAATTCTATTAATTGGCAGCATGGCTGGCAGCAACCTAAGCCGTCAACTGTGGCAAATAGTGGCAGTCCAAGTACAGCTTGGCCTGAGACTTGAGACTTTCTGATTATGTTCCCATACTTGTCCTAATTCCAGTGACCAAGCGGCGGTCCAGCGGTCCAGCGATCAGAGACCAGCGGAGCAGCGGACCACTGACCACCGAACGCTTGGAGTGGACTCAGCGGCCTGATACCGCAATGGTTCGCCATTCGCAACGCCAGAGATTTCGGCAATGGTCGGGGTCGTCGTCATCTGCAGCAGCAGCAGTAGCAGCAGCATTACGAAAACCCCCATGAAGATCAGCCTCATCCCCGGTGGCTGTGGAGGGCTCAGGTGGCTCAGTCACCACCAACCGGAAGAGGGAAGCCAGATGAGCGTTTGATTATGCGACTCAAATGAAAGTTTTTCGCCATGTGGATGTGGGAAGCAGTCGGATTGGATCGTTTCGTATCGTATCGTATCGGATCAGATCAGCGACCTCATGAGAACCGTGGGTGGGTTTTTTTCCAAGATGGTAATGGTATCGAATAGCTTGGAGTCTCGCTTGTGGATTCTTTTCTGAATAAAACTACTCAGGCCTGGGCATTCATTAAGTATATTTTGCAATGAATACATACGTATGCACAAATGTATGTACATATGTATATGCGGGTAATCTGAAGTCGATTTGCCATTTCGCAAAAAAAAAAAAAAAAAAAAAAAAGAAAAGTGCATTCGTCCGTTGCCCAGTTTTGTCGTCGTCGTCGTCTTCTTCCCATGAAACTGTTGTCAGTTATGGGTATTTGAACTAACGTTTGTAATGCTTCAGTTGGCAAATATTATTTAACATTTTTACTAATGAAATAACTGAATTAACTGCTGAACAAAAAGCAATCCAATGGTCTTGCAACTCGAGGGCCAAAAGAAGAGAAGCGCAGGAAAAAAAAAAAAACAAAACAAAAATAAATAAAACAAAAGCAAAATAATATGAAAAGAGCTACTAAAAAATATATGTAGTATATAAAACAGCATTTTAGTTAAGCTGTCTTCGCCACTTGGGCAAGAGTCCGCTCAAGAAATAAACTAAAAAGCTTCAAAACAGATTTTTGCTTTGAACTACTTTTTTTTGCAGGTTTTTTTTAGCTTATATAAGCCAAAGATCATAGACAAATAAATAGAAAACTAACAGAAAAATAAATAAATATTATTATCGTGATATATCCAGTGACTCCTATTTGTTTTAAGTACTTATATTTATGGTACGTAAATAGCCGCTGCATGAGCGGGTAGTTCTATGTGTATTTTACAGGTACACTTACGTGTTCTATGTAGCATGTATTGTGGTGTAGATGTGCCATGGTACACTTCACTACGACTCCGTGCTATCTCTGCATGTTCCATGTAGTGTCGAATGTAGGAACGCGGCGGAACACTAACAAAAGAAAGATTAATTCAATAACGATAATTTTAGTAGCTATTGCAACGTGATGAAACATTTTTTATGGTAGAATCGATGAAATATTTGGTATTTAAAGCTATTATATTTGTACATGTGAGAGATACATATGAGGACACAGACAACCGGGAGATCTCGATCATTTGTGGCCGAGCGGCCGGTCAACTTCCGTCTGTTGTGGCGTCAACTAATCTTTCACTTTTCCTCAATCAAGTTTTTGTTGTTGTTCATAGCAAGATCGGTTAACGACATTAATACACATGCATAAATATATATACATATATACTATATGTAAATGCCAGTTTGAGGAAGTGGCCTCATGTTTGTTGTCTTATACAAATATATTTTCTAAACCCATATACATAATTACACACAGATGTGCATATGTAAATCTAAGAAAGATAAAGGTAAAGCTTTATTTCGCAATCCTTTGAAATTATTCAAAATAATAAAATATATTAATGAACACCCATGGAAAAGCCCCTGTCCAAATTTAATAGTGCCTATTAATTTTCGCTAAGATAAACCAAGCAGAATGAAACCTAGTAGTCCCTTTTCGAAATATTCCCGAACTAAAAACAAAAAAAAAATATAAACCAAGTAGGCCGAAACTTTAATGTTGTTTGCATAAGTCATTCAGCTATTAAACCAGAAATACAGCTAACCTTTTGAGCTATACTATATTTATTCGGAATGAATTGTTTTGTTTCTTTGAAAATGAAACCAACTGAAGACTTTTGGAAGGAATATCACGCGCTAGGTGAACTAAAACCAACAACACCATCAGCCCGTGTGATTATAGAGGAACATCAGAGAATCGATGGCGCTTTTATTGAGTTAATGAAATCGTTCAAGAAGAGCCGAAACAACCAGGAAGACCTTTATAAAATCATGGTACGCGTTAAGCGAGTTCGAGATGCATTTTACAAAAATAAAACTGACTGCACGGAGTTGGTGCAAGACGAGGGATTGACCCAGAATATAATGCTCATAAGCGCCTGCGTTGATGTCTCACTGGGGTACATCCATAAAATGCAGGACAAATACCAGAGCTTACAGATGAAGCACTACAATAGACGCAACCAAAAAAAAGTATGTACACAATATTCTAGTATTCGGCACAGACTAGCAGTTGTAAATTTCAGAGCACATACTCGGGTCGGCAAATGAAACCAGACATCTTCGTAAAATTTAACCCATATAACTGACAAGAGGAAGACGGAGTTACAAAAACCAATGTAAGCTAATCCCTCTTTCGCACAGCCTAAAAATCGTAAAAGATATATAAATTATAGGATACATACCAGATGATGTAAGCATACGTAAAATAATAATCCAATAAACCAAACAAGTAGCAGCATACAATGGAAAAGGAATCATTGCAACGCAGAAGTGACAAAACTCAAGGTAGCTTATCCCCCTCTCTTTCCCATAGATGAGCAGTCAACTGCAGGACACATACCAGAAGATAAACCACATACAAAAATAATATGCATACCAGTAATCGTACCAGACAATCAATGCAAACGCACAAAAACAGCAAACCAACAAGTAGTCGCAGTGCAGCCAACCATCGCCAAAGCCAAAGAACAAGAAGAACATTCTTCCATATACACAACAGTGCGCCGCGCCAGCCAGCATAAAGGAACCCCACTCGAACCTTTAATAAAAAATCGTTAAACTAATAAAAACAATTATAATAAACTCAAACTCGAACTACACTAAAGATCAGCTGTAAATCTTTAACAACAAGAAAGTACTTTTGCAATCAGGCAAGACCCCCCGCCAGCCAGCCAGCCAGCAAAACCCAATTTGGTACGTGCAGAGCTCCATATGTCAAATAGTAAGTAATACTCGTACTCGTACCTATCTTCCTGCCATCTGCCCCTCTTTCGGGGTTTTTTGTCACGGCATACCTCCGCACTCGTACTCGTATCAGTTTGTTTGTTTTGTCTTTCACAATTGCAACACAACATGTGCTTTTTTTTTTTTTTTTTTGTTGCCTTAAATGTCATTGAATTTGGTCAGATGCTTTCGTCAGTGAATTTGCACGCATTTTACATGCGAATCGAACATCAATTTTGTGCAAATAAAAGGTTTGTTAGGTATGTTAAGTAAGCAACTCTTAAATTAATCCAGTAAATAAATAAAATGAATTCCAGCAAATATTTTATAACTAAAATTCTATATATAATTTTAAGGACGCAAACTAATATTAATAGCTCATATTAATTTTTTGTTAGCATACTTTAAGCTGCGTAAGTATTTAATTCTACAGACACTTTTGATTAGCCATAAACTCTTAACGAATTGAAGTTCAATTCCACCCAAAAAAAAGTCCCCAAAATCACTGAATTACAAACGGCGCATGATCGCGCAAGATCATTCTTGTTTAATCAGAGCTCTCTCTCACACTCTCTATCTCCCTTCGCTCTTCGGCAAGTCGCGTTTACAGTGTGGGAGATTAACAGGAATTTCGAACAGGGAAAAGTGTTTCATTCCGAAGCTGGCCTCGGTCCCTCACTCCCTCACTTACTCTCTCTCTCACACTGCCTCTCTCGCAGTCATGGGCTCGTTTTGGCAGAGAAAATACCGTCTTGGCCACGTCCACGAATGCAGCAACAATAACAACAACAATAACAATGAAAACTATGCGCAGCAACTACTCACCGTCTCTCAGCCTTTCTGCTGCTGCGAAAGAGAGAGCTGCGTCTGTGAGCGGAGTCTGAGCGTGCTTTCGCGCGTGTGTGTGTGTGCACAGGTAAGCAAGTCCAAGGTGTCTTTCGGTGAGGTGAGGCAGGGCCTTCTATGAGCCTCTCTTAGAGCAGGCGGGCAGGAAAGACTTTCCGCATTGCCAAATTCCCAGAAATGGGTAAATTAAAATGAACCACGCGAAAAAAGACCAGGAATGCATTAATATCTATAAGATGAGACATTTCCAGATTCTAGCTCTATCCCAGTGGACTGTACTTGCGCAAAACAGTTAACAAAACTATGTTGAGATATTTAACCATCACATGCTATGGGATTCGCAAACATTCGCATTTTATTTGATCAATTTTAAATTTGAAATTAAATTTAGGAGAGAGAAAAAAGAACCTGTAAGAGCGTGAGTTGCCCTCACCTTAATGAATATATAGCTTGAATAAACGATTTTTAAATGGGGTGGAGGGAGGGGATTTCGTCTCGCTCTTTCTTTAAGCGCTCGATCGGATCGAGACGGTGTGCTGGTGAGAATTATTTTTAGTCTATTTTCGACATTTGGTGTGTACAGTTGATCAGCCGATCATTCAGTCGATTCATTATTATTTTTGTTTTTGTTTTTGTTTGTGTTCTCTTTCGGCTTCTGCTCTTTTTGGGCCTCTACTTTTTGGCCTACAAGAAAACGCGCACTGAGATTTCGTTTGTTGTGAATCGGGTACGAATTGCTCTTTAAAAGTTTTTATTTTTGGTTGTTGTTGTTGTTCTTGTTTTTTGTATTACATTTATCTATGTACAAGAAATGGAGTGATGTGTGCGTGTGTGTGTGTGATACAGTGATTGCTCTGAGAGTAGGAACCCTAACCCCTTCGTTTATAGTCGTAGGATTTTTTTTTCCAGTGCAACTATTCGATTTCTAATTCTGTGTGCACTTTTTTGTTTGTTTATTGTTTAAAAATATATTTACCTATAAAAAGAAACGTTTACTTTTGCTTGAAATTTGAGTGAATAAATATGGCTATAAAGTGACCAATAATAATAATAAATAGTAATGTGTAGTTGCAGTTACAAAAATAGTATGAAAAGTTGCAAAAATTAAAGAAAGAAACTTTAAAATTTTAAGCCCATAAATGTTTCCATTTTCCGAACCATCACTGTACCACAGAAACTTCTCCAAAAGCCAGCGACGACCTCTAAATAGATCAAAAAGCAAAGTTTGGCAATCACAGATATAATTTGAATTTACACACACAAATGGGGGTAGGGACAGTGTTGTGGTTGGGTGGAGGGGCCATAATCGTTCATATATCAGTCGGCCAGGCTGGTCGAGAAACGGAAGCATGTTCAGCGGCCCAGAACCGACTCTATAATTTTGAAATTCTTTCAGCTTGACAAACATCCAAAGTCCCACAGTCCCACCAGAGTCCCCCCGACAGTAGGCTCGGCCTGTTCTCCGTTCTCCGTTCTCTGGAATTTGTGAATTTGTAATTTTCTTCTCTCTCCGTCTCTCTCTCTCTCTCTGTTGGACGTGTTTTTGTTGTTGTTGTATTGGTTTAGATGCATGAACGTGCTGTGGCTAACACGTATAGGCTGCATGTGTGTGTGGCAGTGTGTGAGGCATCAACAAGTTTAGAAACGGGCTTTGGGCTTTGGGCTTTGGTGCAAGGGAAAAAAAGTTCACAGTTGAAGCGATTTCATGGACTAGGGCTCGGAATAACAATTAACCATGGACTCTCTCTCTCTCTCTCTCATTCTATCTTTTTGTCTGATCGCTGCAGGGAATGCAGCCAAGATATGGCTGCCCTAGTACATAGTACACCTTGCACTGCCACTGGCTGCGGAGTCGTCCCGAATCGCTTGAAGCATTCGCGCTGCAGATAAAACGGAAAAAGAAAAGGAAAAAATGAACGTCTAGAAGAGGTTATATGTACCCACCGTCCATTCAACCAGCCTAAGCTTAATACTAGCAATGCAATCGCAACAAGTCCGTCCAATAAGCACCTATGACAATCTGGGTGCCGCCACCCATGTGGCACCAACCAACAAGCAGCAGCAGCAGCAGCAACAGCAGCAGCAGCTCCACAGAGCTGGTGAAAGTCCCAGGCAGCCAGAGAGAGCCACCAACAGAGCTGTGAGTGACCAGCTGCTGTCCAACGGCATGTCACAGTCGCAGTCACAGTTCGAGCTGGAGCTGGAGCCCGAGGAGGAGCTGAATGGGAGCGGTACCAGCCACAGCATAGCTGCCGTTAAGGCGGCCCTCAACGATGCCAAATCGAAATTCTTCGGCATCAACAACTACGACGAATATGAGTCAGCCGGCCAGCCAACACAGATGCCAATGCCAGCAGTCAAAGCCCGTTCACAACAGCCGACCATTAAGCCGGAACCAAAGTACCAGAACGTCCCACAGCGCCACAAGCCACAAGCCGATGAGCTGCCGGCTGCGAGCATTGAGCCAGTGGCTGTGCCAGTGGCAGCCAGTAGTCCGGTGGATAGATCCCTGCGTTATGCCAACACCACCTACGAACAAATACCCCTGAGTGACGTGGATGCGCCGCAGCCGTCGCAGGTGAGTGTTAGTATTCCCCTTGTCAGTAGTGTCTCCCTCATGGATCTCTCTCGCTAATCTGCTTAATCTGTTAATCTCTCTGTGCAGGCCGTCTACATGAGTACTACGGTGCCGCAGAATATGAAAGGCATGAAGATCGCTGGACGACATACGCCGACCCGAAACAGTCTGAGACACAGCCGCATGATAGTTGTGAATCACAAGAACCACGACAGTATGTACCCCAACCGACATTCCATCGCCATCTCTGGCTTTAAGTACTTATATATTTCGTTTTTTGGCTATGCGTGGGCGTGCTGTCTCTCTCATCTGCAGGTCTACAGGCGGCATATTCCAAGCACATACGAAATCTGAATATCTCCCGGCAGCTTCTGATAATGCAACTGGCTGTGGGACTGATGATTGTTGGACTGGCCATTTGGATATTACTGCTGGCGCCCAACGCCTTCATACTGATCAATCCGTATTGCGGCGGCCTATCTGTGAGTGTAACCAAATGCAGCTGCAAACTTTGGCTTCTCTATTTGAGTGGTGTGGTGTTCCCCGTTTAGCTGTTGCTGGCCAGCATTGCGGGCCTGATACTACTGAGACGGGATCGCCGGACACAGGAGCATCGGGCGCCCAACAGTTGCTACAAAGTGCTGCTGGCCGAATCCTATGTGAGTTCGGCCTTGGCGTTGGTCTTTTGCTGCCTGGCGCTGGTCTGTGCGGCCATTGAGTTTGCTGAGCTGGCATCAGCTGTGGACGGTGCCTGCGGACCGGCCACCAGTTCGCTTTTAGCCTATCACAATTGCACCTGCCTGACGTCTGGCGACGATGCGCCGCCAGCTGATGCCAGCGATACACCCGAACGAGTAAGTACCACACTCCGTTGGCTAAGGAATTGGCGATTTTAATGGGTGTCCACCTTTGCAGCAGCAGCACCAGCAGCAGCAGCATCGAGGAATGCGGTGCATTTCGCAGTGAATGGAAGTATCTGCTGGCCTGCTCCATGGCCCTCAATGCCCTGGGCATTGTTGCAACATTCTTATACATAACGCTATTTATTTGTTGCCACCGCAACAGGAAACACTTTTACACGTCCGTCTAATGGAGTGGGGGCCAGGTTCCTTGAGTCCCGTTACTTGCATTACTTGAATTCTTTCTTTTAATTTAACAATAAATTATTTACGAAAACAAAACAAATCGTCACGTGCAACATAGGAGAAAGTCATTTCCATACACAGGGATTACACGAAAATGCGCGGCCTGCATGTTTGGTTTTTGGTTTTTGGTTTTTGAGGCCACTTCCCGCTTTCACTTTCTATACAGAACTTTCAATATCGGAACTTCCCTACTTTGGGTTGAGGGCGTAGAACGTGTCGTGCATTTTGTAATTCAATTAATGAAACTATTTAAGTCAGGTTTGGCTACGTCCTTGCCAGCCACATGCCGCGGTACTTTGATGCTCGAGACGCACAAGCAAAAGCCGTAAAAGAGAATTCTGCAATAAGAGAATTCCTGCAAAATTTCCAAATACCACAAGCATGTCGTGTGCATGATTAGGATGCATTATGTCACCTAATGTAGAATATTTTCAAGTCATCTTTTGAAAGCCATCCACAAATGTTATATCATAGCCAACAGAAAGGTTTACCCTATTTTTTGTTCAACATTTAGTGAACTTTTTCGCTACAAACTCCCGTGAAGTTAATTGTATGGCATGCATTTAGCTCAATTATCTGGTCATGAAAGCCAGACATTTCGATTGAAATGACTATGATAATAATACTTTTGCTTTTGCTCTGGCATTGGAGGATTATAGGGCCCGACCTAATTGCCATGTGGTGTGTGGCATGCGGACAGATAATCGTAGAATATGATTGATTGTCAACGGTGTTTTGTGGGGAATATAATCATAATAATTTCAGTAACCAGTGCCTCGATAATTTGTATAATAACAGATGCAATCATTTCAATTGAGAACAGAGACGGACAACAGCTCACACCAACAGATATGTAGGTACATATGTAGATCATTCAACAATTTAGTACTAAATAGAGGATAGAAGGACAATACATACCCCCAAAGTTAGAATCCAGTGACTCCACCAGGCTTACGATAGTCAGAATTAACCAGAATGGTACCATTCTTTTGGGTTATGCCGCATATCACAGAGCCGCGATTCAGATAGCGTTCGCACACATGCCCCCTGGTCTCCAGGCTCTTCACATAGCCATCCAGCAGACCGTACTCGTACAGCAGCACATTGGGCAGCATCTGATGGTGGATGCGACTGGCATCAATGGCATATTTAATGTTCGCCTGCTGCCAAAGTATCCGCACAAGCAGCGGGACGAGAGAGGAGATGATTTTGGTGCCACCGGCGGCACCCACAACCAGCCGCACCTGGCCCGTCGACCGCTCCGTGACAATGAGCGGGCTCATGGAGGACATGGGCCGGGCGGAGGGCGTCACCCTGTTCTTGCCCGGCACGAAGGGTAGGTCAAAGTAGTTCCTCAGCTGCTTGATGGAGAAATCAGACATGGCATTGTTGAAGAGCACACCTGTACGCTTTCCTGTGCGTCCGCTGCCAAAACTGAATCGATAGACATGTATTATTTAGCGGCACAGAAGAAGTGGGGTCGCAGGCTTACTAAAAGTTGATGGTGCTGGTAACCGAAACGGCATCGTTGTCATGCAGCACCGATGTGTGGGCCGTACCGTGCTCCTCTCGCACACGTATCTCCGCCGGCGCCCCATACGACCGGGGGCTATTGAACGTCATCGAGTCATCGATTTCCTCGGCCATGGTCGCGGACAACTTGGAGCTGGTCATGGTTCGCAGTAGCTGCAACAGAGAGCAATGATATGAATGGATTCGAAAGAGACAGCTAGAAAGTGTGAGAACATAGGCACTCACTCACCTGCTCACTCACCTGCTCATCGGCCGCCTCGTCCAGTTGCCAGCGCTTGACAAAGCCAAATTTCATGGCCTCAATCATACGATGCACCTCCAGGGGTCCCATGTCGTTGGTGCGTGCAAAGTCCCGGCGAAAGTGTCGCAAAATGCTCATTATAAGGCCCAGGACATGGCCACTGCCTGGCAAGGGCGTCAAATGCAAATCGTATTCGTCCAGGGGCAACACCAGGGCCTCGCTGATCTTGGCATCGGCGCGGTTAAGGTCCTCCTTGCTTATAGCACTGCCCATGTCACTCAGGTCGGCCAGCAGATCCTCGGCAAGGGATCCGTTGTAGAAGCTGTACGGTCCATCCATGGCCAGCCGCTCATAGGTGTCGCACAGTTGGCCAGGCGGCTGAATGTAATGGCCAATGGGCCAAAAGTCATCGCTCTTGGGATCGATGAACATTTTCCGCAGCAGCTGATCGCCCTTGATCATGTCCCGGTTGAGGGCAAGGGCATCGTATTGATGCTTGTACAGGCGATAGCCGGTGTGGCACAGCCCCAGCGTTGGCTTCACCAGCTCCGCCCAGGGCAGTCGGCCAAATCGCTGATGGGCCAGGGCATAGCCAGCCAGTTCGGTGGGCACCGCAATCGACCAGCTGGACTGCTTAAACTCCTGCTCGTCCCGGAAGATGGAAAAGTTCTCGGCACGCAGGGACATGGGTGATATTTCGCGGGCACAAATGCTGTACGATTTTCGCTCTTCGTGTATATAAATTTTCATCAACATGCCACCGCCAAGGCCCATGCTCTGCATGCCGATGAGACCGTTGCACAGCAGAGCCGACAATGCGGCATCCACAACGCTACCACCATCCTCCAGGGCCTTCCTGGCCATAAGACCGCAGACATCGTTGTCGGTGCAGACGCCAGCGCGCGGAAACTCATGCAGTGGTGAGTGGGAGGGCGGCAGCGGATACTCCGGATTCTGTGGCTTTCTGCTCACTTTTTGGGAAACTAAATGGGTCAAAATATAAACCAGAATTGTCACATATTGAGTGCAAGTTGTGTCCAGTGCAGGGACCAGTCCAACTCACCATCCTTCTCCAGCAGCCTGTACAGATATATTGCAATCAGGACGCCAACTATCAGCGATATGAAGCTGCCTACGGATATGCTTATATACATTTCCAATAAATATATTTTAATCTCTTGCAATTTTATCGCGTATCATCGTTATCCAAAGGTGTGAGTAATAATAACATCCTTGCATTTCAAAAGCCAGGTAACAAGGTGTCCTAGCACAAGGAGGTGTGTCCATCCATTGCCGTCCAGCGCAGGGTGTGTGACCTAGAGAAGGTGCTAAATATAAATTATTTCGATAGTTTTCAGCTTCAAAATCAAATGACAATAATACACATATGTAATACATATAATAATAAGACACATACAAGAATATTTATTAGCTTGCATTTCAAAAGTTTTCTTTGCGCTCCTTGGTTGCTTTTCAACTATCGATAGTGGCCAGCCCAGCATCGGCTGGCACCATCGATAGAGCAATCGATAGATCTATGAAGTGGTTGAGGCAACAAGTAGTTGGTTGATAAGATATTTCGCCTCGACACATTAAGTACACGCAACGTGCCGCGTCGGACGTCGGGTATACAGATACTTAAAGTAATTAAAACGGTTTGCATATTAATATAGGCGATTGATTAGTTGCGGTTGTCTTCTGCCAGTAAAACTCAGTTGTTCTGTGGTTATATTGATTTATTTTCTTGTTCCCCAAATATATACATTGTGCCAGAAACCTAAAGAGAGAGTGAGATAGAAAGAGAGAGAGAGCAGTCAGTCAGTGGCCTGTAAATGTTTTAAGCAAACACTCAAAGATCGTGCATATCTTATAATCCCCCCGCCTCCGTCCCCGCCCCCACCCATGCATGCATATTTATGTACATATGTATGGTATGTACTAAGAAAGACATATCGTACGACGACTTTAAGAGGGCGGCATTCGTTTGTGTCTTTATCTTTGCCTTTCTCCAAATGGACCCACACATGTGCACTGGCGACTGCCTGCCCTGCCTGCCATATCGGAGTGCAATGTGGGGTCCACCCATCTGTTGATTTGCGACCTTGCAACGAAATAATTACTATTTAAAATGTTGTGATAGTACCAATGCGATTTCCATTTGATATTAGTAGCCGCTCCATACCGCTGACTAGACATCTGCTTAGCTTACCGAGTGTGTACACCAAACCCCATATCGTACCGCACGTCTCCGTCTGTGCGAGATGTGGGCGAAAAATGTCTGAGCAAGTAGCTTAGAATGTAAGATGATTCATCTCAAGTGCATAGTGGGGTTTGTCTCACTCCCTATCCTACCCCCCCTCCAACCATGGTTACTAGTGTGCAAAATAGAACATGAAACACTTTTCCTTCCTGATAATGGGATTACTCACGCAAATGTCAGCCAAATATTGCCTATTATATGTAGGTAGATGGTATGCCTTTGTATGGAGAGCGACACGTGTCCGGGACCACATATTCCCATAAAACTTTCCCTTTAAATGACTGAGAGGTGTGCACGTACTCCCAATACGCATGAACCGTAAATAAAGGGCCTAAAAACTGACTCATACCCATCCAATCGGTCCGGTGGCTTGTGAATATTTGCAAAGTTTGGCAAATAATTGGGGGGGCATCACAACGGATACTCAAACCCAAGCCCAATCTTCAATGCCAAGCCCAAGAAACTTTACAAAAAGCTGGAAAATCTCATGCGTCATTTCCAAAGCAAAGGAAAGCAAAGCAAACAGCAAAAAGCAAAGATGTGGAGTACGAGAAGAATGTTAATTATGATTAAATTATGACTAATCATGTGGGTTATTCTGTATGTGACGTAAGCCACAGAAATATATATAAATATTTAGATGAGATATTATGAGGGCTGCTCTCTCTCTCTCCACATTGTTTGCTTACATGCTCGACATACTCGACACCTTAATTGTTGATTTGATTGGATATTCAGTACATAAAACTACGATCCCGAACTGATGATACAAATTAAAGTTTGTATTTTGTGCATAAATAATATTAAACAAAAAAACAAAACAAAACAAAATCAAATGAAATCGCAAGTATTTTCGGTGTAAACAAAACCGAAAGTGAATTAATTTAGCACGAAATTCGAGTTTTTATTGCTTATATATATTTTAATCGCTTCAAGTAATAGAATTGAATAATTATGCCGGTTTGGGCGTCTGAGAAATTATACAAATTTGTATAGATTATTTTAGATAAGTCCTCATACTAGCATTTGTATATTTAATTGTTTTTAAATTATTATTTGACTTATCAGTTAACAAACAGAAGCTTTTAATCGCGACTACAAATGCCCCTCTTATCTATGTAGAGGTGTTGTTTACAATTAAATAAGTTCTTAGACTTTATCAAATAATTGCCGCCATTAACAGTCATTACAATTAAGGCATTGAAAGCCACATGGTTATTTTACTTTCAAGCTGTATAGATACCGATTATGTCTAGATGTCTGTACATAATAAATGGTACATACTCGTATGTACATATGTACATAATAGTATATGCTACCCATTTGCGTATGCTTCCCCCTGACAACTGTATAAATAGAAAAACAAAATTTTGTAGAATTCTGCCTTTGCTTATTTGTTCGGTTAGTTAAATATTTTCCGCATTGAAATAAACCCTAGAGTTTTTTTTTGCATTTTACCTTTTTCCAGTACTTGAATCTCACACACAGGAACATCACCTAGAAATCTCCCCCATAATGTATCCCTTTGTAAGTAGCAAAACCGTTTACCCCTATTTTTTATTTGAATTTAAACTTTATGTTAATATCATCATAACTTTATTTTAAACACAATTTTTGGCACGTTGATTTAAACTTTTCTTTTGAAACTTTATAAGCAAGCGCACGTTGTACATACAAATTTTCAACTAGGAATTAAATTTCTTTAAGATTTTTGCTTTGGTTTTTGGGCTTGGGGAAAAAAAAACATTCTAACAATATGAAAATTAAATTAATTAAATTGGCAGATTATTTTCGTATAGAGAAAGTTCCAGCAGATTAACATTCGTGGTGTCCATCACCGCGGTGACTGGAAATTTCCCAATCACCGATGGCGGAATGTATCCTTTCGCTTATGAGTAATTTTTACATCGATTTAATGTGTCCGACTGTCCGCTTAGAGCATGCCTTGACTGTACGAGTATTTCGGTCACTAAATATTATTATAATATTTATTTGTTTGTCTCACACACAGAATGTGAACCCAAAAACTTTCATTATTCCAAATTATTGATAACATCTTCTCAAAAAAAAGAAAAGATACATACGTACAAAGATACGTGCTGCAGAAATCTGCAGAAACTAATTTGAAATTTGAAAATGTCTTTGGTGAGCGTTTTTTTTTTGTTGTTGCTGTAGTTAATTATGAATTGTGAATATTTTGGACTTTTATAGGGTTCTGGAATGCCTTATTCATCGCATCCTACTACTACCACTAATGAGCCACCAACAAATGCGCCACCCTTTGGAGCTGGTTGGGTGCCACCGATGCAGCAGAACTCACCATACTCCTCCTCGCCATACCCACCGCAAGCCAACACACAGCCAAGCCACCACCACCAAAACCAGCACCAAAACCAGCACCACCAGCACCATCCCCATGCACAGCCACCGCCCCAGCAGTATCCGCCCAGTCAGCATGGGGGCTATCCACCCTATCCAACGATGTCGGCACCCTATCCCTATCCGGCATCATCCGCATCCTCACCGTATCCAAATGCCAACACAAGTCCTTACCCATCCCATAACATTAATCAGCTGCATGGGGGGGTAGCTGCTGCTGCTGCTGCTGCTGCACCGTATCCAGGCGCTCAATCAGCCATCAATTCCCCTTATCCCTCCGCTGGCAGTGGATTCACTCCAGCCATGACAGCCGGATATGATGCTGGGCATGGGCATGGTCATGGCCATGGCCAACGGCAGAGTCAATGGCATGGGCATGAGCATGGGCATGGGCTTGGTCAGGTGCAAGCGCATCGGTCACCCACAGTTCACAAAGAGGTTTGTCATCAATCAAGCTGGCACACCGCCCAATGCACCACCCAGAAACCGCACTCCCCTTTGCTTCTCTGTGGGAATCGCATTTCCATTCACTTTCATTCATTCAGAGCATAATCCGTAGACGGTGTTTTGTTATTTGTATAATTAATTAATTAATTCTTTAGGGAACCCCAACTCTATTGCCTGCCCAAGGCTTTGATCCCGTCAAGGATGCCCACGATTTGCGCAAGGCCATGAAGGGCTTTGGCACGGACGAGAATGCGCTCATCAACATCATTTGCCGGCGCACAAACGAACAGCGCCAGGAGATCCAGCGCCAGTATAAGACCCATTTTGGCAAGGATCTGATCGAGGACATCAAGTCGGAGACGAGTGGAAACTTTGAGAAGCTGCTCGTGGGTCTGCTCCGGCCAATTGTCGACTATTATTGTGCAGAGCTAAACGATGCCATGGCTGGCATTGGCACAGACGAAGAGGTACTCATCGAGATCCTCTGCACGCTATCCAACATGGAGATATACACCATCAAAAACCAGTACTTACGCTGTAAGTTAACTATCCGGAGTATTGAGTGCAGTTTTGTGGCATTGGTTACTCCATTTATGTAGTGTACGGCGCACATCTGGAGTCCGAACTGAAGTCGGAGACATCGGGCAACTTTAAGCGTCTGCTCACGTCGCTCTGCACAGCGGCACGCGACGAGAGCGGTCGCATTGATCCCAATCAGGCCAAGGACGATGCCAGGGAGCTGCTTAAAGCTGGCGAACTACGCGTCGGCACCGATGAGAGCATGTTCAACATGATACTGTGCCAAAGGAACTACGGACAACTGAAAATGGTGTGTGTGTGGCTCTAGCAGGGCAATGCGACTCTCCGAATGGTCATTGATAGTTTTATTTTTTTTTTGTTTTTTGTAGATATTCCAAGAGTATGAGGGCATGACCGGCCATTCGCTGGAGAAGGCCATCAAGAAGGAGTTCTCTGGTGACATTATGGAGGGCCTGATTGCCATCTTTCGTTGTGTGACCAACAAGGCCGACTACTTTGCCTCACGTCTGCACAAGGCCATGGCCGGCATTGGCACCAATGATACCCAGCTGATCCGTGTCATTATAACACGCTGCGAGGTATGCAGATAACAGCCTTTCTTTTGTTTCAAAACTTGGTCTAAAGGAGCTCCATCTATTGCAGATTGATATGGCAGACATTAAAGTGGCATTCGAGCGTCTGTATGGCAAGTCACTGAAGAGCTGGATCAAGGTATGATATGATCAACGAACCATTTAAATGAAAACTTTAATTCAAATTTTTGTTGTTTGTTTGTTGTTTTTGCAGGGCGACACTTCTGGCCACTACAAGCATGCCCTCTATGCACTGGTTGGGGAGCAGCGCTCATCTTAAGTTTATTCCTATTTATTAATTATTCAAATTAAAATCAAAAATCAAAAGCATACAACAACAAAAAAAAAAGGATCCAATTTTATTCGAATATGTATTCTCTTTTTCCTATGTATTTTATAATAATTTACATATATGTATACATACGTTACGTACACACACGCCCAGGGAGATGGACAATCATACGATGATGATTCGTCATGATGACCAACATTTTGTAGACACTAAGTGCTCACAGATATTACCTGAATTGTCAATTTGTTATAAACATTGTTTTAAGCAGACGCAAAAGCCAAATTTTTGTAATCCGCGCACTCACACACAGCACACACACACACACACTGCTACACTACATACATTCAAAAGCCACAACGATATACCCTTACACATTTATTTATTTGTATTAAGTGGAATGCATTCTTTAAATTGTACAATAAAAAAAGAAACAACAAAAGAAACAAAGAAACAACCCAATGAAAATACAAATAAAGATTAGATTTACTTTATCGAACTGTGTCTCAAAAATGTAACTCTATTGCCTTTGCCTGAAGCATTTAAAAAACTTTCGAAAAACATACACCGAAATATTATACATTAATAAAAATATGCATTTTGAGTCGTTAAAATTTTAGAAATACATACAATACATACATACAAACATACATATATCTATCATACGTTTTATTGTATTTGGAAAATGGTTAAAAACAAAAAAAAAAAACAAAGGCCTTCTACAGTTTGCTCTCAAATTAATAAATTATTAGAAGATGGTGTGTCGTGTTATTTATTGGGTTCAAAAATATCTACACTAATCTGGGCAGCATTTTTTTATTTTTTTTTTTATTATTATTATTTATTTTTTAATAATGCATAAAATCAACATTTTTTTCGAGCTTTTGCAATTTTCTAAAAAGTTCCAACTTAAAATTTTGTCTGCAAATGTATATGTAGCACACATGTAAGATTACATGACACAGGTCACTGTCGCTGGGTCGCAAAGTAGCTGCTACATTCTAGGCGACACAACAACTACATGCCAAGAATAGCGATCAAAAATAAAATACATTCAAAGTTTGTTGGTTTTCTTCGTTATATTTGAACCGATTTGGGCGTGGCATGCCCTCTTTTGATGGGCAAAAACCTCCCTCGATTGAGTTGCGATAAACCGCCAAAAATAGTTGACGTTTCTCTACGAGTGCCACAACGAAAAAGAATATTTTATTTCATGACGCGAACCTCGATGAACATGGAATCATTGCGCAAATAATTGCGACTGGTGATGACCTTGTGGGGTATGTGAAAGTACTGATTGGTCTGGATGAAGTCGTCGCTCTTCTTGCGCACAAAAATTGTCTTTACATAGTCCTGGGCCTCCAACAGATTCGAGCACTGATCACGGATAATAACCTCGGCCTGCAGGCGACAGGGCCACGCCAGCAATGGATCGTATTCCCCGGATAGTACATTGAGGCAGGCAATCAGATTACGACCCTTCCAGGTGCCCTTCCCATTCAGATATATATCCAGCTGGGAATGGAGAGGGTAAATTAATACACAAAATAAATACTAAACACTTTTAGATGGAAAGATGGGATGGGATGAGGTCTCACCCTTAAAGCATAGCCAAATGCCTTATTGGAGAACATGGCGGAATGCAAAATGGTGTCATACTGCTTGGCCTCATCCAGCTTTTTGGAGTAATCCTTAATGCGAAATATCAGATGACCTGCAATTAAATTAAATTAACAAAAAAATCAGGTATGTGCCTCCTGGCTGTTCGGCAGTTACCCCTTATATTCTGTACGCTGGCGAGGCGCTGTTGCATGGCCATTTGGTTCTCCATATCGGATAGATTCTGCATGGTCTGATGCAGTGATCGATCCAGATCCTGTACCACATTCTGCAGCTTATCGCAGCGCTCCTCCGTTTCGCAGACGATATTCTTGACATTCTTGACCTCGTAGTCCAGGGTGGCCTGCTTGTTGGTGGCATAGTCGCTGGTGCCCAGCTTGGTTTTAATGTCCTCATTGATTTGCTGCAGGAACTCCTCGATGCGAAAGAACTTATCCCTAAAATACGATGCCTTAAGCTTGATGTTAACAGACTTTTTCGCACGGCTTTCCAGCACTCACCGGTTCAGTCTTTCGTTTTCGAAGATCAGCTCTTCGAGCTTGAGGATGTTGTCGTTCAGCTGGTTCTGGTGGAAGGTCACATCGATGGACAGCTGATTCACCAGCTTCTGCGCCTCATCCAATTTGATTTCGACTTGCTCCTTCAAAGACTACACCAACAGAGGTAGAGAGAGTGAGCGAACAATAAACAATTGTAGGAAAGGAGAATCGATTGGGGAGCCAGCCCACCTGCGTGATATTGCAGCAGTATTGGAAATCAATTTGATTTTGCTCGGCGACATAGGCCCGCTGCGAGGCCTCCTCCTCCAGCTGGCGACGCAGACCGCCCAGGGTGTCGTCCGTGCCGCGGGTCCAGTCCTCGACCACTTGATTCTGCTTGCGTATATTGCCCACATCGGTGATCAGATGCAAACGCTGGCGTATCTCCTCATTGAGCACCGATCGTATGGTGCTGATGTCCTGCTCGAGCACCTGCAGCCGATGATCGGACTGCTGCTGATCCAGCCGGTCCATGCTGACACTCAGCCGCTGGTTGTGCAGATTCTTGGATCGCGGACACTCCTTCAAATGTGAGCGCATGCGAATGCGCGGTATAAACACCTGACAGCTATTCGGGCACTCCTCCAGCACCTGACCGCAGTGTATTAGATGTTCCTACAAGGAAAAAATAGGCACGCAGATCGATCAGTTACTGATCACAGCTCAGAATGGATTGGAATATACTCACTGTGAATGTCTGTGCATCGAACCATTCGTTGCAGAACAGGCACGAGGATTTTTCATACTTGATAATTGTCGTGGATTTGGGCTGGTTCTGGCTCTGATTCTGGCTCTGTGTCTGATTGTTCGATAGGTGATCTTCTGGCCTCGTCAATGCCTTGTTCAGCGACATAATATGTACGAAATATAAGTAATTTTTTTGTATTATAGGAATAAATTAACGCACTGGCGTAGCGAGAAACCGCCCTAAACTAAACTAAATTCCGTGTTGAAAATAAATGATTATGAATTTCTTTTGCCCCCATAGTCATGCACACACACACACACACACAGATACACGTAGCTAGATACAGATACATTGGGGCGTCAGTGAAATCTATAACACTACTGATAGCACACATCGAACATTTGATTTGGGGAACACAATCGAATTATTTATACGAGTATTATTGACCATTGACTAACCCAGCGAACTCTGCGCCTGCTCTCCATAAAACACAGCTAACCCAATCAAATAGGTGCTCTGCTCTGCTCGGCTCAGCTCTGCTCTCTAGCAACGTATTCCATCGGGCAGCATATTGCCGCGAATGAACCAGGCCCAGACCCAGGCCCGGGCCCATGCCCCTGCCCTGCCCCTGCCCTGTATCTTTATTGTCGCACCTGTAACGTTGTACCCTGCCTGCTATATACATACATATGTACGTATGCTATATACATATGTACATAGCAGTCTGCGAGAGATATCATTATCAATGAAAATGGCTTCACCACAATCAAAAGTTTTTTGGTATTGCCACAGCGAAATGCGAATGAGAACGACGCCATCAGCAGCAAAAAGATAACATAACGGAACGGAACGCTGCTCGGGGCCAGAGTGGGGCTGGGGCTGGGGCTGGGTCTGGGGCTGGGTCTGGGGCTGGGTCTGGGGCCATACCGACCGGACAGGTGCCCCTACGCAAGGCAGCGACAGCCCTCCGAGTATTATGACTCAGGGACTGTGAAACCGACTGGGAGGAGTCGTTGTCAGCAACGAAAATAGTTGCCAAAATCCAATGCAAATAATTACAGATAATAATGGCTGCAAAAGCAAGTAAACAATTATGAGTCGACTTATATGTAGGCCCTCATCAAAAGTGAGGCCTTTATTAACCAACAAAAATTGTTTGCTGCATTCATTTTGCTGTACTATCATCCCTTTTTTGTATTTATGTGGCCAGAAGAATAAGGATGTGAACATGGACATGTGGGGCATGATTCTTGGGTTGTTTTTTTTTCGTTGAAACCAATAAGAAACCATTAAGAAAGTCCATTCTATTCTAGCCAAAAAATTCGCATATTTGCAGCAAAACAAGAAAATAAAATGTTGCCAGAGATACAAACAGGATCCGAATTTTTAACTATGTGAAGACCTAAAACCTAGAAATGCTCGTATGCTAGAAATACTCCCACTCAGTTGGAATTCGGTTGGAATGGATATCTGTGGCATACCCGATAATTATGAAAACTGTTGAAAAAATATATAAACTTGTGTGAATTCTCGTACATTTTTTAAATAATTTCAATGAATAGTAGCTTGTTTTATCGGGATTATAATAACCTCTAAAAATAATGGCAATATTGAAGAATTATTATAAATGTTCGAAAGCTTTCCTTTATCTACATAGTACATACATAAATTAGGTAGGTGTGTATATCTTCAGGTATATCTATTGAATGGAAACGAATCAAAATCAAAATGAAAGGCTATACATTGCCGAGTATAAATGATTTATACAGAGTGCTTACAGTCACCAAAATGCAATTTTTCCACATTTGTTAAACAGATTGTGGGGGATCAACTCGAACCAGGCCTAAAAATTAATTGTTTTCTTGTGCAAAATATTTTCGAAATTTATTTCAATAAAAACCATTCAACTCTCGTGCGATGCACATCAAAGATATAGGAATAGGAATAGATGGGAATATAGAATAGGTATGTTTGAGTACAGTTCAATGCATATTTTACAAACATATATTAAGCTCTCTGTGGGCATACTTGCAAGTCGATAAATTTATAATTTGTACTGAAAACTTGAATACTTACGAGCAAACCATAGAAAAAATATTAGCTTGAGGCCTCGCATAGCTTCACGACACATTTAATAAATAAATTTAAAATATTTAGATTATAGATAAATAGAAATTAAAATAAATCCAATCCAATGGCTTGCCTATTCCCATTAATAACAGAACTGCAATGCCGCCCAAAACTGTAGCGCAGCCTCTGCCTCTTCAGCTATGCCGATGCTCCTATTTACAATGGAGAGTAGAGAGCAAATTAGTTCCTCTTACGCCCCCCCCGAACTGGAACACAGATAGTACCCAGATAGTACCCAGATAGTATTGTATCTGCCATGAGCGAGGAATTTTAGTAGTGCGCGAGATCAGGGTCGTCGAGATAAAGACAGCATTTCGATTTTTTCAACAAAACAATAGTTTTTTTTTTTTTTTCTTAGAAAACAAAAAAAAAAAGAAAATATGTACACATAAGGGGGGCGAAATAAATAAATAAACAGTATAAAAAAAGAACTATGGCCTAGGATGGATTACAGGATTACAGGATTACAGGTAGGTGGACTCGAATTTTTCGCGCATTTGCAGCTTTCGCTGTTTGCCGGGAAAGATGCTAAAGTGCTTGATATTGAGGCCACGCTGCAGCATACGGATGGTGAAGTCCGGCAGCAGGCAGGCCACAGAGACGAGCAGCACCCACAGCCAGACTGGCAGGGAGGCCAACAGATTATTGTAGGCCCAGTATATGTCGGTGTCGTAGTCCCTAAAAAAACACACACAATAAAATAGTGTTATGACTGTGTGACTGGGAGGAAGGCACTTACAGATTGATAACATTGTAGATAACCGTTGTGACCATAAAGCCCAGTATGGAGATAACCAGCGTAAAGATGTACCAATACGACAGATACATTGACTCCAGCCAGAGCTTGAGGTTCACCACAATCACCACGCCCCAAATGAGCAGCGTGCCAAAGCAGGAGAAGGCCGCCGTCTGGCCAACGCTCAGGATCACATTGTTGAAGGAGAACATGCAGAAGGCAAAGTAAAATATGATCACCGCATGGTACATGGCAAAGAGCACCCACATCAGGAAGTAGGGCCAATGCAGCTGCCTGTTGTCCGTATTCTTTTTATACAATTGTGGGGTGCTGCAAGCAACCAAAAAACAAAACAAAAGAGGGATCTAACATTTCTCTCCTTTGCCATGCAATTCTGTTGTTTGGCTTACCTCATTAGCTTCTCTTCGGTATAGGGCTTCTCGGTGATGGCAATGAACAGAATGGGCAGCGATGTGTATATCACATTGTACAGCGTGAGGAAGAGCGAGTCGTAGACCGAGGAGGAGGAGAACAGTGTATGGAATTGAAACAGAAACATAATGCCCATGAAGACAATGTTCTTGTAGAAGAAGTACAGCACCAGCAGCGACAGGCGTACACTGTGATAGTGGCCATGGACGAGCAGCAGTCGCTTCAGCATACAGAACTTGGCAAAGGCAAAGTCGGCACAACGGGCCGCCTGCCTGCCCTCACGTCCCATAATGCCAATGCCCACATGCGCCTCCTGTATCATCGACACATCGTTCGCCCCATCCCCAATGGAGGCCGTGTTGTAGTTCTCATTCGATGACTTGATCAGGGCCACCACCTCGCTCTTCTGCAGCGGACTGAGGCGACAGCACAGCACAGCCGTGCACTTGACGGCCACATCCCGAAACTCTTTGGCCACCTCGGACAGGGCCACGGCCAGACTCTTGCCATCGATGAGCAGGGCACACTCCTGGCCAATGCCAAAGATGATCTCGCGATCCAGAGCATTCAAATGCTGCAGCATATCCTCGCGATTCTTGCACTCGATTATGAAGTACTTTTTGGCATCGGGCGGTATGTGGCCACAGGACAGGGCTATGTTCAGGGCCGTTTCCACCTTGTCGCCGGTTAGCACCCAGATCTTAATACCCGCTGCTTGCAGGGAGACCAGCGTATCGGCCACATCATCCTGCAGGGCATCCTCCACGGCTGTGGCCCCCAACAGATCGAGATCTATAAGGCAGAAAGCAGAAAGCATTTGATTCGTTCTCTGTCGAATGGATGCTCTGGCACTTACCGCTCTCAATCTTTGAGTAGCACTCCTCGCTTAGCTGCTTTCGGTTCTCGAGTGAGCTATTTGCCTGTGCCAGTTCCTGCAGGAAATCGCGATACTCCTCCTCGCCAATCATGCGCCGTGCTATGGCCAGTGTGCGCAGACCGAGCCGGGCAAAATCGCTGATATGACGATCCGTTTTGGCCACCAACTGCGCCGAACTATTGGCACACAGCGGAAACACATAGCTCTCGGCGCCCTTGGTGTAGATCCACTTCTTGCCCTCCGCATCGCGCACTATGACACTCATCCGCTTGCGGTCCGATGTGAACTCGAGCACATGCAGTCGATGGAACTTCTCCTCCTTGGGCTTGCCAATGGTGAAGGGTCGCTTGTAGTCCAAGTGGGGGGGCACAATGCGCACGCTGAGTATTTCGTCATCGTCGCCGGTGTAGACGAGGCCCAGATTGGCACAGGCCTCCACCAGGGCCTTTTCATCGGGACTCGACGCCTGATAATCGAGGGTGCTGCAAGGCAATGACAATTCAAGGACTAAGAGCTGCAAGCAATGCGCCTGGCAATGAACGAACGGATGGAACTTACAATATAAAGTCACGTATCTCGTTCTTGCGACGCTGCGATTCGGCACGCACCAGGATGGTCGGCTGGCGGGTGAAGGTCGGTGCCGCGTACGACTCGCGTGAATGGGTGCTGGGCGAGCGAAAGATGGCGCTTGTGGACGGTGTGCTGCTGCTGCCAATGGGGTGCGACAGATAGGCATTGGGCGCCCCATACGAGTGGGCACGGCGATGGCCGAGTGCCACACCATTGTGCGCCTCATCGAACTGCGGCAGGTCTCTCTCTGAGGTAGAGCGTTGGAATTGCAATGAAATTGGACGTATGTGTGGCGAATGCAGGCCAGCAGCTCCATTGCTGGGGGAGGAGTTCCCGTTGCCGTTGCCGTTGCCTCCATTCAGCTCAGTCTGATCGATCTGTGTTTCGCTGGGCGTGGGCGCAATGTGCACCCGATTGGCGGCACGGGCAAAGTTTGGGCTACGTTTAACCACCTGCGGCCGTTTGCGTCGCTCCACGCTATAGCTGTCATCGCTGACCAGCAGGGGATTTACATCCGAGGAGGAGGTTATGGTGGCACCACCACCACCACCACCACTTCACACCATTCGGATGGGCGGACACCGAATTCTCAATGTTGTGGCTGACATTCAGTTCGCTCTGCTGACTAGAGTTTTGGCTCTCCTCGGTGATGTCTGATATGGAGTACATTTCGGGGGGTCCCGACTTGTTGGCTGTGACCGCTGCTGGCTCCTTCTTGGTGGTGGCGGTGCTGCTGCTGCTGGCATCGGCCTCCTCCAGCGAGCCAGCAGCCACCTGGACAGTGTGGCAGATGGTCAACGCCTGAAAGAATATGCGCTGATCCGCCTACAGATCAAATTTTTAATATTTAAATATCTGTTTATTAAAAGAGAATTAAAGTTTTTGGGACTTGCATTGAACTTGTTTATGTCCAGCAGGGCGTGGGTCTCCTCCTCCTCGAGGCGGGTCTTCTTGAAGTGAAACTTTCGACCCGCTATCGAGCACTGCTGGAAGTTCATCTCGTTCTTGGTGAGAGTGCCCGTCTTGTCCGAGAAGAGTATGTTGATCTGGCCCAGCTCCTCGTTGAGGTTCGACGTGTTAACGACACACTGCTGATCGGTTTCGGTCTCGTACAGCTCCATGTCCCACTCCATGAAGAAGCCGCCAATGACGCGCTGCAGCTCAATGGTGACATACAGCGATATGGGTATCAGATAGTTGAATAGTATCAAAAAGGACAGATAGTCCTGCAGGAACTGCTTCACGCTGTAACTGTCTGTGGCATCGCCCAGATAGGTTAGCTTTGGTATCACAAAAAGCTCATTATAGCTGCAAAACATACAGAATAGAATATATAGTCGCAGCATATCCGATGATGATGAGAGCACTGCACTCACCGTTTGAGGAAATACAGCAGCGTGACTATGACTATCAGGGCGACCAGTATGACAATCAGAAAGCGATTGATGTACGTCTCGCTGGAGGAGTTCTTGTTGCGTGTGAGGCGACTGTTGAGCTGCAGCTTGGTGATCATGCCCGTGTACACGGCACAGCCGATCACACACTCTGTGTTCTTGACCCGTGACCCGCGCAGCAGTACATTCTCAGCGGACAGGGGCAGCACACGACCCTCGCTGCCCCTCAGCTCGATTTTGCCATTGAAGCTGTACAGATCTGTGGTGGGTGTCTCGCACTCGATCATGCCCAGCTTGTGCATATCCTTCAGATCGACGGTGGGCAGCTCTCGGGGCACCATCAGTGTCTTCAGATTCGATTCACCATCCAGATTGGCGGTGGTTATGAAGCACTTGCCATGCGGATCTGTGGTACGCAACAGCACCAAATCGCATGGCACATCACAGTCCTTCTCGACCACCACCAGGTCACCGGGTGCCACATCTTGTGATTTAATGATTGCCTCAACGCCATCCCTGATAATAGTAACTAAATAATTATGGTTTAATATATATTATATTATATTATATTATATTATATATTATAGGCCCTCGTATATAGAGTGGGTGAGGGCTCTTTTGGGTACGCACCTGGTGAGGCATTCACAACGTTATCTGTTCTAAAGCGTAGAATATCTTCATAGCCCTGCTTGGCGGCAGTGACAGCAATCACGAATACCAAGGGCAGCAGTGAGGTCATTGGCGACACAGGACTATCTACAGCACAAAACAAAATATGTATTGAGAAATATACATATATAAAATATAACATACGAGTATAAGTGGGGCTCGCGCTCCGCTGAATATTTATTTACCAATTAAAAGCGATATTATTGTCATCACCAGGAAGTAGAAATTGGCAATGCGTCGAAATTGTTCCAATAGATTCTGTGGCAGAAATGTGATCAATGTGTATTTTGTTGATTTGATGCGATTCTGATTCGATGGCTTCTTCTTTTTGCCCAAATCGGGTCCGCCAATTTGTATTTGAAGCCAATCATTTGTTGTGCTGACTTTGGAGCCCTGGGGAACAGAAACGGGGTTGAAACAGGCGATAACAAAAACAAAAACAATCGTTTCATTACAACTTAAATCGATAACAAGGCGTAAACAGGGCGTGATCAGAAAGGATCAACCCTCAACGGGGCTCTTTTTCGCGCCTCTTCTTTGAAATGAAAACTTGGAACTTTTTTGTTTGTTTAATTGTTTTGTATTTGAGATTTCAGTGGCTATTACAGGGGTGCCCTAGGCCAATGGGTTAGTCCCGCCCTGAGCGCAAATATAACATTTTGTATGCTATTTCTGTGGAATTTCGTATGCTTTGTGTACGTGCTGTGGATACTATCAATCATTGCACTAACTCTGAGGCCCTGGAACAGAACAGCACAGCGTTGGTATAGCGATAAAGAAAGAATCGTTTGAACACAACTCAAATCGATAACAAGCCGCAACATATGCTCTTTCTCAGGAATTTGTATTATCAAGCGGTTCGGTTCGGTTCTATTTGCTGAACTGTGAATCAGCTTTCATTATCTACACCCCAATAGGTGCTAAACAAAAAGCAAAAATAATACTTTTCTCAAGAAGGGTTGGAGGGTACATGTGCTCCGCCACCCCCCAACCAACCGTCAGTCGACTGACTGACGAATCTTTTTTTTTTTTTTTGCTTCCAACTATCAATATGAATATGTTTGGGTAAAGGTTAATGGGGTTAATAAATATATATGGACACTCTGTTAGCTCTTCCTATGTGTTCTGCACACACACACACTCAGACACACACACCTTACGCCTGTGCCATTGGAATGTCTCCTTCAGATGATAATAGTGGCTGTCCTGGGACAGCTCTCCCAGCCAGACACCACCGGCTGGCGCTTGTGGATACGAGCCAATGCGATCGATGCGTCGAAAACCGCTGAATTGCTCATGGCCAAAGAAATTCATTGTCTAACTTGCATACTCGAAGCAATGAGCATTTGGTAGCGTAGCTGTAGCTGTTGCTGTTCGCGTGCAAGATCATTTCTCTCCCACTCACTCACTCTCTTTTTTTTATGTGGGATTTGTTGGTTGTTGGTTGTTGGTTGTTGTTATTGCTGTGTGTGTAACCAAGCAAACACCTGGATGTGTGCTGGTTGTTGCTATTGTTTAGAATACGGGGGAATACGGATACTCGGATATTGTTATTGTTATTCCCATTTGTAGCGCCCGAAACCGCGCATCGACGACTTTTTTCTCAACGCACACACATTTAAATGTATAACCTTAAAACGATGTTAAGTGGATAATTTTAACACTTCAATTGAAAGGTTCTATGATGCACGTCCACGTCCATTGTGGCACATGTCTCTCCTACTCGTACTCGCACTCGCACTCGTACCCGTACCCGTATATATATATTTACATACATATGTACATATATCATCTATAGATCTGTGCGTGGTACATATTTGTGTTTCGTGTTTACATGATTTAAACTCTATGAGCACACAAGACTTCACGTATTGGAAATCCCGCAAATAAAATGCTTTACAGCTGTGCAGCGGTTGCAGCAGGCATTAGCATCACATATTAATCCTTATATATCACTAGCATCCTTCTATCTGAAGCCAACCGATCGATATTTATTCACACTCAACGAACAAGACAAAAAAAGAAACAACCGACAACAGCAACAACAGCAACAACAAAGCCAGAGGTAGGTAAGAGAAGAGGTAACCAAAAAAAAAAAAAAAAGAAAAGAAAACAAAACAAATAGCGCGCACTCGCGAGATGCCCGCCGCCTGATTGTGTGTTGTGCGCCACTTAAAAGCCGTTCTCAAACTGAGAATTAGATCTGCATTTCCATTCCCATTCCCATTTCCATTCTCATTCACAGGCAGCTTCAGGTCGTCTCAAAGCACATTCTCAGCTTCGGGGCCACAGCCACAGGCACAGCCACAGCTGGCGGAACCAATAAAACGCTCGAAACTTATTGACGTCGCTACGTCGTTTGTCGTCGGTCGAAGTTTTGCGATCTGCTCCGTTATTCCTATGGCCGAATAGTAGACATACAAACACACACACACACACACAGTAATTGCTCTCACATAGTTGATGGGGTGGGTTCAAAGTGCATCCAATGATGACGTTCCCAGTCAAATAAAAAACAAAAATCACATGAAAATTGATTGTTTGAGCTTCCCATGGGTGAATTTGTTTTTGGTTCTTGGGTTCTACTGAACCTGGTAATTGCTTTGCTCTTAAAGGTACGAATGTACTAGGAATTTTGGCCGAGGTTGTACTTATGCCATAAAATAGATAAAGTCCCGCCCCATTTATGTAGGTTCCTACATACATACATATGTAGTTCGATTTAAGGTGATATTTTAGTTTGAACTCTGATCTCGGTGGGCCAGAGCATGGCACCAATACAAGCTTCCGTTTTGCCTGCTGCACACGCACACAAACACACTGCAAAACATCCCTGCAGTTCGCGTAAGCGATGTGTAAGCAACCACACATCGATGGCAACGTCATGCAGCTCGATGACATAAGCGATAACCTGCCATACGATGGGCTGTTTACTTTAACACAGGGAAGTCCTAGGAGCATAATCGATGACATAGTAAGCGAGAATTAGCCGAAAGTCAGGCCTTAATAAGCGATGATTTTCCCTTGAAAAGTAAGGCCTTAATAAGCGATGAATTTCCCCTAAAAAGTAAAGCCCTAATAAGTGATGCACATATGTGCATGTGTGCGTGCCTGCATGAGCATGCGCAACCGAATCGATTCGTTGGGATTCCCCGGTATTCGCTTCATTTGGCTCAGTTAGTATCGGTATCTGCATCTCAGCCTGCTCATTAACCCCAAGCTGACTGGGCGCCATTTTTACTGCGTTGGAACTATGCAAACATTTTGGTTTATTTTTCTCGCTCACTCTACAGTTGTACTTTCTGACCGAAGCAATGATTCTAATGATCAAAAGCATTAAAGTAGCATAGATAAAGCTGTGATGTGATTTTATAAATATCAAGAGGGGATCCCAAGGACGTTCTACCCATTATTTTATTCTGCAATTTCGTCAGAGCAATATTATTTGGATTTTTCTTTGTCGCACAACAACAAATGCCATCCATGTGCGTCAATGATGGATTTGGGGCGCTATCAACGCTAGTATCGGAAAGAGTATATGCATATTCGCACTTGTACACTGAATGGCTTTAACAGTTTCAGTGACATGTTGGAATGTCCTTCCCATGCAAGTCAGGCCCCATACATATATTCTGGATTAAATCTGCTGCCAGTTTGTTACAAAAATACCTAACCGTATCGACACTTGGCAAGTTTATGGCTTTTTGCCTCCGAAATACGAGCATATAGAGATTACTGGACAGATAAAAGGCACAACCACTCAGACAGTAACAAAAAAAATATTAAAAAATTGATGGCTATGATCTAATACTCCGGAAATAGGCACGGGCACGGCACCGGGCACGGCACCGGGCACGGCACCGGGCACTGCTTTATCGGTAACCCAATTGGAATTTATTTTTCTTTGTTTTTTCTTTTGTAAACGAAACTCACCCTTTTGCGAAGAACTTTTTCGAACATCTTGTCCATGTTTGGGTTTTAATCCGTGACTTATCCACGGCGTTACGGGTTACGGGTTACGGGAGCAAGCGAGTAGCAGCTGCCTTTCCTCCTAGGCTCATATATTCACACTTTTGGGGACAATGTGGCACGGCACCGACGCGAAACAATAGCATAACTACTACTGACCGATTTCTGTATCTCTACCGACAAATACTTCGTTTAACTCGAATTGGTCGTATTGCTTATCGGGGGGGAATATATACCTCTGCTGAAAAACCAATCTTCCTCTCTCTCTCTCCCACTCTCTTTTTCTCACTCTCTCTGACGGTGTATGTGTTGTTGTCCAATGGTTTTTGTTGAGCAAAGGATTGGCCGCCAGCACCGGCAAACCGAAGCTCACCCACTCTTTGCCCAGAGATAAACCCAATCTTATCTGCCGAATGGAGACTGTTTTAAGTGCCATCCAGGCATTCGCAGCTACACAAAATCGTAGGTAGTATAAGAGTAGCGCCGGTTTTTCCGTATTCGAATCAGGCTCGAACGCCAATCATTTCGGGCAGAGAGACGCCATCAAAGTGCACACACGTTATCTTTATAGGTTACAACTTGCAACTTATCTGCTTTACAGGTTTCATTTCCAACAACATTGACTGTCAAAACTACAGTAACAATTAATAACAATCCACACACACACACACACACACACACAAAAAAAGAACCTTCAAAGACTCAACTTTCGATTCGATTGTGAAGTTTTGTAAACGATCACGAGAGCCGATTGATAGCTGGTTAAAAAGTCCCAACGAGAGAGGAGCCGCACTTGGACATCCGTGCAAGAGAACTTTGGTAGCACTACGAGTGATACGAGTGTAATCCAATCCGCTATTGCCCGTGGCCCATGGCCCGTACTCGTAGCGCTTCTCTTTTGAGGCTTCCACTCTCTCTCTCTCTTTGACGCGAGACCGACCCCTGCCCATATCTAAACACATACTGCCAAAAAAAAAAAAAGAAAAAAACACACAAAACTGATAAGATTATAATAATAATATCTAAGTGCCCGAGCACCACCAACTCAGCCACCTCAGCTGACTAATCGGAAGAGCGAAACCTATCAAAACTGGAGACCAGCCCCAGAGCGACGAGTGCCTGGGTAGGGTAGCACTCGCTGGCACTTCATAGCACGAGTACATACACTCGTAGCTGGTATTTTTATTTGATGTGATATCTCTATCCTTTCGTCACCATGATTGAGGAACTTTTTCGCACGGCCACTGCCACTGCCACTGCCTCTGCCTCTGGTAGATCTTTAAGTAGTTGTCATATTGCAATCCATAAACATTGCTTCGATATCAGGCGGGGCTACGGTTAGACCCCGGTTTTACAACATTGGATTTCACAATTATAATGCTTGCTTGGGTTATAGAATAAAGCGTATTTCTTATGGGTAGATAGGGTATGGGTATTTCTTGATGGCCGAAGCTTCACATACTCTTGATGGTTCGATGCGAAGAGATATAATGCCTCAATCTGTAGAGTTTGATTGGCATATCTTTAGGCACACACACAGATCGTCTGCACCGAATCTAATCTTATGGCTAGACTTGTCTAAGATATGATATAAATAGTTCTTGATTTTTTCTTTAATATATAATTCACGATTATTAATATTGGAGATTGTGCAGAGGTTTTTTAAACCCCTAAAATTTCAGATATATTTAACTTATTTATTTGTTGTTATATTTTGTTTGAATTTCAACTTTCAAGCAATGAGAAAAAAATGCTCAAAAAAATTAGACACCATTTATAACGAATTTCAATTTAATTTCAAAAATTTCACGATTTGGCTAGCATTTCACTTATAAAACTATTAACAAATTACTCATTTGATGATGATGATGATGATTCAGGGAGTCACTTATACTCTAGCTGGGATCCTTGGGTAAACATACCATTTTGCTTGTGTTTAAATCGAGAGGTTTTCGTGTGTGCTCCGCCGCGCACCGACTGCGCCCGAGGTCCTGACTGAACCAGCAAGCTCAGAAACAAATACAAAAAAATATATATATATTCAATTTTATTGTTCACATATAATGTGGTTGAGGGGGCGGCGGGTGAATATGATGTGTGTGTTGTGCTTTTTTATATACAAGTTTCAGGTGGAAAGAGAAGCCTTCCACGCGCAAACTGATCTATCGGCAAACTGTCGAAGAATCGTTGATAGCAATGATACATATGTATATGTACATACATTTGTGCGCCTGCCTGGCCCGTACACACGTATACGACATACAGCCCATACCCATACCCATACCCATACCGAGACCAGGCGACTTATACCTACTTATAGATATTGTTAAATGCGTGCAAAAACTAAGTACAGGAGGGACAGGGAGCAGCTCATCAATAAATCGCACACAGAGAGTTATCGGTCAGAACAACATAAATTTTGCAGAGAGCATGCGGAAATACTAACCCATGGGAATGATCGCCTCTCTGGAGGCTCTGGCTCTCTTAACCCAAGGCAGACGACGGCTGTCCGTGCGCGATTTGCCATTAGCCAAAAGAGAGATAAAGTCGATAACAATATCTTATCGTGTATAGCATTGAATCAAACAGACACAAACACACACTCACACACATACTACTCCTCCTACTCTGACATTTGAGCAACTCTATCTGGACTGAGACTTGACTCACTGCCGATACATTGGATTGGATTGGATGGGACAGGATAGTGTCTGTTGCGTCGATGGCTAGACAATACTTCTTGGCCTAAACTCGTACATACGTAATACGTATGTATACCGGTGACAATATTTCCAGTCAAAAAATAAACCATAAACAAATAGGAGGGAAAAGCTATCTGCTGATGGCCAGAAATACCCATGTTAGCCCATGTTCAACGAGCATGCATATGACCAGCGTGACTCAGTCGCCCAATGTGGGTTTCTTTCCCCCACTTGATTGATCAGGCATAAATTGCTTTGGAGTCTTCCCTCTTTTTTGATTTGTGTCGAGTGCAAGTGCGAGTGTGCGTACCCCCCCATTCGCAGGGCATTTTTACACTGTAAGCCTGAAAGAAATAACATGGAAATGTGCTGAATGGGAATATCTTTATTGTATAAGTAAATTCTGCATTTAGCTGAATTTATTTGGTTGAATATGCAACGTTTCCGCGCGCACAAAAGTCTGACCAACAAAAAGATCCGAATGCCCCTTAAAATATTTATCAAGCATACAGTTTAAAACAAACAACAAAAATTAATCTTCTTTATACTACGCGTATATTGCTAGCTGTACCCGGCCACGCTTCACTGTGGCACATTGTGGTTGCATGGATGGGAATAATAATAATATATACTAATATTATTGTTATACATACTTAAATATTGTATGTACATTTGACACATACTTAGGAAATGGTTTAGATATCGTCCGTGATCGGACATTGACTGGAAATGTGTGTGTCACCGATGCGTGCATTTTCCGACACTTAGTCACAGCCCTGATTTATTTACTGCGATTACTTTGTAGTCCAAATCGGGGAGTACCAATGTCTGCCAGAAGTCTGGGTATGTACGGAAAAGTACTTAAAGTATTTATTGAATTTTAATGCATTTTAATTAGTTTTCAATGGTTTATTATGGTTATGGGCACTATAAATATTACTTAATTAGAGGAATTAAATGAGGCTGAGAAAAAAGTATTGGAAGAGAGAAGTCTTACCTCTGATTATAGCGGATGTGGAATCATTAAATCTCGGACCATCCAAGCCATCAACATGCAAATGTTTTCTCTTCTAAAGCATCCATCAATACCAAATAACACTAAGAAATGCTCATCTAAGGACCAAAACCAAAAAAACATTTTCATAGAGCGCTTCAAATGTCTATAACTATTTACGAGCATTTATGAAAATTTAATAGCATATTTTTGGGTGCATATCATACATACATACCTCAACACTACAGTTGATATCTTTACCATATTTTAAAAAGCATCATAAATGTTATTAGTTCTAGAAGAAAGAAAAAAAAACTTAAAATAATTCAACAAAATATTTTATGTATTTATTTATGCAATATACAATAGTTAGAGCCAAACCAAAAAAGCCTTCAGGCTGTCCCAAAAATATATATATTAATATGTATAACAGATAATAAAGATTTAGAAAATGTATACTATATTCCAGGTAAATAACGTGCCATTCGAACACACTAACATTGAGTGGCAGCGAGAGTCCAGAGCTCAACGGCCTTCATTTAATTTGGCAGCCCATTGGAAACAGCTGCAATGGGTGGTAATCGCTCTGCTACTGCTACTGCTACTGATTAGACCCGGCTAGTGCCCACCACCCCACCAGATATCAAGCGGATTTGATATGAGAATCTTAAGTAGCCGCCAGATAATTCTAATCAATTTTGGAATGGTACCAAAAGGCTGTTAGGCAGCGAAGAAAAGCAAAAAACAAAAAAAAAGTGTTTGTGGGGGTATCGTGTAAATTACGTAAAGGATTTATAGGAACGAAAAACTACAAGCAATTTACGTACCGTACCCAAGCTGATACTCTATCTGCTTCGATATACTATCAGCTGAAGTTTATTAAATTCAAATCCATTCTTTGACATGAAAGAGTGATGCAGGAGGAGAATCTAATCGAAAGATAGACAGATACTCCACAAGTAGTGGGGGCTAACACTTGACTCCAAAGGCGTACAGCTATCTGAGTATTTATTTTGTCAGCGGAAATACAAATCAAATCAATAAAAAACAACATACAAATGGATTGAACAGCCTCTTCTGACAGTCCACTTACTTGCACTCGTAAGTATTTATAAATATGTACATATGTATGTATGCAAGAAACCATTATGGGGTCCTTATCAAACTCTGTCGAATTTCGTTTGGCAATTTTTTTTAACGATCGAAATTCAGTCTTTCTTGTGCCCCAGAAGGTGGAACGCGTGCGCACGCACCCTCAAGTCGAACGTTTATAATGAACTAAACTTAATAGGCCTATGCATAGGATAGAATATTAAATAGCTGTTGACATGGGTGCATCATCCAGGGAGAAGCTCGCCGATGCGCAGCGCATACACATCGGTGGGTGTGGCGGTGGGCAGCAGGGCAAGCGGCAGCCCCTCAATCGTGTGACAACCACCAAATACAATTGGCTAACATTTCTGCCACTCAACTTTTACGAGCAGTTCCGCCGTGCCGTTTACTTTTACTTTCTAATCATCACCATTGTCTCGTTCTTCGTGAGTAAGTTGTGTGCACATTCAAAGCAAGCTAAGCCCCCAAGCTAATTTCCGTTGTTTGTATTCCCAAAAACAGATGACACGATATCCCCGCTGGTCTCATTGATCCCATTGCTGTTTGTGATGGTTATAACCGCCCTAAAGGAGGGCCTGGAGGATCTATCGCGCTCAAGGAGTGACAAAACTGTCAATACAGCCAGAGGTACATCAGCATAAGAATAAACCAATCAATCAATCAATGCATTATCCAATGCTAACTTTGCAGTCACCGTCATTCGCAATGGCCAGGAGCAGTGCATCGACTCTCAGTTCATTGTGCCCGGCGATCTTGTGGTTGTCAGCAGCAATGGCGACTTGCCCTGCGACCTGGTGCTCCTGCAGTCATCGAGCACGGACAACAAGTGCCGCATTACCACCGCCAATTTGGACGGGGAGACCAATTTGAAGACCATCTTTGCCCCCAGCAACTACACGCTCGCCATGGGGGGCTGCATTGTGTGCGAGGCACCCACACCGGATCTCTACAGCTTCAATGGGCGCCTGGAACTGAAGCAGGAGAGTGATGCCAATGCCGATGCCGATGCCGATGCCGAAGCACTGCCGCTGACTCTTGAGAATCTGCTGCTGCGTGGTGTACGTGTCAGGGACACCGAGAGGATTGTGGGCTGTGCCATCTACACGGGCATGCACACCAAACTGCAGCTGAATAGCCGCTACACGGGCAACAAGTCCGCCTCCAGCGAGCAGTACATCAACAGGTTTATGGTGGCCCTCATACTCGGCATGATCGTCGTTGTGGTGATCCTCTACATGATTGAGCGGCAGCAGGAGGCCAAGGTGGTGCCCACAATGCCCCACCTGGGACCAGTGCCGAACTTCAATGCGTTCTGGCAAATCTTCGAGGACTTTCTGTCCTTTCTGCTGCTGTTCAACTACATGGTGCCGATATCCGCCTACATGAACATCGAACTATATCGCATAGCCGGCGCCCACTTTATGCAGTCCGATCTGCAGCTGTATGACGAGGAAACCGATCAGCCCTGCCAGGTGAACGCCTCCAATTTGAACGAGGAGCTGGGACAGGTCAATATTCTGTTCTCGGACAAGACCGGCACCCTGACCAAGAACCTCATGCATTTTCTCAAATGCTATGTGGCTGGCCGGGATTACCAACTGCAGGGCACACAGCTCTACTCGCCCGCCTCCGATGAGACGTTCGCGCTGGATGTGCTGGAGGTAGGCCAACTGATTGGAATTGGATCTTAGATCTAAGATAAACTTACGATTCATTCGCAGACGCAGGCCAGCCAGTTCTTTGAGGCTCTGACCATTTGCCATACGGTGGAACTGCTGCCGCCAGGTGAGGGCGGCTCACCCGAAGCCGCATTGTCGGAGAAGAGCCGCCTAATGTCCACCGGCGATGTGGTGGGCCGCTATCAGGCCTCCAGTCCCGACGAGAAGGCCCTGCTGGAGGGCTGTGCCCATTTGGGTTTGGTCTACGAGGGCTGCCACAGCAATCAGCTGCGCATACGTCGCCATCCCACTGGCGAGCAGCTGCAATACGAGCGGCTGCATGTGCTCGAATTCAGCTCGGAACGTAAGCGGATGAGTGTCATTGTGCGCGATGGCCAGGGCCACATTTGGCTGTACAGCAAGGGGGCCGAAAGCATCATCTTTCCGCGCTGCAGCCACAGTCCGGAACTGGCACGCACCGACGCCCAGATCACGGCCTATGCCCGGCAGGGCTTGCGCACGCTGGCCGTGGCCAGGCGCAGCCTCACCGAGCAGGCATACGCCAGCTTCATGGCCCAGTACAGGCATGCAAATACCCAGCTGACGGACAGAACCAACCTCATAGCAGAGTGCTACGAGACTGTGGAAATTGGTACGAGTACGAGTACGAGTCCGAGTGTTTTCCATGTTTACATATATTCATTTTGTAACCTTAGAACTGGAACTGCTTGGCGCCACTGCCTTGGAGGATGCCCTGCAGGACAATGTGGGCGAGACTTTGGTTGCCTTGAGGGCTGCTGGCCTACAGATCTGGGTACTCACCGGCGACAAGGTGGAGACTGCCTTCAACATTGGCCTCGCCTGCCAGCACATACCGCCAGGCGCCAGGGTGCACTATATGGTGGATGTGCCCCAGCCCACAGAGCTGCTCCTAAGACTCAGCGAGATTGATGCCGCCATCGGCAGGAACGCTTCCGCCCAGGAAGCGCTGGTGATCGATGGCGCCACAGTGGCCGCGCTGCTGACACACTCGCCCAAACAGTTCGCCGATGTGGCGCTCAAATGTCGTGCCGTACTCTGCTGTCGCCTCAGTCCGTTGCAAAAGAGCGAAATTGTGACACTTATCAAGCGACGGCAGAGGAACCACATTACAGCGGCCATTGGCGATGGTGCGAACGATGTGTCCATGATACAGGAGGCGCACATTGGCATTGGCATCAGCGGCCGTGAGGGAAAGCAGGCGGCACGCTGTGCTGACTATGCGATAGCCAAGTTCGAGATGCTGCAGCGACTGCTGCTCGTCCATGGGCACTACAATTCGGAGCGCTTGGCCTTTCTGGTGCTGTTCTATTGCTACAAGAATATCATCATAACGGGTTGCATGGCCCTGTTTCAGGTGTACGATCTGTATTCGGCCACCAATGTGTACAACTCGCTTTTTCTATGGCTCTTTGACATTGTCTATATATCGTTTAGTTTTACCATTTTGGCCATATCCGATAAGCCATACAGCGAAGAGACGCTGCTCAGGTGAGTTTCACATCCACACTGGATAGGGAGATTTTTATTCTAAGATCTCTATCTGTCCTTGTAGATATCCGGAACTGTACAAGCGACTGTCGCACAACAGGCAGACATCGTGGGGCATTTTCAGCATGTGGATACTGAATGGTGCCATCCAGTGTCTGATTATATTCTACTTTGCCTATGCCGTACTCAATGATGATAATGTCGTCTATAATGTGGGACAAACGGCGGGCTTTCAGACCTTTGGCTGCATGCTCATAACCATCATTGTGATTGTGGGCAACCTGAAGCTGCTGCTGGTGGCCCGCTATCTCACCTACTTGAACTTTGCCATTATTTTGGGCTCCATTGGCGCCTTTATGCTGACAACGTATCTCTACAATCTGCTGACTAGCTCGGAGCTCTATTTGGTCTACAATCTGCTGCTGGGCTCCCTGCCCATTTGGCTGTATACGATCATATGCTCGGTGAGCTGTTTGCTGCCCGATTTCACCATGAAGGTCGTTAAGGATATGCTCAGGCAACCGACGCCACTCGACACCCAAAAGCGAGAACCGAGTGAAGGCCACAAGCCGAAAGGTGCGAGTGTCTGAGAAATTATTATTAAAAGAATAAATAACAAGAAGAAAAATAATCAGTATCAGAATCATATACATATGAATGTGTTACTGGGGGGGGTCTCTCTACGATTCTTCTGTTATTATTCCATAATTTTCTCGTATCTTTGGAAGCCACAGATTTTCGCTATTTAACTGCATTCAGTATGGTATCACAGAAGTATCTGCTGTTTTAAGAGCCTGTCCATCGCGGCAGACCAATCAGCTTATTTTTGTAAATTATAAATTTTTTTCAAACGTATTGAATTATTTTAAAAATCGTATTTTTGTTTAATTTCGTAAACCCTGGGAAAGGCAGAGACTCCTGGAGAGCTACCGAATACTGCTCCCCATCGGTTCCCTCCACTTGCACAGTTCTGCTTTCAAATAATTAATGCGCTCTAGTTCCCAACACTTTTCCGTCATTCGAGAAACTTGGCCGCACTAATCCCACACTAGTGCATGAAGTTGGCTGCACATCACATCTCCTGTCAATATTTTGTCATGCTCGTATTCGTATATGTTCTGTAAAGTCATTTGTGTGAAAATTGTTGAAGCGAGTGCAAGTTTTTCGTATTGATTCCTACTTTTGCGGGAATTTTCTTTTGGATTTAGTTTTTGTCGTAACCTCAACCAATACCAAGTGAGTAGAACGGATCCTTTGCTCAAGTAATCGCAACGCTTGTTTGTGGTTGGTCTTTTTTTCATTGCAAAAGAGAGCCAATGAATCGGGTGGAAAACGCCCTTGAAAACTTGTATCCTTTTGCAACCTTTAGTCCGTTCCGCTGCCCATGGCCACAGCACTAAACATAAACCACATAAATCCCTCCGCCAAGCCGCTGGCTGCCTCCACAGGGGCTTCTGTCTCCCATGAATGCCACACTGTGAACATGTAGGCGACATGGCCAAGAGTGGTGTGGAAGGGTGTGGAGTGCGCTGATGAATCTCCAACGGAAACAGATTCTATGGAATCAAATGGAGCTAGATCCAACGGAGAGCTTCAGACCACAGCTCCCACCACTTCACTTTTCCATCTGTTCCTTCTATAACCAAAATAAAAGTGTGACTTTACCCAACAGGAGCGAACGAAATGGTCGACTTAACATTTCAGTTGATGCTTGGATTGGATTCGGCGGTGAATAAAGTCGAATTAGAGCTGATCCAGGAGACCAAGCAGGATCAAAGCACGGATAAGAAGAATCAGGTGCTCCTACGCAAGGCCGTGTATCAGCGGCAGCGGCGCGACAGCGAAGATATCGATATGCGCAATAATCGCCTCAACCAAATGAGGGAGCGTGCGCGCATCAGGCGGTCCGTGGAAACCCCAGCGGAGCGCACGGCCCGGCTCTCAGTCCAGAGCACAGATATGGAGGAGAATCAGGAAATCGAATCGGCTCAACATCGTGCTGAGCGCTTGCAAAAGATGCGGGAGAAGGCACGCTCGAAGCGTGCCAATGAGTCGTTGGAGGAGGGGAATCAGCGGCGCGCCAAACAGGCCGCATACGCACGCATGCGCCGCCAGCAGAAGAAGAACACCAACTCCGCCAGCGACTAAAAGTAACAGCCACCAGTCTACACTTCATACTGCCACGTTGGGTATGTATTTGAAGGGAACTTTCATGGAAATTCTAATGCTAAATCAAAATTTTTACAGGCTCCACGTTCAAAACACGATATTCGATATCGATATTGCAAGTACCCCACACTACCTCTCTAGTTAACACACCTTGCAAGCCTCCTAGAGATGAGCCTTTTGCTTCGACAAAACCTTTATTGTTTTTTGGTTTTATTTAACACACACAAGCACACGAACACACATGAACAAATGCTATTTAAAGCGCTCATCAAATACCAAATTTTGATATTATATATCCAAAATGACAAACAAATTAGTGGTCCTGCTCCAGAAGCAGAGCAAATAAAAATATATATCGATATATTGGTATATCAATAAAATCACATCCCTATATTTAACTTAAGGTCACACTAAAAAAAAAATTTGCTAAACAAAATAAGTAAAAAGTGAATATTTGTTAATGTGCATTAGATTTTCCGGAAAATGGAAGTGGAATATGAGGACTCCGGCTGGCAAGGCCGTGCCAAGGCCCAGTCCAACTCCGAGGTAGCGAAAGGTTTCGGCATTGGCCTTTGCCAGAAGGCTTGCGCTCTGATGCCGCCTGGAAGCGGAGGTGGCGGTGGTGGCAATAACAATATGTGGATTCTGTTGACGACAATTTTTCGAATTTTTAGGAAGTGCACGAGGACAACCCACAGAAGACCATACAAGAATGCCTGGAGAAATTCCTAACACCGGACTACATAATGGAGCCGGGGATATTCACACAATTGAAGCGGTACTTCCAGTCCGGCGGCTCCCCGGAGGAAGTGATTTCGATGCTGTCGGAGAACTACAAGGCGGTGGCCCAAATGGCCAACTTGCTGGCCGAGTGGCTCATTCTGGCCGGCGTCAAGGTGACCGATGTCCAGGCCATGGTCGAGAATCATTTAAAGGAGATGATTCTCAAGTCGTTCGACCCGAAGAAAGCCGACACCATATTCACGGAAGAGGGCGAGACGCCAGACTGGCTCACCGAGATGATCGATCACTATACGTGGCGTTCGCTGATCTACCGCCTGGCCGAGGAATATCCGGACTGCCTGATGCTGAACTTTACCATCAAACTGATATCGGATGCGGGATTTCAAAGTGAAATCACCTCTATATCGACGGCTGCCCAGCAAATTGAAGTTTTCTCGCGCGTTCTCAAGACCTCCATTGTGAAGTTTCTCAACAATCCGGACGATGTGCATGGCGCCATACAGGAGTGCGCCCGCATGGTCTGTCATGGCCAGCACACGTACGTCTACTCGCAGGTTCTGATCCAAGTGCTCAGCCAGGAGCAAAAGGGCGGCTTCAACATGAAGCGACTCTCTCAGGAAATCATTAAATATGCCTTACAAAAGTAAGTCCGCTCTTAAATCAGCTAATCAACCCTCTAATCTGTCTCTTTACCGCACAGCAATCAGAATGTGACACCCATAACGATGGCCCTAAATGGTTCAGCGGTTTATCCACAGGCCTGTCAGGCACTCACATCGATGCTGACCCGCAATACACTCAATCCTGCCGACATCACAGTGCTGTTTCGCAACTACTCGGGATCTGATCCACCGCCAATTGACCTCATACGCAACCCGCAGTTCCTTGAGCTACTGGTTGATGCCTTATTCCGCTCTGGCGTCAAAATCAATCCCGAACACAAGCCCAAGTATATGTTTCTGCTGGCCTATGCGTCGGCTGTCATCGATCAGCCGGCCAAGAAGCGACCCCTAACCGAACGCACGCTGAACAAGGACGAGCTGAAGAGTACGATTCAGGCCATCGAGAAGGCTCATGCGATTTGCAATGTGGGCCAAGGCACCTCGGAGCTAATTGCCGAACTCCAAACGCTGTACAACTGCATCAAGTAGGTATCTACCGTCTGCCAGCTGCATCTGCTTTTATTGAATGGTTGTGCGTGTCCCTCAGATATCCAGTTGTTGGCGTTGGTGTGATACGCTGGATTGAGAACGTTGTGATGGAGCCATCGTTCTTTAAGCTCTCCACCGACAGCTGTCCCACCCATCTGGCCGTGCTGGACGAAGTGGCCGCTGTGCATCCCACACTGCAGCAGCAAATTCTATTCCTGCTTATACGCCTGTTCGAATCGAAGCAGGACGAACTGGAGATACTCGTTCAGCTGGAGATGAAGAAGATGATTCTGGATCGCATGGTCAATCTGCTGACACGCGGCTGTGTGGTGCCTGTACTGCGATATGTGAAGCAATGTTGCGCCATCGAGGACACAGATGTCTCGCTGATACGTTACTTTGTCACCGAAGTTCTGGAGACCATCACTCATCCATATTCCCCAGAATTTGTGCAGCTCTTTCTGCCAATGGTGGAGAATGAGGAGATAACGGGCACAATGCGCGGAGAGGGTGACAACGATCCAGTGTCCGAGTTTATTGGTAAATGGCGAGACTCTGAAAGCGATTCTTGTATTTCTATTCATATTTGTCTCTTTTTTTTCTTCGTTTTTCTTTCGTTTCAGTTCATTGTAAGGCGCATTACACCACTGTATAACACTTGCTCAGGGAGTGGACAACGTACACACATATATATATATATATATATATATATATATATATTGTAAAAGCTAAACAAAGGTTATTGATGGATTACACTAAAAATTTAGGGGCAATAATAGGAAGCAGATAGAGAGAGAGAGGGTCTATTTTTTAAGTCCAGACATCTGTCTTCCTCGCTTTAGTGGAAGAAACCAAGAAACAGAGATATATGTATAGTATAGAGTGAAGTTTTTCTCCTCATTGCATCTCTAGTGGGCCTTTTTAGCCCTAAAATTCTTCCAATAATAATTAAATAATTTAAACTGTAATCTGTTTTTTCTCTCTCGGTATCTGATAGGCATAGATAATTAATTCATCTTCATATATTCAAAAAAACAAAACAATCAAAAAGAAAACAAACAAAAAAAATAGTTTACATATTTTTTTATTGCAACCAATAAACATTCATACCTCTTACAAAAAAAAAATAATTAAGCCTTCAAAATCAGCTTTTGAATGCGTGTTCAAAGTTGGCCCTAAAAAAAAACACTCTTAAAATGTATTTTAAAAAAAAAATAAAAATAAAATATATATATAGGAGCGAGAAGAAACACGGACACTTTCTCCTGTTGCTGCTGCTGCACTCTGCTGCTGCAAATATATTTATGTACACATTTTTCGTTCGTTGCTTAAGCGCACACTCCTTCTGCCTCACTGCCCCTTGTTGGCGGCATGGCATCGTCTGTCGTTCAAGTCGTAAATGTCGTTAATGAAGTGTGTTGTATATGGCATTTAAGTCTGTTGTTAGTCTGTATGTGTATGTAGTTCTGTCCCATAATTAATCCTACCAATTTGTAATACAATTAAAATACAAAAATTTATGGGGTCTCTTAAATCACAAATCGATGGCCAGCAGCACACACACACACACACCCACACTGGGTGCTGGTCATCGAGAGTGATAGATACTCCTTCTCACACACAAAAGAAAAATGTCTTTGGCTTTGGCTCTGCTCTCGAAATCGTACAATCGATCGATCTACATATGGGATGGGATGGATGGACGCTAATGCTAATATGTCTGTGCGTTTGGTTTGGCAGCGATGATTGATTACGTTTGTGTTTGGTCTAACTACAAAATAATGTTTTAGTTGTTCTTCTTAACATCTTTACTGTCGCCATCCTTGGCCTGGCCGCGGCCCAATATCTTTGCCAAGCTATCCCAAATGCCGCCAAAGAAGATGGCACAGCCCAGATTCTCCAATGGCAGGAAGGGATCGTGTATGCCCAGCAAAATGGAAGACAGCTTAAAGTACACCAAGAATATAACAATGCCAAAGTACACCAGTGCGTGCGGTGCTGAGATCCAGTCCGTCTTTTTGTCCAACACAAAGATGATCGAGGCCAGCAGTGAAGCCTTGGTGTAGCTGCAAAAACAAAGCAATCAAGGAATCAGTTGAGGTGCTACCACCAGTCAAGCTAAAATTGATAAATAATAAACGTACAAGCTTGGCTGCATGAATTCCATGGCCGTTGGTGTCCATGCGCCACGAATGAGGCGCTCAATCAGCTTGGTGAATCCAGCGCCATTGCCCTTCAGTGTGCCAATGATGATCATTATTATCCAGGCATTCGGATACAGCTTGGCCGCATGTCCCACACCGTCGTAGACCTTTTTTGCCCGATATATCTCCTTCATGGCGCTGGCCACGATTTTCACGGGCAGGAATTTGGCCACCTTGTAACCAATATCGAATGGCGTATAGAACACAACGTACCTACAATGCACAGATGCAGCAGACACAGACACAGACAAAGATACAGATACAGATACGATTTTGGTTGATTTTGGTGCTAATTATATATTTACCACACGGCTGTGCCCACCAATAGTTGGCCGGTGTTTTTCAATGGTGCCAATATGGGTTCACCGAGCAGGCCATTGGCCACCATGCCACCGGCAAAGATGACCAGCATGGTCGATAGCCAACAGGCCAATGGATGCTTACGGGAGAAGGCCTGTGCATTGGCGCCCAAGTCCTCGCGCACGGCCAGCGCGGCAAGTAAACTGTGAGCAATATCAAAAAACGGAAACATTTTCAGCTTGATGACCTGATTGGCCACATCCAAAAATGCTTCCGGGTCCATGATAACAGCTGATCTTGTATCCTGCCTTCACGGATGATAAATCTGCACAAAATGGAAAATGCTGTATTTTGTTTTGCCTGTATATTATTAAAAATGCTTCCAAAAATAATGTTACATAATGTTTGATTCAAAATCAAAAATTGTTAAGAGTCAATTTCGGTCAAACTGTTGTATGTAATATTCCCCACAGTTTAGGATACATATGTATGCATATCCCTTAAGTATGTCCCATATGTACCATTCCCCATACAACAGCTGCTTTATTGCATTTTGTTACAGCTCCTCTGTAGATTGTAGATAGAATTGAATGGGAGAGAGAGATATAGACAGAGAGAGAGAGAGAGAGAGGGACAGTTCGTAGTGTTGACGGATTCCTCCCGCTATTGAAGACTCTTTGAGCTGCAGCAGCCCGTGTGCCGTATGCACCGTACAACGTACACGCGCCCGCCGGGCATGGCATGGCATGGCATGGCATGTAGCAGAGTTGTCGAATTGTATGTTCATTTAGACACAAAACATAAAACACAAAAAAATTCAAACTGAAAATTGTCGCTGTTTTGGCCACAGCAGCTCCAAAAATAAATTTCGCTAATGAATCGGTGAGGGCTGTTAAAAGAAGAGGCTATGGCGCACCGCACCGGGTCGGATACGAGACCGTACGCACACACACAGGCACCGTAACGTATGTGCCAGTGTGCACATGTACGGGATACGGATACACGGGAAATGGTGCTGTGCCTCCGGCTATTTTCGAGCGGCGTACATTTGGAGAGGCTATGTAGTATACAACAAAAAAAATAGTATATGTACTCGCACTTTTATCGCCCACATTCCGGACTCCAGCCAGCAAAAATACCATCTAAATATCTGAACCCTACGGCGTTTTTTACCAGGCACTTGCCGAGAAAATAAATAAAAATAACTAACAAAAAATGTGATGGTACCTACGTCTAACACACGCGAGCGAACGGATAAACGGATAGCAGAGTGCAGCACGAACACGGGGAGACTGGGCCGCCAGGTCCCGTGTGTTACATGCTCGTTGTTTGCTGGCTATTTGTTGCTCTCTCACTCTCTTAGCCAAAATGTTATATATTTAGAATTTTTTGAGTTTTCGGAGAAGCAGCAATCTCTCGCAATATGCCTTCTATCACTACATCTGTATGTACGTATGTACATACGAGCGGCACACTCGTATGTATCTTACAGATGGCGGGGACCAGCCAGATCCGATCCATTGGGTAGACCCGACCCAGAGCTTCGTAGTTCGTACAGAAAGAGCGCCCATAAGCCATTCTCCGGTATTCATTGGTTTCCTTTCCCCAGAGCTCATTTCAAACGCAACGGACATTTGCCTGATGTTTTGTGTCTCTTTGTGTTGCGTGGGAAATACATACGTGTATGTATTAAGATAAGAAGGAAACTATTTCTCACAGGGATCTGTTTTAACCGTATGAATCAGCTACCTTCTTCCACTCACATGTTATTTTATTGTTTAATTTATGGTGTGTTGGATTTCAACACCGGATTTGGCAATTACATAAATATATAATGTATGTTTTTGTTGCAGATAAACGTAAACAAACACGATAAGCTGAAGAACTATCGACTACCGCTCACTAGAAGGGAATGGGCGCGTTCACCAGGAAAACCTGATCAGAGATCAGTGATATGTGTACGTACACACATGATTAGTAATAATATTGCACAAAATAAATCAGGTTTCTAATAAATAAGCTTAAAAATAGTTAAAATAGCATACATCGATATCTCAAATATCGTTAAAAAATCGTTTGAGCTCCCAGATATGTCACGTCAATCTAGGATAAAATCATTTTTAATGTTTCAATGGAGCTTGGAACAACAAATTTAACATCCATTAAAGGGCATAAGGTATACAAAAGTCCATACGCATAGAAGAAACTTGGTTGACCAGCAACACTGACGTCACATTTAGTCAACATTTACGTTTTATGCTTTGGCCGTTTTTGTTTGAACCTTTTTATGTAAATAATGCAATAAAAAGGACTTCTAAAAACTTGCCAATCTTGTAGAAAATGTATGTATCTATCGGATAATATTATTTGTCTAGGGCTGAGAGGGCCAACTAGCTAGTAATATTAAACGGAATATCAAAATCGAGGAATATCAACGTTGAATGTTTTGAAAAAAACAACCGATACTATCGTGATAGTATCGGGCTCAAATAATTATTTAAAAACCACTGAAACCTTTTGCGAACTTGTCCATTGTAAAAATTAGATGCCACCAGTCGATTTGCTTACAAATTTGTCTTCTCAAAAGCGCAACGACTGTTGCTCGATACTATCATGATAGTCTCAAAACCATCGATAGTAGAGGCTAGCAGCAAAGTATCGATACTATCGATAGTGCCCTCTTTGGTCTAACACCTCTAGCTGGCCATTTAGCAACAAAATTAATAGTAAAAATGTGAAAAGCTAAGTCGTATTTTGGGCCTAGTTAAACGCAATAAACCCATTGTAATCGTGCGTTTCCTGAATTTATTTTTTTTATTGATTAATTGTGTCGGGAATACATACGCACACACACATAATAGTGGAGCAGAGAGGAAAACATTGCTGGCGCGCAAATATACACAAAAAAAACCCTCCCAGATCCGCAAACACACACGTTCATAATAAATATATATCTATGCATATGTGTAAACGTGTGTTCGATACTGTATAACAACAAAAGCTATTGCTAATTTTCGCTTAGACGCCAAATGCTAAATGACTCAAATATAGTACAAAAGAAGAAGAACAGCCTGAGAACGCCCCCATATACACCCTTCTGAAAGCCGCCGCCCCTCCCTTACAAGTATTTTAGACTTGCAGCTGGTTTAAACGAAAACAGAATATATATACAGCTAATCTTTACGTGTGTCGCGTCATGGCCTGTCGAATGGAGAACAGCAGCAGAGGCAGCGGCAGTCGCGAAGCGCTGTCAACATCTTCACTTAACGGTGGTAAGTGGTAGCGGGCAGGTAGCACCCGTTCGCTTATCAACTGAGGGTGGGTGGGTGGTCTCCTGAACCCAATGAACTCGAGTGGTATACACGCAACTAATGCCCACCCTCTTTATTTTTCTTTATTTCCAGCCATTACTGATAAGATGGCGACGCTGAATCTAGACAGGTCGGAAACAACAACAACAACAGCAACGACAGAAACTACAACCATGCGCAGTAATGGCAAGCATAAACCACCGAAGGAGGAGCCACCACAACTCCAGCAGCAACAGGAACAGCAGCACCAGCAGCAGCAATTGCAACAACAACAACAGCAGCAGCAGCAGCAACAGCAGACACCGCAAAAACAGGCCATGTCTGCGGATGAGCGAAAGGCCACCAAGAAATCTCTAGTCATTGTTGCAGCAATATTTGTTGCCAGTGTGGCGACCATGTGCTATGTCTATGCAATATTTCCCGAATTGAATGAGTGAGTAGATATACGTATGTAGATATATGCCCCGATCTGATGCTGATGTGTCCAAAGCGCATTCGTGCACCTGCAATACGCGTGTACACACACATCTGTACGCAAGTCTGTGTGTGTGTGTGTGTTTGTGTGTTTGTGTGAGTCTCGCTTGATTTGCGAGAGGGTTTATTCCACATACAAAAGCATATAGAATGATTGCCAAGTCACGCCACCTCTCAAACACACACTCACACACACACAGACATCACTCGGATATGGCCTGTTTTACACCTTTATTTTATTTGTTGCTCTCTGTTTTTTTTTGTACTTGCAGCTCTGAGAAGCAACATTTGAAAATACCGCGTGATATACAAGATGCTAAAATGCTGGCCAAAGTCCTCGATCGCTACAAGGACATGTATTACTTTGAAGTGATGTTCGGCGTCGTTGTCGCCTATGTATTGTATCCTTTTTGCAAACAGACACACAAACACTCAAATACAGTAACGATCTCGCATGGGATCTTCGGAAAGCGGGCAATATACTAATCGGGCACACGCTTCCGATTAGATAAGATTTTTGCTGCTGCTGTCGGCAATAACCTTGACCTGATTACACAAAATAGTCGTAGAAGCGATTCTGCTGCTGCTGTTGCCCCCCCAAAAACAGAATGACCGCCGGCCGACTACTATTCACGGTCAATCGTACATTTTTTTATTTTGGTCTTTGGTCGCCTTGATTATGCACGATCAGTTCGACCGATCGTGCGGGGCACCACGCATAGTTTGCATATTAATTACGTGTGGGCAGAAGACCAGGAAGCGCTCCGTCAGAGCGCACAAGTGCACTGTGCTGTCTCGTGTCTTGTCTGTAAATCAAAGTCTCTCTCTCACTCGCTTTTGTTTGGACTTTGGTCATGTGACGCATTCTTTTGGCTTGCTCGACAACTGTTTCCACATGCACACACACACACACACAAACACTCACATACAGAATTTCAACGAAATCAGCTGAGCTTGTTTATAATTCAATTGCGTTTTCAACCAGAGCCCAGAGCTAGAGCTAGAGCCAGAGCCAGAGCAAACACATACGTAACTTTATGTGCGCCCGTATATGTAGGTTTATTCAGTTGATTGCTTGGCAATTATTCAAAGCAGCAACGGGCGAATTATATGTATGTGTGTAGCTTACTTTTGTTGTTATCGGGCATGCTCTAGCAGAAGATGTGGTCCGATGGGGGTGCCATTGTCAATTGGCAGCGTCTGCCTTGACATCTATTAATAAACAAGCCACAACAGCCGCAGCAGCAGCAGCAGGCAGTCAGTTCTTTAATCTGAAACACCGAAAATATGCCACATGAGACCCATATATCAGATCTTATGATTGGTTGCTCTTAACTCATTGTTCTCTTATAGCCTACAAACATTTGCCATTCCCGGTTCATTATTCCTGTCGATTTTACTCGGCTTCCTGTACAAGTTCCCCATCGCCCTGTTCCTGATCTGTTTCTGTTCGGCGCTCGGGGCCACACTCTGCTACACGCTCTCGAATCTGGTGGGACGCCGCCTTATCCGTCACTTCTGGCCAAAGAAGACCAGCGAATGGTCGAAGCACGTGGAGGAGTATCGGGACAGTCTGTTCAACTACATGCTGTTCCTGCGCATGACGCCCATTCTGCCCAATTGGTTCATCAACCTGGCCTCGCCCGTTATCGGAGTGCCGTTGCACACCTTCGCCCTGGGCACGTTCTGCGGTGTCGCGCCGCCATCGGTGATCGCCATACAGGCGGGCAAGACACTGCAGAAGATGACCAGCTCGAGTGAGGCCTTCTCCTGGACCTCGATGGGTATACTGACGGTGTGTGCCTGCGCTTCGCTCCTGCCCGGACTCCTGAAGAACAAGTTTAAGAAGAAGGAGGCGTAAATTCATTAACCGGGGCGAACCGGAGCGGATGGACCGATACCCAAAGCGCCTGGGACTGGGACTGGGACACTCGGGACTCGGGACTGCACGGAATATACAACATGCAAGGATCCAACGATGCTGGCGTGTTGGAGTCTCCCCAAAATGCTATTTCCAAAATCAAAAAACAAAAATCATAAACTGTATTTATACACGCCGTATATTTTGTAATTAAACGAGCGAAGGCTCTATTTTTTAAACCGTCGGGTATCCACTATGCTTAAGTCTACTACAAGTATCTGTGTTTATTTTATGATAATTATTATTATTAAATATTCTTATTAATTTTTTTTCTATCTACATACATTCATATTATTACCAAACACACACACTTTTGCATCATATATTTCCATGAATTGTTTTTTAAGTTAGTGAATTTTTGTTTAGTGCTATTGCAGTATTTACCCTAGAAAAGTTCTCATATAAGTAAATCAATTACCGCAAATCCGTTGAATGTTACGTCACGCGTCTGTTTGTATGTATTGCATGTATGTGCGCCAGTAAATGTTCGAAAACTGATAACCCATTTGAAGCTCATTTTGAAACCTTTCTGCCTTGTCAGCGTAATATTTGCCGCCAAGTTTGCAATTCAAAATATGATTACGCAGAATCAGTGCTGTGCAATGCGAGCAACCAACCAACTTCCGCTTTTCGCCGCTGTTTTGCATGTAAAAGCGACATTTATTTCACTGAATACCAGCAGATGGCGCTGCCCCTGCTGGAATGGGAACGTGTAGAGAACGTCAAGTAAAATGCATGTAGGCCTTACGTTACAGTATGTAAGTAAAATGTATGTAAGTAAAATGTAAAATGCATGTAGGCCTTACGTTACAGTATGTAAGTATCATTTGTGTAAAATACATGTAAAATTTAAAAATTAGCCAAGTTTTTTACCCAAATAACCCAAAAATAAAAAAAATGTTCATATGGTATTTTTTCAACATTTAATAGGGAAAAAAACAACAAATAAGCTTTAATTAAAAGCTCAATAAAAAGCTTTTCTTAAATTTTTACCAGTTAAATATTTAATTAATGCCAGCTAAATTAAAAAAAAATCAAAACAATTTTAAAATGTAATTTTTACTGTAAAACTGTGGAAAAAAAGATTTGTTTAAGAAAAAAAAGGAAAGTCCGTGCACGCTTCGAACCGTGGACCCCCGGATCGGAAGGCCTAGACTTAACCCACCGAACCACGCTTTGCTTGACTTTGCTGTGCATAATGCAGCATTTATTCCAAAATGGCGCAATTATCCCACTAGACCACATAAATATGTACATATATAGATGAGTGGTCGGCACACACACGTGTACGTGAGCGGCAGCGCAGCAGCAGCGCCTTTTCCTATGCCCATGTCTGTTAGGCATAATAACACGGCAGCGGCAGCTCCCTTCCTCGTCAATATTGTACATAAATAAAATATTTCTTTAAAAATTGTCGCATACAATTTTAAATTTATTTTCATCATAAATATTTTCCTTAGCGAGTAATTGCTGAGAATTTTGGAGTGTTTATTAACAAAATAAGGGCAACAATACGGGTAACGTAATATAATTGGTTTTTTTTTAATTCCGTCATTTGAAATGGCAGTGATGTAGCATACATTGGCCATTATATTGGCCATATGAGTCGCTAGCAATCGGCCCAGCATTTCGAACTTGCTTGAGTCAATGCTGGAAGTCCTTGTTAAAAAAGCATTAATTTCTTTTTTTAAATGGGTCACAAAGGTCGAAACTGATCTAGGTACTTAGCATTACTCTCAAAAATGTCTTCAACTGGAATTAAAATTAAACCACGTTAGAATTAACATCGACCGCAGCTTCTGGCTGCTAATTAGCTTGTCCGAGAATTTCGCTCCAAATTGTTAAGAAGAAAATTAATTTTTTGTATTTATTTCAATAAAACTTGCAACGTATTTCGATTCAGGTCAAAATTTCTTCTTTTATATAATCCCATTTAAAAAATCACATATTGGAATTCCCACTCTTTCCATTTCAATTTTCGTTCGTTTTCTTCTTCTTTTTATACAAAAAAGAGTTAAGGTAAAAGTGGATTGCCTTCGTTCCTTCTCGTTTTGCTTTGCACTGGAAAATAAATTGTTTCCGATTTAAGAAGAGAAATTTAAGCGTAAATAGTAAAATATATCCAGGAACTAAAAGTTCAAATATCTCGGCTCTTTGGCTCGTTGCCTTCCTCCTCTGCTCCGCATCGCCATATCGGCATAAATGGTATGTACATACTTATTAGATTTCTCCATGGCACAGTAAATTACCAAGAAGGGGAAATTTATCGCTGTAATTTTCACAGCTGGTGACGTCGTACACGTGAAAATTAACCGCCACGCGTGCAGCTGCTGTTTAATCAGATTCACTTGCATATCTCACTGGCGGGGCGGTGAAGACCCGCTGCACTGCAGCACAGCATTCTTTCAGTCTCGTTCCTCTCTTGCACTGCGTGTACGTGCTTGTATTGTTTGCCACATCGCGATGTGTACGGATACACTTATGCACGAACAGTACGTGCACGGGCACCCGGAGCGGGAGCACACCTTCCGATAAAACCACAAAGCCAGCGAGCAGAAAAGACCGCCATGAGAATGTCTGAATGTCAGAATGGATGAATGGATGAAAATGAGACTAGGAATAGCCAATGCTGCCAGCGGCTTTTTCTCCTTAAATCATTCATAACTAAATCTATCTTTTCCCTTCTTTAGGGTCTACCAATCGCTAATCTCTGCTTGCATTTGCAGAAGAATAGCCATGTCCAGGTCATTGAGGAGGTGACGGCTGCGAGTATCGGTATCTGAGGGTAAGTCCAAACATCAACTGAAGCTTAAAGTTTGCTCAAGGCTTTTCTGTTCCAGGGTGTGGTGTCCATACTCGTGGGTACTGGCTGCACTGCGATACACAGACGCCGAACACTGCTTTATAGGGTTGGCTCCAAATGGCCGACGGACATCCTTCTATCATCTACAGCCGCAATATGTCCGATACACAATCATATCATGGACAGAATCTTGCACTGAGGCGAGACTTCACCGCTGGTGAGCCAAGTCAGTAAATTGGAACAGGAATTGTATTCTGGTAGAAAAATAAAGGGAAATCAATGCTCAGAGCGATGTTGCCCTCATTGAAAAATACTTGATTTTTCAGGTGGAAGTAATGAAGATGTCTCGACGGCTGGTTTCTCCATCTGTTTGTTATCCTTCAGTTATCCTTCGAAGTGCACTCGAGTTTCTTGTTCCTCTGGCGATGTTCCTGTAACAGAAAGAAACTTTTTCTTTTTGTCCCCCCCCTTATAAATGCAGTTGCTGCAACTCTGAATTCACATGCATATCACAGATGGCCCAGAAAAACTTTCAATTTACATATACGCCCACCCCCACCCCAAGGCAGGCCCCGGCAGGCCTCCCTCAGCACAACAGAAAGGGGGGACTCGGGCACACAGTAAATATTGTAATTTGTAAGCCCGGGGAGTCGCCACAGGCTATGAGGGATACTTTTCCCCTTTTCGTTACTGTTTTGTCACCGAAAAGCCGGACCCGGACCCGCCTACTGGTGGGCTGACTTTGTCCCTGTCCCCAATGCAGATGAAAGCTATAAAAAAAACAAGTTTTTATGCATGTATGTACATGGTCATGCACTGACGCACTACTGGGTCACATGCAGATCGAAGCACAACGCCCATCCCGATACAATGCTCGTCCTTCCGCTGCTACTTGGCTGGCCACTTGTTTGTTTCGCATTTGCGTTTTCAATGCCATTGTTGGCTGAACAATACTTACTTACAGGTGCCTCTTTCTTACCCTGACCACCTCGTGGCTTTTTATATCCGATACTCTCACGGAGTCTGTCTATTTTCAATCGAAGGAATACGTGATTGGGGCGAATACTGGATATCAGACTGGCCAGTGGTCACACCTCTTGGATAGCTCCACCTGGGACAGCCAGACCTCTCTTCAGTCTATTGGAATCTAGTGTATAGAACTATCTTTGCCATCAAAGCGATCGATCTTCAATGGGTATTTAAGGCCATTTGTGATACGAGTAGTAATAAGCATAATAATTAATTAAATAATTAAACAGATCAGAAGTGTGGTACAGATTAGATTAGATTAAAAGGGAAAAAGAAGCCACACAGAAATCTGTTGAAATACAAAATCGATCTGAAAATAATAGAATATCGTACATAGAAAAATGCTTCTAGTAGTCCATGTTCAGGGTTTATCTTTTTAAGGATACATCTAGGGGAACAAACAGAGAGGATGGTTTGCTTCCAATATATGCAACATAAAGCTTGCCTAATAGCAAATGATGAATCTGCGAGGATCCCCAAAGAGCAGAACCAACTTTTTTCTTGTTTTTTTTGCCGCTTTTTTTGGCTATTGTTTTAATTAGTCCCTGGTGTTGTGGGCTTGGCCCTTTTCTTGTTTGTTGTCTTAATGCGGTTTTGGCAGCCATTTGATTTGTGTGCCTCAATTAGTTGGGCAAACTTTTTTAAAAGGATTAACTGCCATCCTAAATGGCTCTCTGGCGGTGGCGCGGGCTGGCCTTTTGGGCGCAACGAAATATTTTTAATTCAGTTTCACTTTGCTGATGCGCGTTACGTTACTCTGCTTTTTTTTGGTATAGTACTTTATGGTGACTTTGTTGTCGGTTTTCGCTGTTGTCTGTGTGTGTGTGTGTGTGTTGGGTCCCATGGGCCGTGGCAGTGCAAATTGTTTCAAACTGTCTGCCAGCCGCCAGCCGCCACCCAACCCGCTACCGAACGCAAACCAAACCAATGCCACAACCAGAGCCCAAGCCAGCGCCAGACGATGCCACAGGTGCCCCCTGAGAGACAGGGCAGACAGACAGGGCAGACAGACAGACAGACAGACACTAACATGAACATCAAGGATAACTGCCACCCGCCACCTCTACTCAGGCTCCTGGTAATTGATTTAGCATGCGTGTAGTTGAGTGTGGCAGTGTGGCAGTGTAGGCTGGCAATGTGAGTTTAGCCGTACACAAACCCTGA